GGGGATAATCATAATTCATACCTCATAGGATTGTTGTGAGGATTAAGCTATGTGTGTGTGTATTTGTATATGTATATATATCAAGATATTTACCAAGATATGTATGTGTATACATACACATGCATAGAGGCATATGTGGGATTTACAATATGCTTTGCACACAAGAGCTATATGAGTGTTCAGCTATTATTTTATTAGCAATTACCTTCTAAAAAGGTTGAACCAATTCACGCTGCTGCTAGCATCAGGGGAGGATAGTTTTAAAAAGAAGATAATTCCGTATTGTTTTCACTTCCCTTCATTGGCCATCGATGAGATGAATGTTTTTCTTACATCTGTTTTCCATTTGTACTTCACCACTTATGAATTGATTTATTATGGGGGGTTGGGATGTTGTCAGTTATTATTGATTTGTAAAATTTATTTATATTTATATATTAAGGTTATTAAGGCTTCACCTACCTTACAGATATTTTCTAGTTTGTTGTTGGACTCTCAATAGTATTTATAATGATTTTCATCAATGGAAGTATTATCCTTTTTTTTTTTTAAAATAATCTGTCAGATAATTTGGACAGGGCTCTACTGATGTGTAAAATTTATGGTTCTTTCCTTTTGTACTTGCAATGTTTTTCCCATTTTAAGATCAGATAGCTATTCAGTTATATACCTTGTCATTTCATAATATCATTTGTACTCTTAAAATTTTTAAACCATCTGGAATTAATCTTAATGAGGGGAGTGGATATGAGGTTGGGCTTTAACGTTATTTTCCCCACAACAGTTAACTATATTTATTACACAGTATTTCTTCCACCATTTATAATATGATAGACAAGGCTTTCTATTACAGGCTGTTCTATTATGTTTCGTTGTTTATTTTTATGCTAGTAAAATACTGTTTTATATGACATTTACTATCTTTATACTATGTGCCTCCCCTCTGCTCTTCATTCAAAATATTTCTGACTATTCTGTCAGACGAACTTTATGCCTATCTTAACAATTTCCTTTAAAAAAAAACCCTCTTGGAATTTTTACTGGCATTGTATGAAATGTATGTATTTGAGGAGAATTAACATCTTTAAAACATTAAGTTTTCCTTTCTGCAAACATGGCATGTCTTCTCATTCAGTTGAATTTTTATGATGTCTCTTAGTAAACTTTTAGTTTTTATTGCATAAGCCCTGCACATTTCTTATTAAGTTTGTACTGAGAAATTTTATATTTTTATTATTGTTATGAATGGAATATTCTTCCCTATGGTGTTTTCTAGCTGGTTCTCAGCTATTAAAGAGAACTTTTGATTTTTGCATTTTTTTACTTTTTGTGTTTAATTTATAACCATCCCCCTTACTGAATTATCTTATTAGTTCTAATAGTATTTAGGTTAGTTCTCCTGGATTTTCAAGATAAACATTCATATTGTGTGCAAAGAAGGAACATACTTTTGTCTCCTTTTTCTCAAAGGTTAGTAGTTCTTATTTCTTTTTCTTATCTTATTGCACTGGCCAGAACTTCTAGACCCATGAAATAATGGTGGTGATAGTGGGAGGCCCAGGAAGTTTCGGGGCTGAAGCCAGATCTGACCCAATCCTAGCCCTCCCGTCATCTCCTGAGACTCCATTCACTCATTTGCTCATTTGTGAAGTGCTTTATGATGCCTTCTCTGGGCCAGCTCCTGTGCTGGGTACTTGAAGTCAGAGAGGACTCACACAGGGGGCTTCTAGCCCAGAACTTCTCAATCCTTTGTGATCAATTCCTCCTTTGTCTCCGACCCTCTCTGGGCTTCAGGCACCCAAGCCTTCCACTCTCTCCACTTCCCAAACCTACCTACGAGAAAGGAGCGTGGCACAGTTCCTATTCCTGCTGCGTTCTTCACTCTTACGGTTCCGAGCTGTCCTCTAGTCCCACATGGCTCTGTCAACGGGTCCAGGCCAAGCCCACTGTTTCCCACGCAGAGAGGGGAAGTGGCTTGCTCGAGGTCACGCAGCACTGTTGGCCGGAGAGCTGGGTCTGGCAACCAGATTCTTATCTTCCCCAGGGTGCAAATGATTATTTAGGCTTTGTATATTCCTGTATCTCTCATTAGGGCATTTGTAGGAGTCTGGCTGGGAAGACACACAGGCAGGCTTCTGTATCCCGGAAGTCGTCCCTTCACCTGACCAGGTACCTGCGCATCCCTTGAGCTGCATCTTCATCTGGCTCCTCCTGTCTTCCTCCCGCCTCAGCTCAGCGGTAGCTCCCTTCAGGGACATACCCTCGGTTTCCACGATGTTCTCCCAGCTTCCTCCTGCCCTCTACTTTTCACAGGACTGTAGTGTTTCATCTCCAGCATATTAACATGTAAAGGGCTCGGGCTCTGGGATTATACTGCCGGAGTCCACATCCCACTTACTGATTATGTACAAGTGACTGGTTCTTGCTGTGCCTTAGTTTGCTCTCCTATGAAATGGGCTAGTGATAATCGTTACCTTAGAGGTTTGGAGGATTAAAGAAGTTCATGTGTTTCCAGGGCTTAGGAGAGCACTCAGTTAATGCTAGTGCCTGCTGTCATGACCAGGCCCTCTGGCTTCTCCCTTGGGAGACCCCGTGTCTTTTTCCCACTGTGGCATTCCCTGTGTTCTGCTCATCTCGAGACTTGGCTTGTAGTAGATGTGTGATAAATATCTGGACTTGTTAACGTTGTACTGGGACAGAGATCACGTCACCGTGCTGGCTGAGGCTGCAGAGAGAAATCCATGAAGAACTAAAATGCCCTGGGTACGGACCTCAGGCAAGGGAGCAAGTCTGCCATCTCTTTGGGTCTCAGTTTCCCCATTTTATGAAATGGTAGAATGGTATACTCAAAGGCCCACCCTGAGGAAGCTTGCTAAGCCCAACTCCTCTATCACTGCAGAGCGAGGTGGGCAAGGGCAGGGTGAGGAGAAGCTGCTCTCCTTTTTTGGCCATTGGAATCCTCGGTAGCCCTGGGCCTGGCCTTGCATCGCGGACATAAAAGGCATTGAGCTGGGCTTCTGGGCGGCCGAGGGTGGGACAGTGCCCACGCGGAGAAGCTGCAGTGCCATGCAGGTCCCAGAGGTGGGGCTCTGCAGAAGAAGTGACCTGGAGGGGCCCAGGTACACAGAGCATTGGGTTCCTGGGGGCACTCAGCCCAGGACAACTACGGGAAGGGAAGGGACATATGGGAGAAGCATCCGGGCTCCTCATTTGCAGATGAGGGCTTGGAAGTCAGACCTAACCTGGGGCCTTAGTCAGCCTCTGCCTGTTACCTGCTGGGTTGGCCCAGGTGGGACTTAGCCTCACTGACCCTGCCTTTGTCCTTCCCTGGAAAACGAGCCGATGCTGTGAGGTCTAAAGAAGTCGGTGCACAGACTGGGCCTCCCGCGGTGTCTGCGCGTGTAGGTGAGCAGCGTGCGAAAGCCTCTTCCTTCCCTCTTGGAGGCTCTTTCCAGTTCAGAATGCGGTGATTTCTGGCGGAGAGTGACCGAGCCAAGATTTGGAAGGTTTGCGTTCTGACCAAGAAAAGAACCAAGTGGAAATTAATTAAAGTCGGCCGAACCACCCCTCCCATGTGTCACGGCCATTATCCCACTGGCTCCTTGCCTAGGAACCTGGGAAGCCGGGGTGTGTGTGCACGTTGTGCTGCGTGGCCCCTTCTTTAAGGTGAGGAGTCTGAGGCTCGGAGAGGTGAAATGACTTGCCCGAAGTCCCACTGTGCGCCTGTGGCAGGTCCAGGGCTCTGTGCCAGGACTTCTGACTCTGGGCCCAGCGGAGGCTGGGAGGGGAGGGACCTTGGGATGTTGGGGGCAGGCCCAGGGATTAGGGGCTCTTAGAAGGCGACAGCGAGGTGTTTCCTGAGTCATTTAACCAGCTTGGCCAGGTGGGAGGAGCCGGGGCCTGGGGCTGTCTTCTCTGCCCTGTAAGAGGCGTGGCTGGTGAACTCTGTGGCACCTTTTCCTGAGCCCCACGCTCCTAGGAGCCAGGATCCGTGCGATGGGGACCGGCCCATGTGCAGGGCACAAGGAGAGCTTGCCTCTGACTGGGGACCCGCTGCTAGTCAGTTTCTCCCCAGTTCACTGCCCGCTCTGACTCGTCAGGTCCCAGGACGTCCCAGAACACAGGCCTGGGAGCTGCACGTTCAGGGTTCTTGTCTCAGCTCTGCCATCTTGGGGTCAGAAAGTCCCTTGCCTTCTCCTGGCCTCAGTTTCCCCAGTATTATGAGGGTAGTAACGCGTCCCTTGCCTACTTCATCTCAGGCTATCGTGGGAATCTATAATGAGGTGAGGGATATCGCAAACTGTGAAGGTCTGTGCACAGAATTAAGTGCATTGAGCTGTTAGTACGCAGACGTTAGCGCATTGAGTCTTCTTAGGCCGTTAGAGACCAGTGAGCTGCACATCAGCGTTCTGGAAAACTGGAAAGTATCGACATGCCTCTTGGACCTGTCCCTTAGAAAGTCCTGAGAGCCAGGGGAACAGCCGGGAGATGGTCCTAGGGACACGCACAGGCAAGAACTGGCCACCTGTGCGGTGCGCCCAGAGTTGGGCAGGTCGGTTGGGGACGGCACATTCCAGCTGCATCTGGAAGAATGTTTGTGGTTTGGCTAATGGTGATCGGAGAAGGGTATTCTGGGCAGGGGTGACAGCCCGCGCAAGAGCCTGGCAGTGGGACAGGCTGAGTGAGGAGTGGCCAAGGGACAGAGCGGAGGGGCTTTCTCTATGGCTTTGGCTGGGGAAGGAGAGCTTAGTCTGGATAGGATGGCTGGGGCTGGGTTATGGAAGACTTGGGACACTTTGTCATCATGCAGGCAGCAGGGAGCTATGGAAGGTGTTAGAGTAGTGGAGTAATGGAATTGGAGAAGAGCCCTCTGGAGGTGTGTGAATTGGGGGGTGGGTGAGGAAGCATTTAAGCAGGGGGACAGGGCTTTGGGCCGAGTTTGTGGGGAAATATCCTCTCTAGATGACTTGGTGGCCAAAGTGGAATTGTTTTTGTTTCAGGGACAGAAAGGGGACCCGGGGCTCTCACCAGGAAAGGCCTACGATGGGCCAAAGGTAGGTCTCCAGGGACCCCAGTGCTCAGGGAAGAGGGGGAGGGGACCGCAGTGAAACCAGCACACCCCACGGCAAGCTGTCCTGGCAGAGGCAGGGAGGGGGAAGATCTGGGATGGTCAGGATATGGTTTGTTTTTTTTTCCTGAAGTCCTTCAGCCTCTCCCAACACCAAACCTAAGGTTTTGCCCACCCCCCTTCTTCGTGGTGTATAGCCAACAAAACTGGCAAAAGATTTTGCCTGTGGACACACCCTTGGTGAATGAATGTCCATTTGCCTGTTGCCCTGCATGGCTCTCTGCCGGGCCTGCTAGGTGACCCTGGGCATCCAGAAGCTTCTTGGGTAGCACATGCCCAGGAAGTTTCCAACAGACAAAGCACTGCCTGAGGTTGTTAGTTCTAGCAGGCAGGTCTGTGGGTTTCTAGGAGTTGGGCAGACAGTGAGGGCTCCCTAACTCTGAGGGGCTGTGAGACCAGAAGATTCGCCCAGGGAAGAGAAAACACTTTGGCCAATGGCCTCCCTCCGTCTCTGCGGCACCCACCTGTAAACCAAGCAAGGGACCTGGAAAGAGTGTGGAATGGGCGGGCAGAGGGCAGCCCAGCACTCCAGGTGAAGTGCTCCAGTGTCTCAGCCACACACACCCTGGAAGCTCGGGTCTGTCTGGCTTCCTCTGTACGTGGCCCAAGAGCCATCCTGATAGTGCACTGCCGCTTAACCCAGCCCCCTGTGCTTGGGCACCTCCAAGTGGCTGCTCCTTTTGATTGCCCCAAGGCACAGGTGGCTGGTTGCTTTACATCCCCTCTGATCAGTGTTTTCGTTCAGCAAACATTTCCCAAGTGACCCAGAGTCCCGAAACAGTGTCCACATGTACTCTTATCTGATCCTCATCTTAACCTTATCAGCCAGGGCAGATGGGCCCAGCTTACAGATGAGAAAACAGAGGCCCTAGGTGGGGGTGGCTTGCTGGAGGTCACGCAGCAGCAAATGGCAGAACGGAATTTGTACCCAGGGGCCTGGGCTTCTCTCCTGCTCCTGCGTGGCCTACTCGAAGGTTTTGGGGTAAAATCCTAGAAACGCCCCTGTTGGGCGACCACCTTGCCCAGCCATGGGCAGGCATCTCGGGAACGCAGGGGGAGAGCCGATTGCTCTGGGGCAGACGAGGCCCACGAGTCCTGGGGAGCGAGGTTTTCAAACACGGTTTTAGTATCGGAGCCCATTCTCCACACGGCATCTCCTGCGCAGCCCAACATGTGAAGTAGGCGAAGGGGGCTACCGAGTGCGGCGGGACGGGCTGGGGACGCTGCCCCTCTCCTGCTCTCACCCCGCCGGGCAGCCCCGGGTCTCCTCTGGGGCCTCCCGTCCTCCACCAAGCCCGTCTGGAAACAGCCGGCCATTGGAGGTCACACTTCCAACTAAATGGGTGTCTCTGCTCCTGTCCCCTCCTCACTGCCTTGTCTGTGTCTTGCAGGGTGACATGGGCTTGCCTGGGCTCTCCGGGAACGCAGGACCTCCGGGACGAAAGGTACGCCCTGGTTTTGACGCGTTGCCTTGCCCGGTGGGCTTCCTAGCACGGGAGGAGGGCCGCAGCCCCCGCCGCTCCTCAGCCCCAGCCCGCTCCCTCGGGTGCAGGGCGCGTGGTGGGTGAGGCAGGTTTGGGGGGCTGTGCTTGCTGGGGTGGGGGGCACCTTGGCTGGGAGTAGGTGCCTCCCGCCACGGTTAATGAGGCATGACCGGAAGTGGCCCCACGTTGGCCCGCTCCACCACCCGCTGGCTGCATGGCCTCTGGCCTGCACGTCCCTTCTCAGCCTCAGCCTCCTCCTCCGTGAGATGGTGACAGGGACCCCCGCTCCGCCCCCCGCCCCAGCCTGGGGCTGTCTGACCCCGGAGTGAGGCCTACAGCAGCGCCGTCGTGGAGATGGGCTCAGGGTGAGGGGACCTGGGTTCTACTCCTGCCATTTCCTGGTTGGGTGACCTTGGGCCAGTCAGTGACCCCCTGAGTCTAACATTTGCCCGTGGTGATGTGCCGCAGGTGACGGGGATGCTCTGTAAAGGCAGTGAGGACACTCTGGCTGTTGTTATGTCACCCCATCCCATGTCCTCTTCATCCATTGGGGGGGGGGAGTTACTTCCCCAAACGCCTGTCCCAACAGGCTGCCATGTCACAGGTGGGGGGTCTCTAGCTTACATTGCCCCTGGGTTCCTCTCCAACCTCCCGTCCTTCAGCGTCTACTGTGGCTGTGCCCCCTCCAGGAAGCCCTCCTGGAACTCCCGGCTTCAGGCCATGAGCCTCCACTCTGCTCAAGGACGCTCAGCCCATCTCAGCTTAGCTGTTTTCAGCCCCGAGTGTGCCTCGGTAACCAGGATGTGCAAATCCGGCTCTCGCTCTCCTACTGAGCGTAGCGTGAGGCCTGCGCATAGCAGGTGTTCAGGAAACGGAAGGCAATGCAGGCCAAGAGGCAGTTGCCTTTTGCAGGAAAGCCCGCCACTGCTGATGGGTTGTCCAGTAGATACATCGGCCTAGCGCCATGGCTCAAGCTTCCTCCGCCCTGGCTCCCAGCTGTGGCCACAGCTGCCCCCTCTCTGGGCCATCTGGTTCTCATCTGGACAGCTGTGGTGTCTTCTGGCTCCATGCTGTCCTTGCCTCGAGAGCCCCATGACACAGGAGGACTTGGAGGACCACGTCCCCCATCCCCTTCTCCATTCCCCATGGCCAGAGCAGGCCACGCCTCCAGTCTAAGAGGCCGGCCCCGGACAGTGGCTGCCTGTGAGCTGGGAGACCTGCCCTTTCCTGGCTCAGTGAACACGGGGGACTCCCTCTGCCCCACGCACTTCCCCTCTGGGCTCTCGCACTTTCTGATGGAAGAGGTGTGAGTGGAGCAGGCTCCTTCCATTCCTGGCTCGTACAGCAGCCGGTGGTGGTCTCGCTTCTGCGTGGGGTGGCGGTCTAGCAGAGGTGGCAGGAGATGGGGATACCCTGCCTGGGGCTCCAGGGCTCCTTGCACTCTGCAGATGTTCAAGGACACCAGGAGCCCCAAACCAAGAGCAGGTGGCTACCTGAGCTGGGGGGGGGGGGCACGGCTTTTCTAAGTTAAGGAAGAGCCTCTGTGCCTTGGAGAACTATTTGGCAAAGCCATTTGCTCTGAGTCCCGACTGGTCCTGGCCCGGGCACATGCGGAGGAGTTTGCTCTATGGCATGCTGGCCAGCGTCACCCGCTCACGGAGGGTGCTAGGCAGAGTGTCGGGGAGCTCAGGGCCCATGACAGGGACCCCTGGGTGGTGGGGTGAAGGGTCAAAAAGAAGACCAATGGGGCGGGCTTCATGCTTGGAATCACCACTGTAGGCCGTCTCTCCTCCCACACACATCTTTGGTGACAAAAGTAGCCACTTTGCCCTGATCCTTGGACCTGTCTTTTCTGCATGATCTCTTGTGGGGAGCCATGGGAGAGAAGGGACACGGGTGGCTGAGAGGTGAGGTCAGCTTCCTCTTTGCTCACTGGCAGGCTGAATGCTGGGTCACTCTGATATGCTACTAATAATCCCATTCATTCATTTGCACAACAAGAATCATTGAATGCCTAGTGTGCGCTGGGCACTGAGCTGAACAAATGGACAAAAGTCCCCGCCCCACAGAACTTGCATCCTTGGGAGGGGGGAGACAGACAATAAAAAGAGAAAACAGTAAAAATAGAAGGTGTTATAAGATGGTAAGGGCTATGGAGAAAAGTAGGCAAGAGAAAGAGTTTGGGTTGGGAGGGCTCTGATATTAGTGTGGCAGATCAGAGGTGGCAGAAATGGTTACTGTCCCTTTTTGCAGTAGCCTCCAAGAGTTAGGCAGTATTATGCCCATTTTACAGATGAGAAAACTGAGGTCCAAATAGGTCTCATTCATTCACTCCCTCATTCATTCCTTCTTCTAGCCATCCGGCAAATATGACCTATGTACCAGGCCCTGTGCTAACAGTGGTGTTAAATGACAAATGAGATCACCGAGGCCTTCGTGGAGGGTGCAGTGTGTGGCAGTGGCTCCCAGCCCTGCCATGCACTAGAACCAGCTGGGAGCTTGCACCCCCTCGGGGGATCTGGTTCAGTTGGCCTGAGAGTGGGACCCAGGCATCAGAGGCTCTAAGGCCCCCCAGTGACTCCCGTGTAGCCAAGACTGAGAGCCACCGGCTTAATGGAAGTACCTTCCACGAGTCACTGAGCCACAGGGTGGGGATTTGCACCCAGCCCTTCTGACCTGCAAACACTTTCCCTCACCACAAGGCTGCTTAAAACAGCTTCTCCAATAAGATAGAGGGCCCATCGAGTGGAAAGAGGCTGCCTGCCCAGAGGCTTGTTTCTGTGCCGCCTGCCTGGAATGCATGCTGCAGGACTGCTGGACCGACTGGCTCAGGGCTGCAGGGGGGGCACACGGAGCAGGGCAGGTAGAGCCAGGTGGGATCCTGGCTCTGTCCCTCAGCTGCTGCGTGAGCCTGGGCACATGGCCTCGCCTCACTGAGCCCCTGCTGCCTCCTGGGGCGGTGGGACGGCTGGGCGAGGTGTTATGTCCCAAGCACCCAGCACAGGGCTGGCACATGGGAGGCATGGCACACATGTCAGTTGAATGAATGAATGAATGAATGAATGAATGATGCTTATGTGAACCACCCTCCGCTGCTGAGAAGGCTGCCAGAACCCCACTGGCACCCACTGTGATCTCTAGTCTAACCCTCCCGCCCTCCTTCCTGTAGACCAGCAGTTCTCAGCCCAGGGTGGTTCCCCCCCAGGGAGCAGTTAGCAATGTCTGCAGACATTTCTGCTTATTACAGCTGGGAGTTGGGTGCCACTAGCTTCTAATGAGCAGAAGCCAGAGATACTGCTGAACATCCTGCAATGCCCAGGGGAGCCCCACACCCACACCCACACCCACACACCACAGACCCGGATCCAGCCCACGATGCCGCGGTTGAGAAACCTCCTGCGTAGAAACCCTCGCTCCATCCAGTCCCGCGTGCCCCGGGCGCTCCTGCCGCCCTGCGTCTGCTCCTGCCCGGCCTCCCCTGGCACGCTCTCTCCTCACACTCATCTTCACAGATCAGCCCTGGGATCTGTTCCCAGTCTTCTCCAAGAGTGTCTCTCCAGCACCTCCTGGCAGAAGTCACGCCTCCCAGCCAGACGTGGTGGCACGTGGTCCCAGCTACTTGGGAGGATTGCTTGAGCCCAGGAGGTTCAAGGCCAGCCTGGGCAGCAGAGCCAGATCTATCTTTCTCTAAAAAAAAAAAAAAAAAAGGAAAAAAAATTCACGCATCCAGCCCATCTTCTCTGCTTTGGGACTCTCTGCTTTCTGGCTGATGGGCAAACCCACTGGTGGCCTCGATAACATTACTCAGACTGGAGCAAGTACACAGCGAAGGACAGGACCCAACCTGTTCATCTTTGTTTCCCACGTGGGCTTAGCACAGCACTGGACACATGCACCTGTTCCCTCCCACACCTCCTTTTCTCCCCACCTCTGGTGAGCATCTCTCGTTGATCTTTCTTGCCAAGTCCTGATACGGCCACTGAATCTTTCTTAACACACTGCCCCAGGGAGATGAGACTCATGGAACGAGATTGGTACTCAAGTTGAAACTGACTTGCTCTTTCCAGCCTGACTTCCCCCTGGCTCCCTCCGGCTACCCTCGCCCTGCCCCCGTGCCCTGCCTGTGCCGCCTGAGTTGGCCCCTGTCTCTGGGAAGCTGCAATGAAATGGGAGGGCAGAGGGGCTCATCTGAGAGCACGTGATTGAGGCTGCCTGAGACAATCTCCTGCTTTTTGCAGAACTGCCAGCTCTGCCCGAGTATGGCACCCCCAGTTCCACAGAGCCCCTCTTGAGAATCTTCTCCAGGCTCTCCTGCTGCAGAGCTGCTCTGGGCTTCTGCTGCCCATGCCTACTGGCCTCTTTCCTGTCCCACCCTGTCTTCTCTCCAAGCCTGCTCCTCCCTCCAGCCTCAGTTTACACTGCTGCTGCCTCCGGAGGGTGCATCTACACTCTCCTAGCACTCGCTGCTTCTCCTTCCTTCCACTTAATGTGTGTTTAGCACCCACCACATCCCCTTCTAGAAGGTAGGGTCAGTTTGTCTGGTTCATCAGTGTATCCCCAGTGCCCAGTGGTCATTGTTGGGGCTCAGCAAATACTTGTTGAATGAATGAACAACTGGATGAATGAATGAGCCATACAGAAAGGACACCTTCCTGCCCTGGCCTGCCTCAGGTGTCCACTGAGCACTGGGCAGAGCAGAAGGTGGTGTCGCACACCTGGCTGTGTCATGATGGACTGTGCGAGTTTTGGAATCCTACAGTGTCTCAGCCAACAGGACATTTTGAGAGCCCCGCTGGGGAAACTGAGGCCCAGAGAGGTGCCTTATCTACTATCATGTGAGAAGTCCCTCTGTCTCTTGCATGTGTTTCTTCCTCTTTGAGTCTGGCTGCCCTGCTGGCTCCCCAGTGCGGGGTGTGCATGGCCCAGGTGGTAGTTTGCTCAGCGGCAAGTGTCGTGGAGAATAGGCGAGTTCGGTCAGTTCCATGTCGCTATGAGGGAAGCCGAGGCCTTGCACAGCCCGTGCTAGAGCCTGGGTGGACAGCTGAGGTCTGAGCACACACTGGTCCCCAGGACCCCCCAGGCCAGGACAGGACCCCTCCTCTCCCTGCCCAAAGCCCAAATAGCATCCCAGCCAGACGGGGAGACGGTCTGTAGCAACAGTGAGGTGATGTCTGGTTTCTCCTTGTGCATTGTAAGCAATGATTAATCTGGCTCCCAAACCAAAATATAGACCGAGTGCTATTATAAACACAGGTCCTGTGGAGACCCGCCTGCAGGGCAGCCAGGGGCCCCTTGCAGACACCCTGGGCCCTGGAGCTCCCCGGAGCATTCCTCTGCCCGGTACCGGTCAGGCACCGATCACAAACTGGGAAAGCACTGCCCCTGGGTCCACCTTGCGGTCAGTGCCCGCCGCATAATTGCCGGGGCCCTGGAGAAGATAATGGCTTGGATCCCTCCAGGTCCTGGGGCCCTGTCATTTGGAACTATTTGCTGGCCCCGGTTTGGTAAACACCATTAAGGTGCTTCCAGGGAGCATGGGCACCTCCCCCCGCCCCCTTGGCTATGCTCGGTCTCTGCAGCTCCTGGCCATCTAGGGGAAACTGGGCTCTTCAGCGCAATGGTCAAGGCCCTTCCGCACTCACTGATCGGGAGAGACCCGGGAACTGTGGTCGTGGGGACGAAGCACAGCCCAGTGGGTCTGGAGTCCCAGGGAAGAGTCCGGGCTTGGCAATCACTTGCCAAGCAACTGTGGACAAGTCCCGTCCCCTCTCTGAGCCTCAGTCTCCCAGTCTGTCCAGTGAGAAAGGAGGTTGTCAGACTGATGGCGTAGGTCCCTTCCGACTCAGACCCGCCAGGGTTCCACGACTGGCCTCTGCCCCAGTAGTGCCTCAGCGATCTGAGAGCTTGCGTCCCGGCAAGGTGTGTCTGTAAGGGCATCTTTCCTTGGGGGCCTTGTGGCTCTTCTAGGCGGGCCTTGGGCCTCGAGAGTATGTCTCATCCCATGATTTGGTGGTTAACGACATAGGGATTGGAGTCCCAGGCCTGGTGCAGCTGCTGAAGAGCTGGGTGGCTTCGGGAAAGTCTCTTTACCTCTCTGAGCCTCAGTTTTCTCAACTGGCCAATGTGCATGGCAATTCCTGCCTCCCGGGGGTGAGGGCGAGGCGTTGATGGGCTGATGTGTGAAGGCTTTCGTGCTTTAGGCAGGCACAGGGCCGGCCACTGTACATGCCCCTGACGATCATTCGCTTCCTTTTAGCTGTATCCCGAGCAGAGGGTTTACTTGAAATCTCCTCCGGGGATTTCACTCAAGACACTTCTCTGCTTCCTTTGTGAGGGGGGCTGAAGGGTTGACTTTCAGCAGGGTCCTTGGTGGCTGCAGAGGAAGCCACAGGCGCTGGTGATGGCCAAGGGCCTCCTGGACCCCCCTTTGTGGTTCTGCTGGGGCCCTTGCCCTGTTATCCCGTTGGCTCTTTGCAGTAACCCCACGGGGCTGGCAGAGGACGGCGGAGTGAGGTTCAGAGAGGACAATTGCCCGTGCTGAGTCACACAGCCAAGGTGCAGGGCTCCCTTCAGCTCTCCACTGGGAAAAGGCGTTGCTTGTTCCTCCTCATCTGCAAACTCGAAGTGGAAAGATGGTGATCGTGGCTATTAGTCACATCATATCTCCTGCAGTGGCGTCTCCTGCTGCCTCCCTGCCCACCCCCGCCTGCCCCTACTTGTTCTGTTCCCATCACATAGGCCTTCTGGCGCTTCCTCAAACCCACTCAAGAGCATTGCTACCTCAGGGCCTTTGCACCTGCTGCCTGGCACCTGGAATGCCTTTCCTTCCCCGACCCCTTCCTGAAACCACCACCCGCAACGCTGTCATGCTCTGTCCCCTCACTTTGCTTACTTTTCTTCATAGCACTGGCCGCTTCCAGATTCTCCCTCTCTCTCTCTCGCTTTAATTTTATTTTTTCTTGTAGAAAAAAAACATAACATAAAATTTACCATCTTAACCTTTTCTAAATGTGCAGTTCAGTAGCATTAAGTACGTTCACATTGTTGCACAACCAAGCCCCAGAACTCTTACCTCGTAAAACTGAAACTCTGTGCTCATTAAACAACTCCCCAGGCCCCTCTCCCCACGCCCCAGACATTATTTTTGTTGATTTAGTTTTTATAGTTCCTTAATGAGAACGTAAGCTCCATTCAGGCAAAGGACGAGTCTGTCTCGTTCTTCCTGTGCCTGGAACGGTGCTGGTGCGGGCAAGCTCAGTAGCTGTCTACGGGACGAATGAATGAAAAATGAAGATCATGGTGATGACAGCAGCTGGTCGTTACGGGGCCCTTGAATTCGGTGCCAAATGCGGTGCTAGGTGCTTTGCACACCTTATATCATGCAATCCCTGCTCCATCTTTATACCCCCACTTTATAATTGAGGTAAAGGAGGCTCAGAGAGGTGGAGTTATTGGCTCTGGGTCACACAGCAGCGTTGGAAACCAGATCAGCCTGAAAGAAGAGATCGCAATCACGCTGCTTGCTAGCTGGGGCCGTGGCCTGCGCCCACCGGGGAGAAGAGCACACGCCCCGGGCAGCAGAATCGCACCAGCCGTGTTGCGTCAGTCTCCACGGGCCCCTGGATCTGAGATGCTATCGTGTCGCGGAGGGGTCTTGAGGCGTGAGTAGGTGCAGGAGGAATGCTCGTAAACTCCCCAGACCTCTCGGATCAAAGTGACTCTGCTGTTTACAATTAGGAGTCCCCGCTTCTTGGGCGTTTCCGGGGGGCGCTGAGTGTGTGCGTGCACGCTGCTGTACGTGCCTGGGGACGTGCGCGAGGGTCCCAGTGTGGCCTCAGGTGCGAGAGAGATCTGGTGGTGGGTGGGGCCTCCTGCTCCTTCGCAAGCGGACCCGGGCAGGTGGCTTTCGCTCTCCAAGACGCGGTTTTCTCCTCTGTAAAACAGAGATGGCAATCACCCCTCCACCTCACCTGGCTGCTGTAAGGGCCGGATGAAGTCATCTTCTACCTGTGCAGTCCCGGGTGAACGGCAGCGCACAGAGGGGGCCTGTGGGCATGTGCACGCACGCGTGTGTATGTGTGTGTGTTCCAGAGGCTTGTGGTGTTTCTCGAGTCTTGTGTGTATTTTAGACTCTAGGGGAGTCTTAGAATTCCAGGGTTCTCAAACATCAGAGCTGAAGGGGACTCAGAGCTCTAACCCCCCATCTGAGGTCCAGGGAAGGGCAGTGACCCAGCCGCAGTGGCACAGCACGCCAGGGACACAGGCGCGCTGGGGAGGAGCGTGTGGTCACCCTGTCTGAACGGGAGCTTGCTCTTCCCTTGCTCTTACTTTCACGACAGCCCCAAGCTGATGGAAGCCTGAAGTCTGGGGTTTCCCTCAGAGACCTCCTAACCCATGAAACGGCTCAGGTGGCCGTCCCCGGGGCCCCCAGGAAGCGCACGGTCAGCTTGGTCCTCTTGGCCTAGAGCCCTGGCCCAGGTCTGCCTTAGACCCTGGCAGGGGGCCATGGGGACAGAGGGTCAAGGGTGGTACTGGGTGTTGCCAGAGTCCTTCCCCATCTGTACTTGGGTGGCCTCCCTGGAAGAGGAGCCGGGACCGGTGGGAGGACGGGAGGCAGCTGTTCGGGTGGCAGGATGTGGCCGCGTGTGTCGGAGCCGGCCCGACGGGCGTGGGAGTCCCTGCGTCTCGTGGTGGTTGAGCGCATCCCAGACCTCGGTCCCACTCGGTCCACGCCATGCACTGGCAAAGCCTTCAGTCCCCGAGAGACGGTCTCCCCTCTCCCTGCATTCACAAAAGGAACGGTTGGGACCCAGTGTCACTTGGTCACAGTTGCTGTGTCCCAGTTCAGCTTAGAAACTCTGCCAAAGGGGTGAGGGACTCCTCCGATGTCTTCTGGCCCGAGAAGTCCTGAGCGCAGACATGAAGTCGCAGGGAGCTGCGGAGCCTCACACTGGCCACATCCCCTTGGGGAGTGCTCGCTGAGCACTCACTGAGCACTCACTCCACCCCGTCCCTGGCGGCCACATGCAGTGCTGACCAGGGCAGGCAGGGAGCCCGGGCCCCTGTGACCCGCAGGCCCGGTGTGTCTTCCCTGCCTGATGTGTCTCTTCCCCCCACAGGGACACAAGGGCTACCCTGGACCGGCGGGGCACCCCGGAGAACAGGTGAGGCCTCAGCCCAGCCCTGAGGCTCTCCCTCCTTCCAGCCCCGCCTGCCTCTCCTCCTCCCTGCACCCTGCCCCACGAGCAAGCCCAGAGCCAGGCTGTCCTGCCTCCCGTCCCGCTGGGGCCCCCAGCCCAGCGCAGGCCGCCTCGCCACCTCTCCCCCGGCCACATCTGCCTGAGAGAGCCAGAGTCCACGCCGGCCCGCTGCTGGCACGAGCCACTCAGCTCCGTCCAGAGCCATCAATAGCTGGCCTGTCCCGGGCGGTGTTAGGGGATATTATACGTGCCGCCATGGGGTTTGCAGGAATTTTGGCCGCCCTGGCTCAAGACAAACAGCGGCCCTGCCCGCGCAGGACAGCCAGCCAGGCCTCCGTGGTGATTTCTTATTCCTGGGCTGCAAGCAGAAGGGTTTTTGTCCCTCCGAGCTGGTCTGACCGGTTCCACAGAGAGGTGGGCTTAGGGGTGTCCCCTTCCTCCTGTTTCATCTCACATTCCTGCCCCGTCTTTGTTCATTGTCAGCCCCAGGCCCCCGCTGCCCCCAGACCCAGAGCTGGGCAGGGTCCCTCCTTTCCTTATGTTCCTCTCTGTTCCTTTGCAGGGGCAGCCGGGACCTGAGGGCAGCCCAGGGGCCAAAGGTTACCCTGGCAGGCAGGTGCAGTATATGGCTTCTGGAAGCTCTGTGGCCATGGTGGTGTGGAGATGGCCATGGTGCCCCAGGCAGAGGGAGGCGGTGGGCAGGGGGCCAAGGAGATGCACCTGCCAGGTGGGCCCTAAAGAAAGGGCTGTGGAGGGGCTGGGCCAAGGAAGCCTCTCTTTGCAGGCGGCGGGACAGGGCTGCTCAGTAAGGGGGGCCCTGGTTCCGGGGGCTCCTCCAGAGGCTCCTCCCACTCAGTCTGCCTCCAAGCCTCCTCCCCAGGACCCTGGTGCTGGGGGGCTCAGGATGGAGACTGCGGGTCCAGCCCCACCCCCATCCGACAAAGGGAGCAGCTGAAGCCCAAAGCGACAGGACCCGCCCGGGCTTGGCAGCAGGTGGAGCGTGTCCACATGTCCTTGCTCTTCTGTCTTTTGTGTTTCAGGGGTTACCTGGACCTGTAGGAGATCCCGGCCCCAAAGGCAGCCGGGTAAGTGGTCCTTGGCCAGAGCCACAGCGGTGGGGCCTGGGTGGGCATCTGTCCCTGCAGTGGGCTGGGTGAGATGTCAGGGCTGTCAGCCTCCCACTTGGGTGCTCCCGGGAGACCAGAGGGGCAGCAGGGGTGCGGGTGATGGGGACCCGTGAGCCGGCTTGGTCCCTGTGGTCAGGCAGTCTGGACAGGAAGTCTTGGCTGGGGTTCTACTGTAGCCCGGCTGCAGACAAGTAGGCATTTGCTTGCTGTGTCCCCCGAGTCCTCCCCAGCCACCAGGGACCAATTACTGTCACTGGAATCTTCAAAGGCCTCTTCCTGCTCCCAGCTGAGGGCTGGAGGGGCACCCTTCTTGGAGGGCGGTGGTATCTGGTGGGTTCATGTTGCCCAGGCCTGGAGGCTGGGGGAGCTTCCTGATCTCTGCTTCCCTCTGGGCCCCCATGGAGCAAACCTTGAGTGGCTGTCAGCCTCAGTTTGCCTGTCTTTACAATGGGTGGTGCCCACCCTGCCTCTAGCCTGGTTATGGGGTTGCCGGGGATTTGACAGCCAGTGCCGCTAAGGAGGGGGCCCCCAGGTAGGGGCTCCCATGTGGGTTGTGGGGAGGTGGAGGAGGTGCTGGGTGAACTGAATGGGTAAATGGAGTTGGAAGGACTAGGAGCTGATCTGCTGGAATCCTCTCTTCTACCTACAAAGAAATGGACGGCCCCAGCCCATGCTGCAGGCCCAAGGTGGAACTGGCACGGGGACCCAGGTGTTCTGAGGCCTGGGCTCCTGCCTGTCCGGGAACACTCAGCAAGTGGGTCACACAGTCCTCGGTCAGGTCAGGTCAGGGCAGGTCATGTGTGACAGCTGCCAGAGCTATTTATACCCCGGCGGGAGGGAGCGGGAACGGAGCAGTCTCCGCCCTCACCCCTGCAGGAGGCTGGGGCTGTTAGGAAGGAGAGGCAGGGAGGGGCGAGGAGGGTGTGGGCAGGTGCGTTCTCCAGAAGGTTATCCTGATGGGGGGGGCCTGAGGAGGCTCCGGTCCTGGGGTGCTGGGCCCCCCTTCCTTGATGCAGCTGTTCCCGTGAGCTGTAGCCCCAGAAGGGCCTTCTCACCCCAGCTAGCGAGAGAGGTGTTCTCAGCCCAGTCCCAGGTCTCCACCCGCCAGGAGGGCAGGGCGTGGTTGTGACATCTGGGGCCGCTTGATTTGCCGTGCTGGCAGCATCTCGAAGCCACACGGGGAGAGGACCGTCCTGGCCCCAGCACTCCTGTCTCCTGTGGGTCACAGAGCCCTGGGCAGCCTGGGTGGGCCAGGGGCTGCTCCAGCTGCCCTTCCAGCCCTGCCACCGCCAGCTCCGTATTTCTGAAGCAAGCAGGGTGCAGGCTGTGGAGGCAGGATGGCTGGCTTTAACACCTGCTCTGCCATCAACCAGCTGTGGGACCTTGGGCAAGTCACGGGGCCTCTCTGAGCCCATGTTCTCACCTGTGAATCTGGGGCATAAGCCTCCTTAGAAGGGTCAGTAAATGTCCCTCTTTAACAGCATGAACATTGAGCACGCTGGATGCTGAGGAGGTGGCCCAGGGGCTTCATGGCCTTCCAGCGAGGGACAGGGATTGCAAGCCCCCAGGGGTTGCTCGACTATGGGAGGCAGCGGTAGCCTGACGATTTGCGTTAGAATGCGGGTTCTACCACATTCCAGCTGTGGGACCCTGGGCAAGTCACTTGGCCTCTCTGGACCCAAATGTCCTCCCCGTACACGGGGCGTCTAACAGCACCTCCTTCCCTGCTGCGTGGTGAGGACGCAGTAAGTGCTTTAGTGCGTACAAAGCACCGAGAGCCGGACCTGGCGCGTAGTTTGTGCTCAGAAGCCACTAGTTTTAGTGGCAGTTATCGTTAGGCCATTCCGTGACCGTCCAGAGTGCAGGTAGTGGTAGACGCCCTGGGCCAGGTCCCTGCCCTCGAGAGGTTCCCAGGCTGGTGAGGTCCTGAAACTCGGACGCAGATAACGAAGATAGGAGGGAGAAAGTGAAAGTGGGGGGGGGGGTAGGAGCCACCGACTGGGGTGCACACATGGCTCGGGGCTGCGCCGGGAGGCTGCTCTGGCTGGCGTGAGACGCTTGCCGAGAGAGCACACCAGAGCTGGGCTTTCAAGGATTTGGCCCTGCAGTCACGGGGGTGGGAAGGGCGTGCCTGGTGGAGGGGACGGTGGGTAGAGGCCGGGAGGCTGGGAGTCCGAGGCACTTGAGGGAGAGCCCAGGCTTTGGAGAGCTGGACCGAGGTAACCCTGGAGCTGATCAGGAGTTCACTAAGGGAGCCCCCAGCTCTGCCACTGACCGATTGTGTCGCCTTAACTCCAGAGCGTCAGCTCCATTGTCTGTCCCGTGAGGGGGATGACGGCCGATCTGTGGGTCTTTGCGAGGGCGCGTTGCGTGAGCACAGGTGTGCCTGGCACAGCGTTTGCACGCTGGGACTAACAGCGCTCAGGTGGCTGTCAGTGCTGGGACTGACAGCGCTCAGGTGGATGTGGGCCCCACGTCCGGGACTTTCGAGGCCCGGAAGGCGCTGCTGCAGGGGCCACGGGCGCCCGTGGGCATCCCTGGGGGTGGGCAGGACTCGGTGCCCCTCTGGCACCTAACCCGGCCGAGAGCTTCCTTCCGCAGGTCCCGGAGCCCCGGCGCGGGGCGGGCCTCCCACCGCGAGAGCCCGCGCCCTTCCCTGGCGTGAGGGTATGTGCCTTTGGACTACATCGTGGAAGCCAGCACCATGCAGTCCATGGGCATATACACTTGCCTCAAGGCCTATGTCGTCGAGGAGCCGCCGGAGCCGCCACTGCCAGCAGCGAGCAAGAGGAGCCGGGGCGTGGGATGGCAGCCGTGGGTGGGCTGGGACCCGTCGGGCCGGCCGCGCCACCCCGCTCGACCTCTCTGACCCCTCTGCTCTTTTCCAGGGCTACATTGGACTCCCAGGGCTCTTCGGCCTGCCAGGGTCTGATGGCGAGCGAGTAAGTTGCTGCTCTGCTTCCTCACCCTCCACCCACCCCCGCCCGAGCCACTCGAACCTGCCGGGCGCCAGCCTGGGGAAGTCACGGAATCCCTCCTGGAGGAGGTGCCCTTGAGTTGAGGAGGTGTCTGCTAAGGGGAAAAGTCGAGGCAGATGTGTTCCAGACAGAGGGAACAGCATGTGCAAAGTCAGGAATGTGCGATGACAAGTATAACAGTCGTCATCGCCAAAGGCGAGGGTGTTGGGAGCTGAGGCTGGGGAGGGTGGGGGCTGGCTCAGGGACCAAGGTCAGGCAAGGGACTCCATTCTGAGGGCAAAGGGAGCCTCTTGAGGGCTTTCAGCAAACAAGAAAGAGGCCCACCTCATAGTCTAGCTCTGGAGTCTGCAAACTTTGGCCCAGAGACCAAGTCTAGCCAGTTGTCTGTCTTTGTAAATGAAGTTTTGTGGAACACAGCTTACTCACTTGGTTCCATATTATCTGTGGCTGCCTCCTACTACAGTGGCAGCGTGGAGTAGTTGTGACAGAGACCTTCTTGCCCGCAGAGCCAAAAATATTCACTATCTGCCCCTGTATAGAAACCATCTGCTGACCCGTGTTCTAGACAGATCAGCCCATTTTCTTGGGTAAAATGTGGCTGGAGACAGGGGGAGCAGGTGGCCGCCGTGCCAGCAGTCCAGGGACAAGGTGGGGTGCTGTGCCTAAGTGGGGGCAACAGAGCCAGGGGGCCGTGTGGGGGGCAGGGGAAAGGGGAGCTAGTGGTGGGTGCCTGTCTCTGGCTGGGCCCTGAGGTCCCTGAAGAGATGGGGACACTCAAGGGGAACAGCTCTCTGGGGAAGCTTGTGAGTCTGGTTTGGGGGGACAGTGGGTGCTAAAGTTTTCTAAGGCGCCCTGTCCTTCCAGACAGAGCATCTACAGCAGGGGACCGAGGGGATGAGCAGGAGCTTCTAACAGCACGCTGGCCCAGCCCTGACGTCCATTAGAAGCCCCAGGGCTGGCAGCCTTGGGACCTTCTTCCCTGCCCCTTCCCAGCCTGAGCCCATATCTGGGAGGGAGCTCGGGTGTAACCTTATCAATAAGCTGAGTATGGGAACTCTTAGGAAAACAGGAGACTGAGCGCTTAGTAAGCACCTGCTGAATGCAGGAGCACTGGGTGCTTTCTGTAGGCATGTCCCAAACCTGCCGTGCATCTGATGGGCAGCTGGTGCCACTGCACACACAGCATGGATTCCAGGCCCCCTGTGACTTCCTGTTGTGGGCAGCTCCAGGGCTGGTTTGGGGCAAGCCTGGCTGTCCCTGCTGGTCTTCCACCCTGACCTCTTCCCTCTCTCTCCCCCGCAGGGCCTGCCTGGTGTTCCTGGCAAGAGGGGCAAGATGGGTATGCCGGTAAAGATTTTCCGTGTCTATTATGCAGACTCTAGGGGGACACCCCCTCCCATGGCCATGCTGCCCTGGCCACCTGCCGCCTGGCTTCTTCCGCTTCTCCCTGCTTGGCCATGGCTGTGCTTTGAGTGTGGGGGCGGCACACGGGGCTGCCGGGGCCGCGAGTCCTGCTGCTGGACACTGAGTGGCTGCGGCCGCCTGGGGCTGGGACTTCCTTGGGTTCCAAGCCCCCTGGGGTGGCTCTTCTCTCCCTGGGGGCGACAGTGGCGCTCAGTGCAGCTCCGTGTCTGGGAGGCTGCTGTCTAGGCTGTTTGTGTTCGTGGGCCTGCTTGGACTGGGGGACGCCAGCCTGGCCAGGTGACCCCACTCTCACCTCCCACGCAAACTCAGTGCCCACGTTGTCGGGGTGTCACCTGGCCCTGTCCGGTTTCACTCGTGCACACACGGGCCCAGGGGACAGTGGGGCACGTGGGTAGACCCGCAGCAGGCGTGACCCCAGAAGGGGCTCAGCGGTGACCCCCAACCAACCAGCTCTGTCTGTGATTCCCCGTCGTGGTAGGACATTGTTTATCCTGTTGTTTGCACATCTGTGGGACGTGAAGAAAAAGCCAAGGCGCAGAAAGATTAAGTCACTCTCCCTGAGGTTTCCTGATGAGTAAACAAGAGAGTCAGGACTCTAACTCAGGGGGTCTGTCCCCAGGGTCTCTGATCTCATGGGGGCTCGGGGCAGCCTCTCAGGAGCCCTGGTTGGTGGCAGTATTGTAAAAATAGATTCCCTGGAAACTGCCTGGAACGAAGGTCATTCCTTCCGATTATTAGAAGGGGAAACTGAGGCTCCAAGAGTCAGCGTGATATGCCAACATCCCTCTGCCACGCTGAGGCAGGCCCAGGACTGTAAGTTAGGTGTCTTTCTTTCAGGCCCACCCCCTGGGTGGCTTAACGCTTGCTGCTGCTGTCCTGCAAGTGGACCCCAGACCTGGAGCCACGTCCAGCCCCGGGTCTGGGCCTCCCCTTGCTTGTGGCTGGTGGAGAAGGGTCTGTGGGCAGGTGGGAGCCAGAGAGGCTGCTGGCATGGGAGCCAGGGGCCCTCGGGGGCACTCCGAGGGGCTTGTCTGCACTTCTGCAGCTGAGGGGTGTGTTACTGTTGCAGCGGATTGAGCAGGGCCCTATGGGGACCAAGGAGGGGTACAAAGAAATGCAAGGCCCAGGTCCTGCCCTCGAGGAGCTGACCCGGGGGTCCCCATCTTCAGACATAGGCCTCTCTGTGGCCCGACAGCCACTCTGGCTCTGACACCTGGCTGAGGGCAGGAGTGGCGCCGAATGCCCCTGGCTTCAGGGCAAAGACTTGCAGTCTGGGGGGGCTGGGCTGGCACCTGGGACCACCCCTCACGCCAGGCGACCTTAGGCAAGGAGGTTCGTTCATTCGGTGGGTACCTGTTGACTGCCCACTGTGGGCCAAGCGTTGTGCTTGGTGCAGAGCAATGAATAAGACAAAGTTCCCGCTTTCTTGGGGCAGACAATCACTGAATGGGGAAATGGAAGAACGAATGATCTAATGAATGTCAGGTAGTGCTAGTTGCTAAGAGAGGGTACGATAGGGAACGGTGAGTGCTGGGAGGCTGGACTCTTGGGTAAGTTAGTCTAGAAAGTCCTCCTTATTTCATGAGAATGAAGCGAGGATGGCAACCGTGTGGCTTTCTGGGGAAGAATATTCTAGGTCTAGGTTAACAGCAAGAGCAAAGGCCCTGGGGCAGGAGTATGCTTGGGTCAAACTTTCCAAACTGCTTTTTTCTTATCTGAGAAATATCTGGGGACAATAGTGCCTAGCTTGCAGGAACATTGTGCTTGCCACATAGTAAGTGCTCAGGAAATAGTAGCATCATCGTTCCTATCTGTAGTCTCCTGGATGGCTGAGGGGCTCTCCGTATTGTGCAACTTTGGGCCAGTGGTTTCAGCTTCTCTGGGTCTGGTTTCCTGCAGTTTCAGTTGCCGAGTGGGAGCAGTTGACTTAGATCATCTCAGATGGGCCCTGCTCCATCTCCCAGGCCCACCTCCAAGGCCACGGTTGGGGGATTGATTCAGACTCCATCCCGGGAGCCGGACCGAGGGCCAGGCGTTGCCAGCTTCCAGATGAGGAGGGGAGACTGAGGCCCGGAAGCTGGATGACTGGGCCAAGGTCATGCGGCTGCTGAGAGTCAGAGTGGGGCTAGGATGCAGCGAGAGCTTCCGACTGGCCCCAGCGTGCAGCTGGTGAGAGAGAGCCTGGGTTCTGGAGTCTCCGGGGCGTGGAAGAGGCAAGACGTGTGAAACTCTGGGCACATCATGCCGACTTCTCCAACAAGGCAGGGCTGTGCCTCAGTTTCCCCCTTCCACCACCCCTCTTCATCCTCTCCCCTCCCCTCCCAGCAGCCCTTTCATCCACCTTCTCCCCGCCACGCACCTGTGTTCTTCTTGGAGCTGAAAGTCACGCTGTCTGTGGCCTGGCCAAGAAGGCGGCGCCAGTCTGGCGTGCCGGGCACCGCGACCCGCCTGCGGGTGAGATAAGGCCACGCGCTCATTCCCATTCAACCAGAGCTCACTGAGCACCTGCTGTATGCCAAGAGCTGGGGAGAGTGCTGCAGCCACAACACAACTTCGTTGGACCTCAGCCAGTATGCCTCCTGGCACAAAGGAATTCAGCTCATTCTCCTGACACTTCCTTTTCTTAATAAATGCCTTGAAGTCGCCTGGCCTGAAACTTGGACAAGAAGGCAAAACCATCGACAGAAGGAGCCCCCAGCCCCACCAGGCAGATCAAGGGGCTGGCTGGGAGCACAGGCAACAGAGAGGTGGCCCCGAAGACCACCCAGAGAATGTGTGAGCCGCTGGGCATGGCAGACTCGGAGGCCCAGCGAGACAGAGACAAAGCCATAGGGATTCAGCGGGTCTGAAGTCCTATAACGTACATACCAAATCGTATCTGCTGCAGACCTTGCCCATTTGCTGGCCATGGTGGGTGGGCCAGAGCAGGGGTATTGCACAGGTAGAGGGTTGTTTGGCTGAAGAGATAGGTCATGAGTTTAAGGCTTAAGGGTGAGGACCATCAATAAACACAATAAATGACCAGAAGAAAGCATGGCTGTGACCCTAAGTCCCCTTTAAGTGAAAGGAAGCAACTTTTATTGAGGCCCTTTGTGTATGTGGTATTGGAACCACATGTGATTCTCCTGATGAACTTTAGGGCAAGATGAATGATCCCTGTTTTCCAGATGAGAAAACTGAGGCTTAGATTGTCAAAGCCATTTGTCCAGAGACCCACCAAGGCTCAAACCCCCATGGCCGACAACTCCTCTCTGCCCCCTTGCTCCTTGCCTTTGACTTCCCAAGATTCAGCCCTGACCTGGGTGACGGGGGTATTCCCTGGCACTGGGGTGCCAGATGTGGGTGGGCGGGAACGCCCTCCTCAGCCAAGCAGCCCTCTGCCCACGCAGTGCCCTTGGGAGCCGTGAAAACACCCGTGACCCTGGTCCAGCCACCGCGGCCAACAGACCGCAAGGTCTGCATCAGATGGGATTTAATGAGCACGTAGCAGGGCTTTGTCTCCACCTCGGCTGGGCCTTTAGGGCCATCCCTCGGTTGCCCATGTCCCCAACCCCTTGATCTGGGGTGGGGCTGGGGGCTCCTTCCGTGAATGGTTTTTCCTCCTCGTCCAAGTTTTGGGCCGGGCGATCTCTAGGCACTTATTAAGAAGAGACAGTGTCAAGAGAATGAGCTGAATTCCTTCGTGCCAGGTCGCAGCTGGCCTCGTTTCTGGCGGGCTGGTGATGATTTCGCTGAAGTCAGTGTTTCCCCAGCAGGCAAAACCTCAGGCCCATGCATGTGGCCTCCTCAATATCCGATTTGGAAGGAGGGCGTTCAAGAGTCTTTTGCTGACGGGAGCCGAGGAGGAGACAGGGCTGCCGGGACCTTAGCGATGGGCCCAGCCTCTTTGTCAGACAGATAAGCAGACATAGCCCAGAGAGGGCAAGTAACTTGCTCAAGGTTAACAGCAAGTCGGTGGCAGACTGAGGACTTGAACCCAAGACCCTTGCTTGCTAGTATAGGGTGCTTTCTGCATGGCTCCGTTTCCTCTCTGCTCACATCTTCAGCCTCCAAAGGAAAGCTTAGTCTGCAGCTGCCAGCCCTCCTCACATCCCTGCTAGAAAGTTGTGCTGTGGCTTTCTGCAGAGGGGTCTGGATACAGGATGTTACCAACCTGGCTGGAGCTGAGTGGGTCTCTCTTGGCTTGTCCTGGCTTGTTCAGGGCACGGCTCAGTGTCACTTACAGCGGGAGGTCGAGCCATGCCTCCCGGCCAACAGTCTCTCATGGGGCTGGGAAGATGTGGGAGTGACTCCTCTTGCCTTGTACCCTCTGGATTCATGACCAAGCCCACTGCGATGCCTAGCAAGGCAGTTCACCATGCACGGCTTCTTGCATGGCCGCTGGCCAGGCCTGCCTGGCCCTTCTCAGCAGTGCGTGGGGGGTGGAGGGGAGACCCTGAAGCTTACAGCTGGACGGGCCCAGCTGTGGCTCCAGCTCCATCATGTGTGGCTCAGGGACGACTGGGACTTGCCCAAGGCCACACAGCCCTCTGGGCTAGGACAGGGCTTCTAACACGGTGCATTTTGACTTCAAGCCCAGGGCTCTTTCCAGTTCTGATATTCTGGGGAGCCGGGAGCCAAGTGGCACAGAACTCATATTTCCAGGGGAGGGAAACTGAGGCCACAACAGATTGAAGGTTTTAGCTGTGGTGATGCTATGAGCTGGAGGTGTGGTCTCCAGCGTCCCAGATGTGAGCCAGGGCTGTCCTGGGGCCATTGGTGGCCCTGGAATCCTGGTGAGAACTCTCCCAACCTGTCTCCTCCTTGTTCCCTGAGGTGACTTTTCTTGGATAGATTCCCTAGTGAATTTCAAAACGGCAGGGTGAAAATACGTTCAGCAGCGCGAGAGAAGGGAGCGGGGGGACTTGAGGGAGGCCTTTCCATGTAAGCATGCTTGGAGTACACACACCCAGAAAAGAATATGGGCTGTTTCAAGTGCAGCAGGAAGGATGCAGGTTAGACTTGTGTAGGAACTTCCAGACTTTGGAAAATTTACACCTTGTAAAGAGTTCTCCAAGATCCTTCTGCAGGTTTCTTGTAGAAGTTATTAAATATTCCCACTGTTGGTGCTAACCCTAACTAGCATGGCGATGGCACATTCGAGTTTACCAGGGACTGGATTATAAACATAGCACCTCTTCTTCAGCCCGGCCCTGCCAGGTGAGTGGGGCAGGGTGACTGTTTTGCAGGCCAGGGAGCTGAGCCTTAGAGCACGAGAGGACTTCTGATTCCTTTGCCTCCCTGCCGCTATCCCATCCTCTGGGACAGACAGTTGACATAAATGATACCTAGAGGCTGGGCATAGGTGAGATGGCCTTCAGAGGTCTCTCCAGCCCTTGGCTTCCTGCTTTGGATGTGGCGACAAGGGCTGTCCCCGTCTTTAACCTCTATTGCTCTGAGTTGCTGTAGCCAAGACAGAACGTGGAGACTCGCCCCTGAGCCCTGTTCTTTCTGCTCCTGGGCCTTGCTCTGCCCAAAGTACGAGGCGTTCAGTTCCCCAGAGGGGCCCGACCTAGGGAAGCGGAGAACCACGTGGCCGGGGCCTCGGCAGGGAGCCGAGCTCATTCCTTGGGCTTCGGGCCAGCCTGCTGCAGCCAGGGGCTCGGCATGCGGAGGAAGGTCCTGCTGCCGGCCGGGCCGGTGTGCATGCCATGTGGTCGCCTTGCACAAGCAGGCGTGGCCAGGCGGAGGGAAGCAGACGGGGTAGAAGTGGGGGCCGCATGTCCAGCAAGGCTGCCGCCTCTCTGAGATCCTGAGGGGCCAGGCCTCGGGGCCCGGGGGTGACTGCTGGAGGTGGCCGTGCCGTCGGCCGTGCAGGGAGGAGGCAAGCGGGTGGGATGATGGGGCCTGGGCGTGGAATCCGTGTTCTGCTGGACATCAGGAACATCTAGGGTCCTTTTGTCTTAGAAGTCTATGACTGTTCAGTCAAAGATTCGTCCTGGTGCTTTTAAAGCTCTGTCTTCTTTCCAGCTGTTGCGCTGGTAATTACAAACCCTGGATTCCTGGAGGTCATCCGCTTGACCCCTCCGTAGGAAGGGAGACTGTGCTGGAGAAAGGGGGGTGGGTACCTGGGGCCACCAGCATGTCCAAGCAGAACCAGTCCTCGTCCCTGGCACCAGCAGGCCCTTCCTTTTCATGCATTAGCTCAGGGCTCTGCACCCTTCAAGGCCCACAGGCAAGCACGGGTCCGTTCTGATCACTGGGTGTCCTGTCATAGCTAAGAGAACGGGTTCTGCTGCCAGACTGCCTGGTTGAAATCCCAGCTCTGCCATTCCAGAGCTGTGCGACTTTGGACACATTTCCTAACCTCTCTGGGCCTCCTCTCTAAAATGGGGCCAACAATAGGACCTATCCCCTGGGGCTATAGGGAGGTCATGTGGTTGGAGTTCGTTGTTACTGTCCTCGTCTTGTCCCACTGCTTTGCCCACTGGCTGTACTCGGGCTGCATTTTTTCTGCAGAAGTGACTCCCTCTGGGGTTTTGACTCAAAATTCTGATGACAATCTCTCCCTTGCTTATACCTAAGGGATGTGCCCTCGAGTGGCCCTGGCCTACTATGTGCCAGCGACATCTCAGCTTGTCCTCTCTGTACTCCCCATTGAACAGCAGAGAAAGCTGAGGCTTAGAGAGGCCCGTGGGTGGCGCAGCCAGCGCTGGCTCGGGGGCGGCTGGCCCTGCAGCCGGGCCGAGAGGAGTCCCTGAGCCACCCTGGAGCAGCCTCTGAGTGCAGACCTGTGGGTCTGAGACCTGCCTGAGGACCGACCGCTGGATGTGACTGTGTGGGGCGTCACAGCCAGGATGGTCCCTGGGTGGCGGGGGCAGGTCCTGTCAAAGTCTCCATCTTGCCCCCGCCTGGGTGGCATTCCTGCACTTAGGGAAAGAGTCTCCTTCCTCCCGGGCCCTGTCTGAGGGGTGGGCCAAGCTGCAAGAGTCCTTGCATATCACACCCCACCATGTGACAGTCATGTGAGAGCCTGCCCCAGGTCACACAGCCAGCCCAGAGGAGAACTGGGCTCATCTCTCGGTGGTCTCCAGGTGCCGGACTTGGAGAACAGAGCAGGGACTTCTCAAGCCTGCCACTAGAAGGCCACTCGGGGTTCACCAGGTGCCCAGCTAGACAGTGTCCCTTGGTCCCCTGTTGGGTTGTCCTCCTCTCCTGCCAGGCCCCTCCACCCCAGCCTCCAAAGGCCAGAGGTGGGAACTAAATGCCTTCCAAAGGCCCCCCCGGCTGTAGCCTGCCAGGCTCTTGTCTCCTTTGCTGGGTGGGACGGCTCTACCTTACAGCGTGGTTGAGAGGGGCAGGATTGGGGTGAGACAGGAATTCGCCAGGGGAGCCCCTAAGGATGTGGGTAAGGAAGCTTAGGTGGGGGAGCAGATGTGCCCCCACAAAGACAGGACCCGGAGATGGGCCTGCATGCACATGCATGTGTGTACACGCATGTACACGCCCACCCTCTGCAGCCAGCTGGACGAGCAGTTTCTGCATGCCAGGCTTTGCCCATGCACAGCTCATATGAACATGACAGTACAGAGAGGTGGGACCTGGGCTCAGCTTTGCCACACACTTGCTTTATAGCCTTGGCCAAGTGACTTTTCCTCTCTGAGCCTCAGTTTTCCAATCTGTTAAGTAGGACCAATAACCTTTCCTTCAAGGGTGAATGTCAAAAGCAAGTGAAGTTTTGCATGCAAAGTGACCACCTTGGTCAGAATCTCATTATTTTTTTCTGAATGGAGCCACACCTTCTATGGGGTGAATGTCAACCCAGGAGGGCTTCCTGGCAGCGGAGCGACTTGAAGGGCAGGCCAAGGCTAAAGGCCTGGCCGCACACACACCTTTCATGGTCTCTGCTCAGCCAGTAGAGGCTTCAGTTTGGATTTTGTTCTTAGGTTGGTCTTTTTGGTTTAATCTACTCCCTGGATTCCGCTAGTATTAGAAACCAAAAATATGATTATCCTCCATGAGGAATCTTCACCGTTTGACCAGCTCAGACATTCTTGGTCAGGAAAACATGTGCTTTGTTTTTTATTAAGTTTCCCTGGAAGAACAGTGATTTGAATTTAAAGAGGGGAGGAGAGAACAGGTTTCCCCCCACTCCAAGCTCCAGGACTTTCTTTTCCTTTTGAAGTAGATGCGGAGCTCTCCCCCCGGCCCCGGCCCCCGGCCGCGTCCCCGCAGCCGCTGTTTTCCCAGCTGCCTGTCTCCCCAGAGAGCGTGGAGTGAGTGGCCTCCAGGGTGTGATCGGGCTAGGCGGTCAGCCCCTCTCTGAGCTGCTGAGACTCACCTGCAGAGGCTGCGCCACGGTCGCTGGCGGTGTGACCTTGTGCGACCTTGCCATTACCCTTTCACAGCTTCATTTCCTTTATCTGCAAAATGGGGAATCACGATTCCATGGGGTGGCTTTTGAAGAACATGTCATAATCAGAGGAGGTGTAAGCTGGAAACTGCCACAGCAGCCATCCCCTGTTTGACCAGTGGGGAAACTGAGGCCTATAGGAGAAAAGGATGCTCTGAACACTGGCCTAGACCCAGCTTCGTGATTCCCAGTTTGTGTCCTTCCCACTCCGTCGGGACCAGGCCCCAGGCTGGGGGAAGGAGGTATTTCATGCTGGGAAACCAGGTACCATTTCCTTTTCAGAGGCTCTGAGTCGAAAAGAAGAGGGCTCCCTGCCCATGGCCTGTCCCTGGGAAGTTCTTCATGTGTGGGTGTTTGCTGATGGCAGGAGGCGACCCAGCTGTCTGCCCAGAGCCAAGGGGTGATACTGCTTGGACATTGTCCTTGTGCCCCCACTGAGGTCTGGATCAAAGCCCACCCTGAAGCTGTAAACACTAACCTACAGATGTTTGTTCTCTTTCATGCCTTCTAGGGGTTTCCTGGAGTCTTCGGGGAAAGAGGACCTCCAGGGCTGGATGGAAACCCCGTAAGTATTTCGAGTGTGTAGGAACAAGAGAGAGATTCAGAGCAAACACACAGCGTGTTTTAGGAGACCAGACTTTGGGGTCAGACAAACCTGGGTTGAATTCCCGCTCTGTGGCCTGCTAGCAGGGTGTCCCTACATAGATCACAGGACCTCTCTGAATGCCAGGCTCCTGTCTACTGTGGATGCCCTGTGTCCTCCCCATGAGAGCCCCCCCACCCACCTAGGCCCTGGGTACAAAACCCCAGGCTGTACCCCATCCCCAAGACTTAGAAAGGTTCCCAGGTCACTCCCCCCTGGAGAGGCCCTGGCTGCTGCCATCTTACACGGCATCAGAAATGTTTATGGGCTGGCAGAGGCCCGGGAGAGCAAATGGCTTGCACGCCCTGTTTGGAGAGAAGAGCTGAGTTCCACAGGAATCTCCACCGCAGGCATGTTTATAGCATTTGTAAATAATCCGAGGCCAGGCTCTGTCCCATCAGCGAGCCAGGTCAGCCTGCCCTGGGGGGCTGACTCTGCCTTTCCCTCCGTCCCAGGCTCCAGACCCGGGTGGGAGAAGGTGTTCGTCTTGGCCTGGGGGTGCAGACCGTGCCCAGAGCTCTTTGGCACACCTGCCACGGCCCCCACCTGTCCTTGGGGTTTCCTGCCCGAGTGGCCGTGCCAGCCGTGCCTTCTGCAGAGGTGGCTGCTGGATCCACGACCAGCACCCCATTTTGTGTTAATTCAATTCCACAAATGCTTCCCCATCCTGACCTAGCCAGGCTCCCTTGGGGGTTACCGCCTTGGCCTCAGAGCCAGACAGACCTGGGTTTGAATCCTGCTGCACCACTCACCAAGTGTGAGCTTGGACAAATCCGTGCTCCTCTATGAATCTCCATTTCCTCATCTAAAAACCTGCAGGATTAGAACACCAGCTTCAGCAGGCTGTCCCGAGCATGAAGGCAGGGCGGGCAGGTCACTTGCCCCGCCCCGCGCACGGCTTGATGGGTGGGGCTGTGTACATACTAGGTAGTGAGCAGGGCAGTCCCTGCCCTGCAGGAGTTCATGGGCCGCCGCCCCAGGCTGTTGCACCAGACACAGAATCAAAGAGGTCCTGGTGCCCTGGAGAAGGGCGCAGGGAAGACACCTGGGGAATTGGGACAAGGAAACCAGTGAGGGGACATCCCAGGAGAGGAAGGAGCGCCAGCAAAGGCAGGGAGCGGGGAAACCGGAGCCTCTCCATCGATACGTCACTTATTAGATTAACCAGTTCAATATGCGATGTCATTCTGGAAGCTTCCTTCCGGAGAGCCAGGAGCATCTTCATGCTCATGGCCCAGAGGAGCAGAACGAGGACCTGATGTCTGGTCCCAGGTCTGCCACAGAGTTGCTGAGTGACCCTGGATGAGTCACTTCCCCTTGCTGTGCTCTGGTGCCCTCATTCAAAGCCAAGGCTGCTGCCTACCTCCTGGTCTCCTTCTTGGTAGCTCTAGTGGCACCCTCCCCATCCGGGCAGCCCCGGGATGGCACCGAGGAGGAAGACAAACCCCCTGGGAGATGTTGGCAATTCTCATTACTACTGCAGCCCCCGATTTTTATTCTCACCTTTCCATTTTGAACTTGACCCAGACCCCTCCACCTGTCTGTCCTGGTGTGAGCAATGGGAGATCAATCCATTTTTTTAGATGAGGAAACTGAGGTTTAGGGAAGCAATCACAAGCACAGCCTCATCGCCTGACTTGCAGGCAAGAACTCTTTTCAGCCTCCTGGAGCTCTGGAAGGAGGAAACCTGAGTGTGTGGGGTGCAGGGGAGGATTTTCCAGGTCCCCCCTGCACCTCCCAGCCAAGAGAAGGAGGGATGCCGCCTGGTGGCCCTCAGCTTGGAGCCCTCACAGCTTTGTTATTGCCTTGCACCTCACCTTAGCCAAATCATGTAACCTGTGCAGCCTCAGTTTTCCTGTCTGTAACTCGAGAGTGAAATCTCAGACACCCTGCACGTCTGTATTACCACCATCAGGATTCTGCCCATTGTTTCATACTTGCAATTGGAAGATATTGGATTTGGGAGGCCCAGCTCCCCATTTTACAGACAGGGAAAGCTGATGGCAGAGAGGGGAAGGGTCTTGTCCAAAGTCAAGGCCGGGCACAGGAGGGTCACTGGAGCCTGTGGTCAGGAAGAAGGAATGGTCAGCTCTGAATGACCCCACCAAGTGCCCGTGTGGAGGATGGCAGGGAGGGCGGGGCCCTGGAGGGAGACAGCGCAAGTAACCACCTTGGCCTCTCTCTCTTTGCAGGGAGAACTGGGCCTGCCAGGGCCCCCAGGAGTCCCCGGCCTCATTGTAAGTAAACTGATCCTGGGGGTGGGGGGAGGGTGAAGGCAGGGTCGAGCCAGGGCGTGGGAGAAAGCAGCAGGCCTGGCAGACCCTTCTCTCGCCAACCCCCGGGAAGGGCTGGAGGAGCAGGACCAGCCTGGACAGGGGAATGAAGGAGGATAGCCCTGCTGTGTGGCCTCAGGTGGGTGACCTGCCTCCTCTGAGCCTGTTTCCTCATTAGTTAAATGGGATGGGCGCTTGGGGCATGAGACGGCAACGTACTTTCACGCCTGCCCACTGGCCGTTGCTCTGCAAGGGACGCTGGGTGGGTGACGGCATGGCCCATCCCACAGGCGAGGGGCTTCCGGTCCAGAGGGAGAGGTGGCTGCAGAGGAGCTGAGCTCTGGACCACGTCAGGCAGTCTTCTGGGTCACCTGGGTTCAAGTGACAGCTCTGGTGCATCCTCGCCAAGTCACTTACCCTCTCTGAGCCTTAGCTTCCTGGTCTGTGAAATAGAGGTGACAGTAGAATCCCCCTGGAGTGGTTGAGAGGATTAAGCGAGGCATCGCGTTTACAGTCCTTGGCGCAGAATCTGCCCTCAGGAAGTGCTAGTGGAAACTACGCGGTATTAATTATTGTCACCACCTCCTGAAATGCCCAGCGTTGAGAGAGGTGGGAGGTGATCTGCCCCCTGAGTCCATCCAGGTTGAGTAGGCCAGAGGGGCGGTTCTATTAGCCCAAACCAGAGCTCCCTGCTGGTCTCGAGGGGCTGAGTCCTGACCCCCGGCCAGCCCTGGGCAGAGGGCGCAGAGGTCCCCAGGGGCAGTCTGCCCCTGCTCAGGTGGCTGAGAGCAGAGCCTGGGCGGGGTGAGTAGAAGGTCAGAGTAATCCGTGTCTGCGTCCTGGCCTGTGAACGTTAGTTATGGCCTCCCTTCCCTGAGCCTCGGGGACCCACTCTTATTAGGACCACAGATACACTCAGTCTGGCCCAGTCCAGTGGCTAGGAGGGAATTTTCTAGAACCAGCCGCCCAGGTTCAAATCCTAGCTCTACCACTCATTTACTCACAATCCAAATTTCTAAACCTCCCTATGCCTCAATTTCTTCATCCGTAAAATGGGATTAATATTAATACCTAAACTGGAGGATTGTTGGGAGGATTTAAATAAACTAATACATATGAAGTGCCTAGTACATAGTGAAGCACTCAATAGTATTAGTTATAATAATAGCTGTTGTTATTATATTACACACACATATGATATTTTATGCCTGGTAGTAGCTATCTGGATTGAAATGAAATGAAAAAGTTTTCGGTCACATTGGACCTTAGTGGGAGAGGGTGCTGCGATTGATTAGTGATGTCTGCCTTGGCTGTGGATTAGGAAGTATCAACACATGAGTCATACATTTTTCATCCCTGGTGTCCATTCAACAGGACTTTGCTAAGCACCTTCTTTGGCACAAGGAGCTGACCTGAATGCTTTGGAAAAAGAAATATCTGCCATGAGAGTTAGAGAAGTCTTTAGAGTTCTTCCAGTCCAACCCTCTGTAAGCCCAGCAGGAATCCCTTTTGGAGCATCTCGGTCATATGGTCATAGAGCCTGGTCCGTTTCACAGAACTCCCATTGTTGGGCATTTTCCTGCAGATCCAGCCCAAGTCGTCCTCGCTGTCCCCTGGGAGAGGCTGCTTGGGACGCAAAGGTGTCTTTGTCTGGGCTCCCCAGGGCTCCGTCTTCAGGCTAAACAATCCCGGTCCCCACAGCCTTTCCACAGGGATGTTTACATATCCTGGCTGTCATCCTTGGCACATGTCCCTACATGTCATTGTCCTGGAGTCCACTAGGTTGGCTCCTGAGAGGGGCAAGAATACCGCCTGGCTAAATAAGTGCAGATTCTGGGGACTCGGGCTGTGCCATGGCAGCCCTGGACCTTCTAGATGCTTCACAAAGCTCATTCTCACCTGTGCTCTCCTCCGCGCTCCGTGGTTAGGATTGCCAGATAAAACATCAGACGCCCCAGTTAAATGTGAGTGTCAGGAGCAATATTCAGAACACATTTGTACTAAAATATCACCGGTTGTTTATCTGACATTCAAATTTGACTGGGCATCCTGTCTTTTTATTTGTCCTGTCTGGCAGCTCTATTCACAGCGTCTCTTAGGGTAATCCCTTTAGGCAGGTGGGAAAACTGAGGCCCTTGGTCAGGGTCACATGTAAGGCAGGAGAGGATGGAGGCTTGATCGGAGTTGACTCCCAACTCCTAGTCTAGAGCATTCCTTTCTTGCCCTCCTTCCCAGGGCCCTGAGCTGGGGGCCGAGCCCTGGGCCCGCCTGCATTTCTCAGACCCTACGCAGTGCCCTTCCCCAAGAGCTGATCTGTTCCACCTCCCGCCTCCCTCCTGCCCTGTGTCCTTCTCTTGCCACTTGAGCCCTACTTCTCCTGTTTTTGGATTCCTTTCGCTGCCAAGGCAAAGCTGTCTCTCTCCTTGTGTCCGGAGGTCACAGGGCTGGACCCCAGCCTACCAAGCCACCTCTGAGCCCCGAGTGAATGCCCCTCCCACCCTGGACTTCTGGGAACAGCAGCTTCTGTGCCTAGGGGAAAATTTGTGTCCCTGAAGAGCTAGAAAGGAAAGGAATTTTCTAACCAGGAGTTAAAGAGGAAGAGGGATTGTGAGTCACCTATGGTTTTCCGGAGGATGTGGGTTTTTAGCTGAGCAAATGGGAATTCCGCGTATTGATAATCACTTTAGTGGAAATTCAAATTTATTCAGTGCCCTCTGTCTAGTCAGTTGAAGCAATTTGCATGCAGACGGAAGCTGAGCCTCCCTCTGTCCCCCGGGTCCTCGCAGCCGGGACGGAGGGTGTGAGAGGGCAGACTAACATTCATCGAGCGTCTGTCTGCTCTGTGAGCACTTGACGCGCACAAGGCTCGGAGCCTCGCGGTGCTGAGGTCCCAGCCTGGGAGTGGACGTGCCGGGCCCGTAGCTCAGGTCTGTGTGACCGCAATCCCAATAAGCCACCGGTGGCCCCCTGCAGCCTCCGAGGTGAGAGTGTCTCCAAACAGCCCCGCTTTGAGTAACCGAAACCCTTTGGCAGGCCCTCAAGCAAGCTGCCCCAGTCCAGAATCTGCTCAACAAAGACCGTTTCTGTCCTTTTTATTCAAAGTGACACCGGGAATCTTGGCTCCTCTATATTTTAATGAGACCCGGAGAACATATGATCTGGCCCCAAACCCAGCATTTGGGGTGCAGTGGATAGTCCACCACATTCCGCCACTAGATGGTCATTGGCCGTTTCCTTGTCTATAAAGCAAGGACAGGAGCCTCCCCCCCCACCTGACATTTACCAAATCCCGTGTGCCCGCCCCTGTGCTACATGTTTAATTGTCACAGCAGCCCTCTGAGGGTAGGGAGTGGGATCACCAATTTACAGTTAGGGAAACTGAGGCTCAGAGAGGGTGAAGCACCTGCCCGAGGTCACACAGCAGATGAGCTGGACCCGGCTGTCTCCACCGCTGTGCCGTGTCGCCAGCTCTGCAAGACTTCTGTGCTGACAAAGATGGCAGATGTGCGAGAGTATGCACGGGCAGCGCCGGGGGCTGTTCCGGCGTGAGAGGTGGCGCTTAGCAAGCCCGGGAGCCAAGGCTGGCCGCAGCCCCAGTCCCCGTCCTTAATATACCTGGGCCGGGGGGTGGGGGTTGTAAGTGAAAGTGTGTGAGCTTCTTTCTCACCATTTATTAAGCCACTTCTATCTACCAGGCACCTCCCTGGGGCCGTGCCCGGTGCCAGGTGCTGGGGTGGCAGAGGTGAGGTCCCCAGCCCAGGCGCCTGCCCCCAGAGGCCTCAGAGGCCCACACGTCAAGGACGGTCAGCGAGAGGCAGGGCCTCCGAGGAGGGACAGCCGGGGTGCGGCCCAGCCTTAGGGTCAGGCAGGCAACGTCAGCGCAGGGGGCGTTAACAACATGATGGAGGGCACAGCACCCCGGGAACAGGAAGCAGCTTGAACCAGGGTCTGGGGGGGATGGGTCAGTGTCTGAGTGTGTCACAGCGAAAGGGGACAGCAGGGCCAGAAGGTGAGACACGGAAGCATGTCCGTCAGGAATGATGGGTGCTGGAAGGACCCCAGGTTTGTCTTCAGGGGTCCCCCGGCTGGCATTTGGGGGGCAGAACTCACACCTATTTCTGAATGTCCAGCCTGTCCTCGTGCCCTGTCACTTACGAGCGATGGCAATAAAAAGAGGCAACCCTGGGTTCTTTTTTTTTTTTTTTTTTTTTTTTTGAGACAGAGTCTCGCTTTGTTGCTCAGGCTAGAGTGAGTGCCGTGGCGTCAGCCTAGCTCACAGCAACCTCAAACTCCTGGGCTCGAGTGATCCTTCTGCCTCAGCCTCCCGGGTAGCTGGGACTACAGGCATGTGCCACCATGCCCGGCTAATTTTTTATATATATATCAGTTGGCCAATTAATTTCTTTCTATTTTATAGTAGAGACGGGGTCTCGCTCTTGCTCAGGCTGATTTTGAACTCCTGACCTTGAGCAATCCGCCCGCCTCGGCCTCCCAAGAGCTAGGATTACAGGCGTGAGCCACAGCGCCCGGCCTACCCTGGGTTCTTTACTGGCCAACAGCCAACCCAGGGCTCATGAGCACCGACTGGGGGGTCAGACAGACAGACAGACAGACAGACCTGGGTTCCAGTCCTGCCTCTGCCACACTCGGTGCCTAATCTTGGGTGGGCTATTGGTCTCTCCGTGAGCCTCGGTTTTCTCACCTGTAAACTGGAGTGGGAGTGACGCGGTGCTGATCTCGTGGGGCTACCGTGAGCAGAGGCTGAGCGTCCGAGCTGCCAGCGTCGTCCCTGGCACAGTGAAATGGCCCAAAGTGACCCTGAGCTGTTGTTAGTGAGGGTTCGACGTGGGTGGCGTGGTGTCTGGTGCACAGCGGGGACGAGAAGTGGTCACGGACGAGGTCGACTGTGTTCCTGGTGGGCGTTGGCGAGTGGAAGGGCGCAGCGTGCCGCGCGGCGTCTGGGAGCGCAGAGCGTGGAGTCGGGGTCCAAACGAAGAGCCTGACCCGTTGCTCTTTCTTGTGGGGACACAACGTTCCGGCCAGGCTGCCCTCGAGGGCATCCAGCGCACAGTGGAGCTGCACAGTGGAGCTGCACTCGGGGGAAGGTGGCCTGGGGTTTCCTCGCTTCCTCCCCCCAGTGCTTGCCTGGCCCTGTCCGGGGTCCTGCCCACACAGGGAGACCGGCCCTATGCCAGCTGCCACCGTCTGCCAGTGGGCTCTGCAGCCAGGGCCCCCTTGCCATGAGTCCCTTCCCCCTTCGTGCGGGATGCCCCTGCCGGGTCCCCGCCCCCACCGCACACAGACCCCTTCGGAGAGGCCTGCGGAGGTGGCAAGTGGGCCCCAGTCCCCAAGCCCCCACGCAGGTGATCCCCAGCCTGCATGGAATTCGGCCCCCACAGAACAAGCCGGCTCCGGCCGGGAGCAAGGAAGAATGGGCCTGTGTTCCCGGCGCTCAGGCTGGTCCTCTGCCCGCCCCAGCTGGAGCCGCAGAGCCTGCTCTGTTTATCTGCGCACCACGGGGGGCTCTGGCGGACCCCCCTCGCTCCCTCCATCCAGGGAAGGAGGGGAGAGACACGGCGCCCGAGCGGCCTGTGGGAACGCAGCTCTCCGCAGGGCTGGCCTCGCCCGGCCACTGATCGGACTTCTCTCCCTTCCCCCTCCTCTCCAAAGACCACTTTGGAATGGCCCGGAAGCTCTGGAGACGGCCGTCTCCTGTGAGTCCCAGCACTGCCCGGCTCTGTGCCTCTGCCCGAGCCCTAACCTCTCAGAGCCTCAGTTTCCTCGTCTGTAAAATGGGGATAGTGGCAGAACCGATCTTTCAGGGCTGCAGAGAGGAGCAAGTGAGTTGAGGCATGGAAACTGCTCGCTTAGCGCAGGGCCTGGGAACGAGTGCTGTGTGCGTCACCGTCACCTGTTACAGTGAGCCCTCCCTGTCTCAGTGAGAAGATTCTTGTTGGGTCCCGGAAACAGGACTTCTTAGCAAATGCTCAGCCAGGAGGTTTTGTTTGACACAGTCAAGTGGGAATCCTGAAGCCCAGAGAGGGGGAGTGGTTGCCCCAGATCACACAGCCACGGCACGGCCAGCCAGACTCCAGTCGTTCTGGGAGGGCAGGAGGGTAGGAACTGGCGTTGCCTCAGCCAGCCAAGCGCTGTCCTTCCGCCTCTCTCCTCGGGGGCATTCCGCCGCGCGGCCCCCTTGGCCCTTCCTGCGGGAGCCAGGCAGGAATGTGACTTTCATTCCCTGCCCGGCCTCCCTCCGAGGCGTCTCCAGGCAGCTCCGATGCAGGAACCTGAGTCCCCATTCTCGAGCCTGGCTGCCCGGGGCAGCCTTTGTTCCTCCAGGGCTCCAGAGCTGTGCCCCAGCCTCAGAGCACCTGCCAGGCGTCCCTGTAGAGCCTGGCTTGGGAAGTGGGAAACTGAGGCACAACAAGGTCACCCAGCAGCTGGACACTTAGGTCAGTCGCGGAGGACGGACCAGGAAGGGGAGAGCCTTTTCAGGGGCGCCCTCTCCCTGGGTGTGGGCGCAAGGTCATGGCCGGGCTGGGGGTACCGACAGCTGGGTGGAAGCGTGGCGATCTGAAGGAAAGCCGGCAGGCTTGTTAGGAGAAATTGCAGTCACTTCCTCACTCTCAGCCCAGGGCTTCTGGACCCCGGCGTGACTGACATTTCGGGCTGGATTACTATTTGCCGTGGGGGCTGTCCTGTCCGCCGCAGGACGTTTAGCAGCATCCCTGGCCTCTGCCCACGAGATGCCAGTAGCACCCCTCTGGTCATGACATCCAACAGTGCCTCCAGGCATCGCCGAGCATGCACTCGGATTGCGTCAGTTACTCCTCGACACGTGGCTAGGAGGTCCATGGTATCGTTAACCCCCATTTGTAACACGAAGAAACTGAGGCACGGAGACAGGAAGCTCCCCCCAGTAGCACAGTGAGTGAGTTGCAGAGGGGTGAGACCTCCCCCATGCCTCTGCTGCACGGCGGGGCCCTCCCAGCCTTTCCAGAACATTCCTCGAAGAGCTCCCTGCAAAGGGCGCATGGCTTCCCAGGGTTAGCCACTCTACTGGCCCCACTTTGGATGGTCTGAAGCCGGCTCTGCAGCCCGTGGGCCGGGATCTGCCAGCTGCTAGTGTCCTCCTTGGGTGCGTCACCAACCCTGGGGGTTCTGGAATGGACAGCACCGCTCCCCAGTTGCTACCCTGGAAAGGAAACGACTAAGCTTCTGGGAAGCAGAGAGTGCCCCCCACCCCGCATAGCTGGAGGAATCAAAGCTGCCGCTTGTGTTTTATTTAATTCTTGCTGAATCTCTAGGGTAGAGGGGTCCATTTTACAGGGAGGGAGACTGAGGTCCGAAGAAGTCATGTGAAAGGCCCTATGTACCTGAGCTGGTGTGGGGGTGAAGGATGTGACATGGGACAGAAATGTCTTGCATCGAATGTGGAAGGAATTGGGGGTAGGGGAGGGCGGCAATCGAGAACGGGACCTGGGGTGCAGGCAAACAGGAAGAGCACCCCTAGTTCCACCATCAGCCCACGGAGCCACATCCTTGAAAGCCCAGCCCCAGGCACCATGTGGGTCACACCGCCCCCACCAGCCTCCTGCGGGCCCCTCTCATGGCGTCCTCTTCTCTTTCTCTCCCCAGGGCGACTTGGGAGCGTTGGGTCCAATTGGCTACCCAGGACCCAAGGGCATGAAGGTAAACAGTGGCTGCCCCCCGATTCGAGCCTCCTCCCAGCTGGGCACCCCCTGACCCATTTCAGCCCAGAAGGAGGGGTGACCTCAGCTGATGTGGGGGAAGGGAGGACGGGGGGATGCCTGACAGCCAGCCGTCATCTGTATGTCATTTAGGCCAGACATCATTATTGGACACCAGTCCTCGAGCTGAGCATGTGTCTGACACGGTTCCGGGCCGCAGGGCACTGGAAGTCAGTGGGGGCCATCGCCAGGGCCATAGAAGCTATAATGCAAACCAGTGACCTCCGTCCATGCCTGAATGAGCTGGGTACTCCGGGGAATGGCAGGCCCAAACTGCTAGGACCACGTTCTGGGGTGACCCGATTTGGCCACATGCATGTGACACTGCTCATTAAATCCTTCCCTCCCCGCCAGCAGCTCCTTCCTCGGGGTCAGTCCACGGTGCTGTGTTCACTTGCCCGTCAACAGCCTCGTAGCTCCGGTGGGAGCATGGGATCTAGCACGGGGTCTGCAGCCAGTTGGTGGGTGTGAGCCAGGGCTCCGGGCCCCTGTGCTTGGAGTCCCCGTCATAGCTGGCCTCGGCCTTTGTCTTGCAGGGACTGATGGGCAGCATGGGGGAGCCCGGACTGAAAGGTGATAAGGTGATCTGAATACTCCCTTATTGCACTGTGGTTTCTCTGCATGCCACCCCCCTCTCCGCTGGAGGCTGCCGCTGATTTCTCGCCAGGTCCACTCCCCTATGCTCTTCCTGCCTCCCCTCTGGCCCCCCTAAATCTGTGCTCCCCAGCTTCTTCCTGGTCACTCTGGGCGGGGCTCAGGCAGATGCTTCTGGGGGCCCGAAGACCTTGGCAGAGTGCATGGGTGGCCGTTGCAGCATGGGGAGGGGGTAAGTCAAGGCAGGGCTCTGAATCCAGACAGTAGAGCTGAGGCCGGCGTCAGGGCTTTAAGGGCAAAGCCATGGAGCAGGGAGCGTGGCGGTGGTAGCCCAGGAGGAAACAAACCCACACAGATTGTCCCGACTTGAACTTGGGAACCCAACCCCAGAGAGCATGCCAGCTGACAGCACAGCTTCTCCTCCAGCTGCCACGTGGGGGCCACTTTGCCATGTGCCCTGGGGACAGCCCTGCTCTGGGCTCTCACCGTCTCAGCCCAGGCCAAACCAGAGTTGGAGGTGGGTAGGGGGCCCGGGTGGGCCAGAGTCGGGCAGCATCTGAATGACAGACACAGGGGCCCAGCACTTCTTATGCTCTGCCTGCCTGGCACCCCTCAGATTCCAGCAAAGAGAGGGTGCGGGAGGGCTTTGGGGCAGTGTTCCAATTGCCCCAAGAGTCCTGAAGGGATGACACCACTCAGCCAATCTGTGGTCAGGCTCCTTCCGCACCTGTCTCCAGGTGACTCTGCGTCTTCCTATACCTGAGTCACAGGAACAGGGACCACGTGCTCTGAGTGCTCTCCATGGATTAACCCACTAATCCGCCAGGCCCCTATGAAATAAACGGCCTGCCTGAGGCCACGCAGCTGGGAAGTAGAGGGTCAGGGGTTGAACTCAGGCACCCGTGTCTAGAGACCTCGACCACGAAGCAGAACGGAGGTCAGAAGGTCAGAGCTGGCAAGGCTCTGGGAGGTCACATTTCACAGCTGGGGAAACTGAGACCCAAAGAGGAGAAGGGATTCATCAAAGGAAACTCAGGGATTTGCTAGGGGAGCCAACGTTGGCCCCTGGGCTCTTAGAAAATGGGAATTGCTGGGTGAAAGTGGACACACCAGGATTGCCCTATGCAAGCCCACCTGCAGGTAGCCAGCCAGGTGCAATGCCCACCCCGGCCTTCTCTACCTGTTCTCCTCCCTCTTCGTCTCCTCCTGTCTGGCCCAAGCCTCCAGCTGCAGCCCAGCTCTGCCCCCTGCGTCCCGCTGCCTGCAGCGCCCCTCCCCCTCCGAAGGGCCTTTCTGTTGGGGGGGGGGTGCTCCCTGCCCCTACCTGTGTATCCCAAGGCCCCAGACATCGGCGCTCTGGAAACGTTGAAGCCATGGACAATGAAGAAAGGAAGTTGGGGAAAATGAGAGTGTAGGCAGTGAGCTGTTTATAGGCCCTTTTGTGGAGTTGGCCTCTGCTCAGTGCTGCTTCAGGAACATGGAAATAAACGTGTTACATGGAACTCGGCTGGCTCGCCGGTGGGAGTTGCCTGGGACATTGAGAGATGAGAAAGCCCTGGAAAATGAAGAAGGAGGAAATTAGTTTCATGCCCATGGTTTTCAGGAAAATCAAGTCTTTGGGATTAAAAGAAAAAGAGAGAGAGAGAAATCTCTTTTCCATCCCTTGGGTTGGGAGGGGAGGAGCCCTCAGTGTTCTTTCTGATCAGCCACATGCACATACGTGCCCCTTGGCCCTCCCCGGGGACAGCGCCATCCTTTCATGTTCTGAGGTCGCTGCTGCCTAGAATCCCAGATTTTCCATGACCCGGCCTGGACTCGGGCCCACTTACAACCGCCTGGCTTCCTCTCCCAGCACGGAGGCGCTGTCTGCAACCAAGCCTCCTGCTCCGGCCCGCCCTCTCCAAGCCATCGTTCTGATTTCCTGGGTGCCTTGGAAATGTTCCTTTTTTTGCCTATTTTTTTGTTTGTTTGTTTGTTGACCCCCTCACTCCTCTTTTAGACATTCGAAAAAAAATAAAATGTTCTTTGGATCCCCAAACCCCAGGATATTGTACAGGGTTTTCCAAATTGGAAAAACCAAAGTAAGTTAAAAAAAAAATTTTTTTTTTTATTAATAATTCTGGCTTTTGTTGTACTAAGGAAGTTCTTTTGCTGGGTCCTGGGCCTTAGCTGCTCAATGTGGATTTGCTAAGATTATCCATTCTTCCTGGGTTTTTCTCCCCATTTTTCCCCCTGATCCCGGGGCTGTGAATGTTTTCTGAGTCCCGGAGCCAGGGGACTGCCATGTCCACCACAGAGGGCTGGGTGTGGAGAGGGCCGTGCGAGGTGGTCCCGGCACTAATAGGAGAGTGACATCTCCCAATCTGGCCGGCAACCACTCGCCTACCAGAAAGAACATGGCTAAAAACAGGGAGGGAACAGAAGAGCCCTCCGATGGCCAGAATCAGTATCACCAAGCCTATGGGATACATTGTTTTAGAAGAGAAACACCCAGACCTGAGTCAAGACCAGTTTACTCGCTGTTTACACATAGTCTTAACAAGCCAGGCGATCTGGTTTCCTCATGCCTGCCGTAGCTGATTAAAACCAGCTAAATTCAGAAGTAGACAAAAGCTGATTGCAGGCACAAAAACCCCTACAAAAGAAGGAAGTGACAGCTCACAGCCTGGAGGTGAACAGTCTCAAACAGCAGACACAAGAACTCGGAACCACAGTGGTTTGTGGGGCCTTTGGACGAGGTGCCCTCACCCCGTGGGATAATGTCAGTTGATGATGAAGAGGTTGAAGGATCAAGGAACAGTTCGTTTGCCCTGCAAGCGTCAGTCCGCCAGGGAAGGCCAGGGGAGCCCGGGCAGCTTAGCTTCTGTGAGTGGTGCTTGCAGCCCCTGGGCCAGCCCGGGCGGGTCTGCACCCAGGCCGCTCATGCGCCAGGACCTGCTTCCCCCTGCCGGGGGCCGCCCATTACTCTAACAAGGCCACTGCCGGTGGGATCCGACTTTGGGAGCAGCCGTAGCAAAGCTGTGCTGGCCAGTGGGTGTGGACGCTGGGGAGGCTTCCGGAGCCCGCACGCTCCCCATGGTAACCTTCTTTGCTGGTGTGCACTTAGGGCGAACAAGGGGTTCCAGGTGTGTCAGGAGATCCCGGATTCCAAGGAGACAAGGTAATTGCCCCAGATCCTCCCCTGCCCTGCCCTGCTGCTCTCCTGCTCCCGGCTTCCTTCCCAGGCCCTGCCGTGGGGCCAGGCTCACCGGCCAGATGGCTGCGTCTCAGACGGTCCCGTCTTTGCCATTCTCCGTCCACCTATGTGACATCTCTTCCCTGGACTTGGCAACAGCCTCCTAACGTTTTTCCAGGCCCCCGCCTCTTCCTTCCCTCTCTCTTCCTCACTGTCACCAAATCGTTCTGCGGAGGGTACAACTCTACCCTGTGCTCTCATACCATCCATGGCTCCCTAGTATTCCCAGGGTGAGGTCCTGGCTCCCCCCCAATGAGTGGGTGTCTCTGATGTTCTCCTGCCCCCCTCCCCTTGTAGCTCTGTGTCACAAACCCACTGACGTCCCCACCGCACCCAGGCCTTGGCACCACTGCTGCCCCGCCGGGAACGCCCTCCGCCCAGCTCTCCACCCACCCTGCCCAGAGACCACTTTCTCCAGCTGCTCGGGGAGCGGCCTTTTCCCTCTCTGAGCACCCTGAGCAGCACGTCTGTCCCTCGCCGGTGGTGCCACCTTCCTCCCTGGCTCCTTGCGCTCAGCCCCCTGCAGGACAGTGGGTTTCCCGAGGACAGGGCCCCAGGCTGCCCTGAGGGAGCTCGGCTCGGGGCCTGCACTTCACAGGGAACGTTTAGGATGAGTTTGGGGAGGGAGGGAGGGTGGCAGGGACCAGCCTCGCTGCCTGACTGACGAAGGGGATGAACTGAGGTGGCCTTGACTTCCAGGGCCCAGCCGCGGGGCTGCTGAGACCGGCTCCTCTCTGCCTGTGTCTGGCACCATGTGGCCACATCTGGACCTCTCCCAGCCAGTCAACGAGGCCCAGATGTTGGCCAGCGCTCCCCCTTCCCTCCCTCCTCTCTGGCCTGTCTTGACCCGGCCTCGGTGTCTCTGGGTTGTGAGCCACGGCCGGCCTGGCCGCTCCTGCAGGGCTCTGTCTTCAGCGTCCCTGGGCACAAAGGGTGCCGCGGAGCCTGCTGCAGCCCAGGGGCATCAGTTCCTGGTGGGGGCAGGGGCTGCTTTTCACCTTAGCGTCTCCGGGGCCTGGCCTGCAGGGGTGCCAGGCTGGAGCCTGCAGGGGCGTTCATACTCCTCAAAGGGTGGCCCAGGCCGGCAGCAGGACCAGGCAGCTGTCCCCGGGCCGGGGCTGTTCCTCACTAACTCCAGCCACTCTGGGTCTTTTCCAGGGGAGCCAGGGGTTGCCAGGGTTCCCCGGCGCACGAGGGAAGCCAGGGCCGCTGGTAAGTATCTCCTCCAGCACCCCAAATTTCACTCCGACTGCTCGGGGAATGTGGCTGGGGACGCCCCAATCCCAGGACTTCATTTCCTCCTGCAACAGCCCTGGGGGCCGAGCAGAGCAGGGCAAGCATTGCATCTGCCCATTTTACAGATGAGGACACTAAGGCCCAGAGGGGGAGTGAGTCGCCCAGCACCACAGACATGCCTCATTCCCTGAGAAAGGTCTGATGGGAGCCTGGGGCTCCTGACACGTTGTAAACAGTAGCAATGCCATCAGTCACAGCAGGGTGTCATTTAGGGAGGGTTACTGTGCATCAGAGCCTTTGTGCACTGTGTTTCTTTGAAGGCTGCCAACAACCCCAGGAGTTAGAGAATTATTATTGCTCCCATTTTGTGTTGTTTTGTTTTGCTTTTTTTAATATATGGGGAAGCTAAGATTCTGAAAGGAGAAGTGACTTGCCAGGGTCCCGTGGCTAGCAAGTGTAGGAGGCAGAGTCTGAACAATAGCTCCTTCTGGTTGTCTAGGCAGATTTTAGTCATATGCTCCTGAACTTTCCAGCCACCCACTGTCAGGGGGATAAGGCAAGGGGTTGGTGGAAGGTCGGGCCCTGGCTCACCCGCCTCCCCCCAACTCTCTCCTCTTCCACAGGGCAAAGTTGGAGACAAAGGATCTCTGGGGTTTCCTGGGCCCCCTGGACCCGAGGTATGTGACGCCCCGTTTCTCTGTCTGGCCACAGCTGGGACTGGGGGTTGCCCTGGGGAAACTGAGGCCCAGAGATGGCGAGGGACTTGCTGGAGGTCACGCAGCAAGTGAGAAATGAGGCCAAGCACAGAAATTCCTAGATCAGCCATCTGCTCTTCCCATGTCACTCGGAGGCTCTCAAAGGCAGAAGGGACAGAAAGGTGGCCCCAGAGTTCGTCCCCAGCTTTGTCACCACCCTGGCGTTGTGGTTCCAGTAAAATCCTAGCTGCTCACAGCTATTCTGGAAAAGCTCAGGGCTTGGAGCTCCCGGGTATGGGGAGCCGGAAGCAAAGGCAAAATTCTGGCTTTTGAATGGAGAATAACAAAGAAGGAAGGATGGATCTAGCCATTAATGATTCTAGCTGAGTAAGGAGAAACCCCGAGGGTTTCGGACACGTGTGATAACTAGCGCAGGTAGGCTATACCTGACTCATCAAGTCAGAATCCAGGTAGAACGGCTGAAATCAGCCGGCTGAGTTCTCCTGGGACCCCCCTCTGTCATCCCCGTGTTTGGAGAACTGGGCCGAGCAGGAGCCGGGGCTGTGGCCAGTCTCCAGGTCACCGGCACCCAGGCCAAGCCCGGCTGGAGCCACCCGCCCCCAGTGCCCTGGCCTCCAGGTCCCCTTCACTGGCGAGCTCTCCGCGTCCAAGGCAAAAGTCTGGCTTTGCGGGTTCTCCAGACCCTCCCAAACATCACTCCCGGTATCGCCTGGCTGGAGGAGGGAATGTTTCCTAAAAGCTACAAGTTCTGACTTTGCACCGTGTTGACTTTGGCCGTGACTCAGTCCTATCTTTAGACAAATGCACTTGGCCTCTCCTCCCCTGGTCACTGTGGAAAAAGACTTCCCTGCGAGCCCAGTTTTCCCAGCGGTCTGGCCCGAGCAGTGGGGAGCATGCTCCCGCACGGCTATCGGGGACCTCTGGGTGCCAGGACGCCGCATCCTGTCTTCGAGACGAGAACTTGCCGAATCGCCATCACAGCCGTGCGAGAGACAGATTGCTGCCCCCGTTTCACAGATGAAGAAACTGAGTCGCAGAGCAGGAAAAGCGGCTTCCTCAGCGTCACTCTGCCACATAGTAGCAATGCAGTCTCCACTGGCCCTGTCCTGGGTCACTGGACACGTCTGGAGTCTGCCTCTCCCATCTCGTGTCGTGTTGTGGTTGGCCGGCTCTCTAACCGGGGGAGGCTCTGCTCTGCCGCAGACGGAGCTGATAAGCGTGTCAGCGCCTTCCCTGTTCCCTGCCCCGCACCCAGAGGCCGTGGGCCGGGGCTCCAGCTGTCCAGCACCCGGGTGCATTATCTCCCCCACGCATCAGCGGGGCCATCAGATGCACAGGAGCACAAGAATCGGCTCACATCCTGACCGCCAAGTTCTCACTGGGGATGGACCCCCCCCCCCCCCCCGCCCAGGCAGACTTGGTTTCCCAGGACATGGGACCCAGAATCATTCTGGATGCAGATTTTCATTGAGCACTTACTAGGTGCCAGGCTCCCAACTGCTCTGCTTGCATTGTTCCATTTAATCCGCAGAACAGCCCCGAAGGGTGGGTGTTACAGGCACCCACCTGTAGAGCCACCTGTAGATTTTGTAGACCAGGAAGCTGAGGCCTGAAGGGGCTAAGAAACTTGCCTGGGGTCCCACAGTGAGGGGGTGGCAGGACAGGATTTCGAGCCTCTTGTTTTAAAGAAAAATACATGGGTTTGGGCTTCATGTGTTAGAAGTTTGGACCACTCTTGCCTTTGGCAGTGAGAAGGGTGAGAAGATGTTTGAGCCGGAATTTAATAGGAGTTACTAAAAGGTTAAAAGAGGAAGAAATAAGAAAAGCCAACTTAAGAAGACAAGATGGGAGGGTGCATTTTTGTCACAAAGACTCATTAAAAAAGGATTTGATTTCTAGCTGGCAGGAAACTGAAGGAGGAGTGGGACGGCCCCCAAAGCTAAAGGGCTTCTAGGATGAATTAACAGAAGTATCACACCTAAAACAAGGAAGGAGATGTTCCCTTACTGGCTCATGCTGGTCAGTGCACACACACAGAAGCCAGGATAGAGTGGGGGTTCCAGCTTCCAGTAGGAGGAGCTGAGGTTAATTAAATCAGCACCTTCCAGCGCTTTCAGTCACAGCAAACCCAGAAAATGTCATCAGCAGGGTCACTGCAGTCAAAGGACAGGAATTCTCAGGGCAGGCGTGGCTGGTTCTGCAGAGCCATGTCCTGGGACACCCGCAACTCAGGCCTTAGAAAATTCTAGGTCACACCACTTTGCATATGACTTTGCGTGTGGTGACCTTAATGCTTTCCTGCACCATCTTGTTTATTCTCTCAACGACTCTACGAGGTCGGGACTGGAGCCACGAACCATCCCTGTTTTAGAACTGAGGATTGCAGGATCAGGGTGGCTCACTGACCTGCTCCAGGTTGTAGCCCTTCGGGATGGGACAGAAACACAGGTCGGGCCCCCTCCAAGGCCCAGGCTTGCATCCCAGCACCCGTGGGTGACCCTGTTCTCTGCTTCCTCTCAGGGATTCCCAGGAGACATTGGCCCCCCTGGGGACAATGGCCCCGAAGGCACGAAGGTGAGTCCCTGCCCAGGGCCGCTCCAGCCCTGCAGAAAGCACAAGCCTGCAGGCTGGCTCCCTGGCTTGGAAGTAGGGGGTGTCTGGCCGGCCCGTGATGGAGATGGAGGTGCTGCCTCTGAGACCCCCTTTTGTTCCCTTCTCCCCAGGGTAAGCCTGGAGCTCGAGGCCTGCCAGGACCCCGTGGGCAGCTGGGCACTGAGGTGAGACTATGTGGCCCTGCCCCCCACCTGTGTACCCACCGTCCCTCCCAGCCTGACCACAGCCCCGAGCCTGCCCTGTCCTGGGGACAAATGGCCTTAGCCTGGGGCCAGAGCCCCTCAGCCAGGACATAGCCCAGGGCCCCCTCAGAGTCGCCCTGCAGCTCGTCCTCTGCAGCCCTGCCCTGTGGCCCTTCCAGGGACTGTCTCTGCCCTGGGGTTTTCTCTGCCAGGCTGCTGCCGCTGCTGGCAGTAGCACGGTTTACCTCGGCCTTGATGGGAGGGTGGGAATTGTCAGCTGCCTTTTACAGGTGAGCCCGCTGAGACCCAGAGAGATAAAGAGACCGTCCCTCGTCCCATGGTTAGTAGCGGGCAGGGCCAGGATGCAGAGCCAGGTCTGCTTGAGCCCAGACCCGAGACACAGGGCCCGTGGGGCTTACTTCCCTGGGTGTCCCCAGAGAGTGGCCTGACTTGCACAGCCCGTAAGCGGCACAGTGAAGATTCCTCATTTACTTGCGCTTGATGAAGGGGACTGGGACGGGTCCCTGTGGGCCTGCTGGAGCACCAGGTGGGCACAGCACGGGTGGGCCTCCCATTTTGCCTGTAAATGAGGCCCTCCTTAGCCCCCACCCCGCCCCCTCAGCTCAGGCCCCAGGGCCCCGTGACACGCAGCCCCGGGTGAGGGTGTGGGAGGCCTGGACTCACCGCGACCACAGGCGGGCATCCAGCTGACACGGATCCCTTCTCGGGGCTGGCTCTGGGTCTGGCAGGGTCCCAGCGCTGGCTCTGGGAGCCGCCACGTAGGTCTGTTTTCCTGGAAACTGGGGGAGAAGGGTGGGGGTGTGGCTCTGGAGGGAGCCCCTTGGTCGGGCAGGGCATGCCAGAGGGGCCAGTTTGGAGGCTGCCTGGGCCCTGGGGTGGGGTTGGGGGGGAGTCTGGAGAGCCCCATGGCCAGAAGCAGGAAGGGAGGGGAGAGGAAGGAGGGACAGGCCCAGCCACGTGCTCCTGTCCACACTCACGTTACCACCCACGGAAACCCTTCCTGTGCCTGCCACTCCTCGCGTCTTCGTTGGTTCATCACTCACCATGCATGCATTCGCCAAACATCCACAAGACGCTGAACCACCCTAATGTTGGGGGCGGCGGGGAGGGGTGCCTGCCGGAGAATAAGGCGTCATCGCTGTTCTCCAGGAACTCAACTGAGACCTGCCGTCGTGCTGTAGGGTCTTCTCCACTCTAACTAGCGAGTCCAAGGCAGGGCTCAGAACGGATCCCGTGTCTTTGAGCTGCAGTCTGCAGCTCTGTTCCTCCCAGCACGTGGTGGGGTGTAACCCCCTGCCCAGGACTGCCTTGATCCCAGGGGTCCCCGTCCACTGGAAGTCACCGTGTGACCTGGCCTCTAGGCCGTGACCAGTGGGGCCCCTGCCCCAGGGGTGGAGCAGGCAGGTGGGCCAGGTTCACCATTTCTCCTCGCCCAAAAGGGCTGTCCTCTCTCCCCCCCTTGCCCTCTTTGCGGGACAAATTCTCCAAGAGTCTCACTGGATTAACTTTCTCCTTTTCTCCTCTCTCGTGTCCCCCAACTCTAGGGAGATGAGGGACCCACGGGGCCACCAGGGGCCCCTGGCTTGGAGGTGAGTGTCACTGGCCTGGGGGAGGTGGGATTTGTTGGCGCTGAGCCGGCTGTGCGCAGACAGGGCAACATCTGGCCAGGGCTCTGGAAAGAGGCCATCGGTGAGGGCCGTGGGCCAGCCGGAGAGAGGACTAGGATAGACCCCAGAGGAGAGAAGAGCTGGCATGACTGATGTCACTGCCCACCTGCCATGTGCTGGGCTCGGCCCCAGTTCTCGCCACTGCTCCGAGTAGCCTCCCAGAATCCGCTGGTTCCGCCCCCACCTTCATCGCAGCAGCTGCGTAGACCAGGGGTTCATGAGTTTTTTTGGTTATCAGGACCTTGTTGCACTCCTAAAAACCATTGAGGACCCAAAGAGCTTTTGTTTGGGTGGGATATTAGTAATTAAAACTGACAAATTTAACTGTTTAGTAATTCATTGAAATTTATTAACAAACCAATTTCCCGTTAATAAAAATATTTTCATGAAAAATTACTATATTTTCCAAAGTAAGATCATCGAGTGGAAAGAGTGGCATTGTTTTACCATTTTTGCAAATCCCTTTAATGCCTGGCTTAATAGGAGTCAGCTGGATTCTTGGGTCTGCTTCTGCGTCCGGTCTGTTGACAATAATGCATGTCGTGCAGCTCTGGAAAACACGTTACGCTCAAGAGAATGAGGGGGACAAAAGACGTCTTAATGTTATTAGGAAAATACCTTGGTCCTCCCGAACCTCCTGAAAGGTCCACACTTTGAGGACCACGAGCGTAAACTCCATTCCCCTGTGCCCTGGTGTTTGTTCAAGTCCCTTCCTCTTCCTCACTCCCTGAAGGCAGGTGTCATTATCCCCGTTTACACAGGAGAGGGGAGGCATCCCTGAGGTCACGCAGCTGGAGACCCTCTCTGTGTTCCAGGACAGCTGGCTGCCTGGTGGCATCAGGTCTCTACGCCCCTGCCCTCCTGGGGTACCGTGGCTCTCCGCAGCCATGGAGACCCCTGCCAGGTCCTCAGAGCTCTGGCACCCCGCAATGCTGTCCCTGCCCAGCTTCCCCCACTCACCCCTCTCTCTGTTGCAGGGCCAGCCCGGCAGGAAGGGGTTTCCTGGGAGGCCCGGCCTGGATGGCGTGAAGGTGAGGGGACCTAGAGATGCCTGGGGACAAGGGGAGAGAGGGCGTCCAATGTCATAGGTGGGCTCCAGGACACGTCCTGAGTCCCATGGCTGGTTGTGAAAGGGGAGAAAAATTGGCCTCATTTATCACAAAGCATTGATAATAGACCAAAAAAAAAAAAAAAAAGGGCATAACCTAAATGTTCGATAATGGGGGACTGTTGGAGTAATGGAGGGCAGGGCCTGGGGAGCCCAGGCCGTTCCCATCTCCCTCCCTTCAGGGGACGGCCCACTGTCTGTCCTGGCCCCTCGGGGTTCTGTGAGCATGAGGGCTGGGGAGGAGTTGAGGGAGGACAATACTCCGGCCAGGGCAGCGTGAGCCACATCCATTTTCGAGCCAGGTCCTGCCCTCTGAGGTCTCGGCCTCTCTCCCTCAGACACCAGCTGGGTTTCTGTGGCGGGAGCGGTGACCCAGTCTGGGTGGATTTATCCCACGGGTCTGCTGCGGGGAGACCAGGGCAGCTGTGGCCACCTAGGGAGCAGGGGCCACCCCAGCGGGGGACATAACTGGCCTTGACAGGCCACCAAATATGAAAGCAGGCAATCGCCTTGAAGACAAATGAGTCTGATTTCCCTTATGCATAGCTGGGAAGGCTGAGCCCAGAGCGGAGATGAAACTCACCGAGTCACCCATGAGCTGGTGGCAGAGCTCTGGCGGGTTGAGGTCTAGGGCCTGGGTGCCCTGACTCCCTTGCTCCCTGCTCTTCCTGCAATGGGACAGCCTGGTACAGTGGGGCGGGCATTGCAGTTCCAGTTCCAGTTGTAGCTTTGCCTCTTGCTTGCTGTGTGACCTTGGGCAGGTCATTTCACCTCTCTGGGCCTCAGTTTTCATCCACAAAATCCTATGTGTTGTTGAAGGACCCAAGTGAGATACACACATCAGGGTGCTGAGTAATGTGCCAAGAGCCACTCAGAGGGAATGGGGTGACTGGAGTCATGTCGGGGCCAGAGTTTCTGTCCAAATGCCCCCTTGTCCCTGCCATTTGTTTAGGGTCACCAAGGCCAGACTCTGATTCATCCCGACTGATGGTAACTGAGGCCAGTAACCTGGGAGTGTTCCCTGAGGGGCCTGGGCTCCCGTCTCCATCCCAATCCATCCTCTTCCCTTTCTTTGCAGGGGGAGCCAGGTGATCCCGGACGGCCAGGGCCCATGGGCGAGCAGGTAAGCTAGTGACACTCTGTGGACATGGGGGCTGCATTCACCGAGCCCTCCCTGTGTGCCGTCCCCCTCTGAGCATCCTGCGTGCACCACCTCGTGGCATCCTCAGAGCAACTCCAGGCATAGGTTGGCTCCCCGGGCACTGATGTGGGCGGTGACAGAGAGCAGAAGGCCCTGACTGAGGAAGCCATGAATCACAGTCACCATGGCCGTTCCCACCAGCCAGGCTCCGCACAGATGTCTGTGGTGCATTTGCCCAAAGAGATTATGCGACTTCACTCCCAGGATGTTAAACCCGGAGGAGTCCTTCACAGCTGCGGCCGTGTTTCCCTCCGTTTATGGGGCAGGAAATCAAAGGCCAGAGAAGTGTCACCACTTGCCAGGGGTTATGGTCCAGGCTCCCCTAAACTGTAAAGAAAACGAAACTCGAACCAGTGGCTCTGGCTGGTTGGGAAGGGAGGCCAAGAAGAGACGAGGTTGCAACTAGTTATTAAAAAGGAGGTTTGATGACCTGCAATTATCAGAGTCCAGAGAGCAGCTCTGAGAGCTGTGCGGACAGCGGTGTAACTTCCGTCCCCCTCTCCCGCCCTGGCACCTCCTGACGGCTTAACCCGTGAGCCCAGAGGTGGCAATCTCCCTTGCTCCTTTAAATACAGACCGCACCCCGAGAACCTTGGAAGGGGCTTTCTCAAGTGGGAAGGGGGAACCGTGCGGGGGTCCCAGAAGGATCTGGCTGCGCCAGGAAGCACCCTCAGTGGCGTGAGAGCCGCACACGACGGGCTTCCTCACCAGGCCTGCAACATCTGTTGGGGGAAGAAAGAAATTAAGCAGGAGGAGGCCTGGATTTTTGAAATCTCTCCAGTGTCATTCGAGCACATTCTGTGGGAAGCCCGGGAGTTTGGAAAAGCCGCCGCGGCCTGGATATATTTCCTGATTGGGGGGGGAGGGTGGTGGAAAAGGCAATATGATCAGCAAATTCAATTTCATAGTTATGCTAATGACAGGGCCCTCGGGAAATAGATACTCAGAATCCTAGACTGTCAGGACACAGAGGGTCCTTGGAAACACCATATCCAGGAGTCCTCCCATTTTTTGTGCCTTGGGTTCTTTAGCCAGCAACCTGGCACAGACCCCCTTCTTAGAATAGAGTTTTTATTGTATCATTCTCTTTTTTTCTGGAGACAAGGTCTCCTGATCTGTCATCCTGGCTAGAGTGCAGTGGCATCATCAAAGCTCACAGCAACCGCCAACTCCTGGGCTCAAATGATCCTCCTGCCTTAGCCTCCCGAGTAGCTGGGACTACAGGCATGTGCCACAACATCCAGCTAATATTTCTTTGTTTTTGTAGAGATGGGGTCTTGTTCTTTTTTGTGCAGGCTGGTCTTGAACTCCTGACCTCAAGAAATCCTCCTGCCTTGGCCTCCCAAAGTGCTAGGATTATAGGTGTGAGCCACTCCACCTGGCCTCAGAATAGAGTTTTTAAATGTGTAAAATAAAAAGCAAATGATTACAAAGGAAACCAGTTATATTGAAACACAATTATGAAAATACGTTAAAATGTGATATACTCATATACATGCTTCCTTATTAAGGCATTAAATAATGAGGTCTAGGAGCAAGTCTAACAACCACATCAGTTTTGAAGTGGTGACAAACCTCCATAGTGTATTTTGAGGTCTCTGCAGCAATGCTGTGATGTGACATGTCACTTTCTGTATAGTCCCAGCTACTAACAATACTACTGTGGTTTGTTGCCTACACACTTATATTTCAAGGAAATGGTACATATCAATTAGAGGTTCATGAAAATAAAAGTAGTGGTTTTTCCCATTCAAGTTCATGAACCTGACTTCCACCCCGAGCGCCTGACAGAGCCCCGAGGTTAAGAACCCCTGGATTCTAGTCTACCTGGCATTCATGGGGGAGAAGCAGCTTGACCAGTATGAGCAAGTGGGCTAGTGGCAGAGCTGGGGCCAGGAGGGGTGGGCACGCTGCCTGGGGTAGCCTGGGCTAGCCTGGGCCTGTTTGCTGCACCCCGTTGCTGCCCAGGCAGCCTGGACCACACGAAGGAAAGGCAGAGCTGAACCCCTGGGGGTGCCCCCGGGGACACACCCAGGTCCCACGCTGGCTGTTGCCGTAGCAGGCACTTCCTGTCCGCTGCAGAACTAGAGGGTCCCCAGGGAAGAGTTCTGAAACTCAGGCCACAGGACCTCCTTGCAGTCACAGTAACAGCTACATTTGTCGGTTACCTGTTAGATCCCAGGCCCTGGGCCAAACGGCATATCCACTATCGCCTGCAATTGCCCCCAGGAGCCCTATGGCAATAGGTATTATAATCCCCATTTTATAAGTGGGGAAACTGAGGCTCTGAGAAGTTAAGTCCCTTGCCCAAGGTCTCATAGGCAGTAATATCGCGGTCAGAGCCAAGAGTGACACTGAGGGCTTGCTGCGTTCTCAAGACCTGCCTCTAGGGCTGAGAAACTCTTTGACCTCCTGAGCCCTGGTATTTATCTAATAGTTAAAACGCAGACTGCTTGCCAGGCCCTGTCCTAGGTGCTGGGGATGAACGAGGCAGGGCAAGCCAAGCCTGTCAGCACCTAACCCTGAGTTGCCTGGTCCGGCTGAGGACCCACCGCTGTCTTGTTCTCAGTGGCACCCCGTGATTAGCAGAACGTTACATGAGATGAGGAAGGGAGAGAGGGAGAAGGACTCCCGTAGCAGACGATGGTCTTCTATCTGGAGGCAATGTGAGGGCCAGGCCAGCCTCCTCCCCAAAACTGGGGGCTCAGATGCTGCCTGCACAGTACCCGCTGTAGGCGACAATACTGCCTCCTCCCTGTGCCCTCTTGCCAGCCTGAGCAGAGCCAGCCATGCCCGCGGCTGTCAGAGCCGCTTCTCCACCGACCTGCCCGGTCGAAGCCCTGGACCTGCCTCACCCCAACTCGGGCCTGCCAGCATGTTCCGGGACAGTGCCTGGGGTGGGGGAGCAGGTCCAGGGGGCGGGGGTGGGGACCGGGCACTCACTGTATGGCCTTTATTCATCAGGACCCCGTTTGGCTTCTTGTTTGAGGTTTATGACCTGCCTGTCTTCCAGGACCCAACAACTCATAAATTTAAAGTAGCTATGAAATTTCTGTTTCTCTGGGCCAGTCGGGCAGGGCCTTCGAACAGAGCAGTTTTTATTCCCTTCATTGGGCGTCCTCTGCGTGTCTGGCTGCTCCCTTGCGGGGAGCCGGGGCCTCTGTCTTACCTCGTGCCCTTTCACCGTAAATTAGGATGGGCTGGGAGAGAGCTAGCTTTATGGAGTGGCTGGACGTGCCACACATGGTCTCAAACGCTCAGGACAACCCCAGGAGGTAGAGAAGGGACTTCATGGTCTCCCATTTTGCAGAGGAGGCTCGGAGACACCACTCACCTCAATTCTGGATGACAGCGACACAGATAAAGTGCCAGGAACAGGGTTTCGCACATAGGGCGTGCTCGATACACTGAAGCTGTTGTTATTAATATTGCCATCACCTTGAAAATTAAGTTTTTAAAATTAAGTTGTTGCAGAAGTCAAATACTTGGTTATTTCCTGTGACATGTTAGCCATTGCCTCTTAGCTTGTACCTCGACCCTGTCACCTCGTGCTTCACTCCGGAAGGGTCTCTGGACCCAGGGAAGCAAGGGCAGGCCCGGGACCCCCATGTACAGCGATGGTGCTAGGCTGGTGGGAGGTCTGTTCACAGCCTCGGGGTGCATGGGCTTTGGAGCCCCACACACCAGGGACATCTCAGGCTGCAGAAGCGAGACACACGTGGTCCTGGCTGAAGTTGCCACCTTAAATCTGTCTTTGGATAAGGCAGCGTGGGTCTCAGAGTCTGGAATTGGGCAGCACGCTGTCACCCTAGTTGACTGACAGATGGGCTGGCTTTACCGCCTGAGTGCACAGCCTCTGGTCTGCTAGTGGCCCCAGGTCTCGTTTCAGTCTGGCCAGAGTTTGGGGGACAGGGAGCAGATTTTATAGGACAGATCCACTCATCCCTCAGTCTTTCCTAATTCTCCCAGAATCTCTTTGCTGCAAATCTGGGTTCTTCCAAAGCCACTTTTTGCACTCCTAAGCCACACAAGGTCCCCTTTACCCTCCAGCTTGCTTTTTTCCTTAGCAGGGAAGAGGGTAGGGCCTGAACAAGAGATGGGTCCACCTTCCAGGGCGACCTTTCTAGGCTGTTCACTTGCGCTACGCATGTGTGTGTGCCTGCTAAGCCACCTAGAAGAAGCCTCTGGAACAGAGAGGCGAGTTATCACCCAGTGGAGTTAAAAAGAGCAACAGGAGCCATTGCATGTGTGTGCACGCATATATGTGTGTGTGTGCGTGCGCGCGCGCGGGTGTGTGTGTGTGTGTGTGTGTGCACGCTCTTGTAGGAAGAAGTGAGGAAGGCTTTCAAAAGACAGTGAAGAGGCCCCGCTTCCCAGATTGTAATCAGATCTCTTGGCAGAGGCTGTTACGGTATTTCTGTCGTAGCCAGTGGGTTTGTTTCTCTCTTCGAAACAGCCCCAGAGCCCCGAAAGATGGGGACAGATGGCCTCTTCCCAGCACAGCTTAAGGGCCACCCCACCCGCCACACACACACACCCCAGCTCTCCAAACGTGGCAGCCTCCCAGCCTGCTGCTGGCACGGGAAGAGTGCGTGGCGCTCCCAGGGATGTTGGCAGCGGCCCCACCGCTTGGCTCCAAAATCACAACCATCTGGCAGAGTGAGGGAAGTCGGGATGGTGCCCAGAGAGAGGCCGTGCTCTCCTTGGTGGCAGCTGGCCGGATTGCCGGCCCGGGGCAGGAGACACCTGGGAGCGCGCGCGCAGGAGGAAGGGAAGGCGGTGGGCTGCCTCGCAGACTCAGCACGTCCCGGACTCACGCCGTGTCCTGCTTTCGCGACTGTCTCTCACAGGGACTTGTGGGATTCATCGGTCTGGTCGGGGAGCCAGGAATCGTGGGAGACAAGGTAAGTCGTATCGGGTAGAAGATGATGCACAAGCAGAGCTTGTTTCAAAATTTTAAAAAGGTGAAGGGCCCGTTGACCTGGGGGGTTCAAGAGCACCGTCCCCTGGCCTTTCTCCTGACTCAGCCCCCCGACCCTCCAGGGACCTTCGCCGCCTTTCCCGGCATCCCCCAGGGCTCCCGATGCCCTCCTGTCGTCACCTTCGAGCACGGTTAGAGTTCTGTGTGACAGCCACTGATGCTGCCCACAGGCTCTGCAAGGGGGCAGATGACAGAAGGGAGGGACGATCGTCTTTTAAAAAGATGAAAGAGGAGCATATTCCCTTAGGTTGCCTTGCTAACCACCCAGCAGCTGTTGCGCAGGTAACGGAGGCTCAGATAGGGAAAGGGACTTGCTCAGGGTCACCCAGACCATAAGTGGCAGAGCTGGGCTTTGAACACGGTTCATTACCAAAGGCCACGCTTTGCCCACTGAAACACTCTGTCTCATGTTGGCTCTTGGCTCAGAAACAGCCTGTGGCTTCCATGTCCCACCACGGGCCCTGGCGGGCACCTGCCTTCCCGTCTGGTCCCCAGAGCAGGCTGACTGGGAGAGCCAGTGCCATTCCACTGGCTAGGTGGACAGACCGAGGTCCAGAGGGAGGAGGAACCCACCCCGGCCCAGCCCCGCTACCCTTCCTGGTACATCTCGTGCCTCTGCATCTGTCTCTGTCTCAGACCCTCTGGCCTCTGCCTTTCTCCTCTCCTCCTCCCCACCCTTCTTCCTCCTTCCTCTCCTTTCCCTCCTCCTTTTAAAGTTTTTATTTTGAAATAATTACAGATTCACAAGAAGTTACAAAACATAGCACAGAAAGGTCCCACGTACCCTTCACCCATTTCCTCCACTGGTAGCATCTTACGTAACCGCAATACAATGCCAAAGCCAACTCTGGCCTTCTTTTGTTGCTCAAATGTCCCTTGTCCCTCCTCACCTACAAACCATGGCCCGTACCATTCCCTTGCCACACACACTCTTCCCACTCCCACCTGCCCCTGTGCCTAGACACCTCTTAATCATCCTACAGCCCTTGGTCCAAGCAGACTTCCCGAGGGACACGTTCCCTGACCACCCCTACCCCCAGGTGGGTCACACCCCATTACGCCACCTTTTCCCTGTGACCCCCCCTCACTGCAGCTGCTCCAGCTTCCAGCTCCCCAAAACTCTGAGCACCCCGCTCCGTGGGAGCGGGTCTGTCTCTGCTCACCATGTAGATTCAGGGTCTGGCATGTCGTGCCCGGCATATAGTAGATGCTCAGTAAGTATTTGCTGGCTAAGTGGATATAAGAAACAGGGCCTCACAGAAACAGAGCCAGGATTTGAACCCAGAGCCCCTGCCTTCTAGCCAAGCCCCGTCTGGGTTGGTCGAGAGGGAACGAATTTCGTCTCTGATTCCCTAGTGTCTTATGTAGGTTTGGACAGGGGGCGAGGAGAGTGAAAGGAACACCCTCTTTTGTGGTTTCTGCCCTAGCAAGCCCGGCCCAGGGGATGCCAGGCCTAAGGAGGGCCGCATGGTGTGGGCCAGGATCAAAGGGACAACATGACTGGCGCGCCCTCACTCGGGACCAAGCGTGGAGGGGCTCCCTGCGTGCAGGGTCCTGGTTTCTGCCCGGTGAAACCCAGGTCCCCACCTGGGCGACGTGGCCATGAGCCGGGCAGGGACTCTAGAGGCCTCGGGCAGCCCCTGCCCCTCCCGGGGCATCTGATGTCCCTTTGCACCTCCCCCCACAGAGTCCCCACAGCCATGGCTGTGACCTCCCGCATTGCTTTCTTCGTCACAGGGCGATCGCGGCATGATGGGACCCCCAGGCGCACCCGGACCCAAGGGGGCGATGGTAAGGAGTAAGTCTGCATCCTCTTGCACGCTCCTCTTGTCGCCTCTCTCGGGGGGCAGCTCTGTTCTCCTCTGCCACCGTGTACCCCAGATGTTTGGGATGACCAGAGCCCTTTCTCTCGGCAGGGTCACCCTGGGACGCCTGGTGATGTGGGGACCCCCGGAGAGCCTGGACCCCCGGTAAGCAAAGCCCTCCTGTTCCCCGAGCTCACACCCGCTGTCACTAGGAATCAGACAGCCCTGGGTTTGAGTCCCAGCCCCACCGCTTCCTGCTGTCTACCTGGGGCAGATGATTGAACTCCGCTGACCCCAAACTTCGCTTGTCTGAAAAATAGAGAAAATCATCATGGTGATAATGGTGGGATCGTGTGGGTCACATGAAACCTGGGCCACACACACATGACACAGTGATGTTCATTCCCGGGAGCGTCTCAGTGGAGAGAACTCAGTAGATGAGGTCCCCCTGCTGTGGGGGACACAGGCACCGAGATGGGAATGCTGCATCAGAGAGGACTGAGGGTCTGAGCCCAGGGACCCAGCGACGCTGGGCTTCCTGCGATGACTGAGGCAGCAGGGATGTGATCTCGAGGCAGAGAGTGGTGGGAGAGACGGGACAGGTGTGGCTGGAGCACCCAGGTTCGGGGGTCCCTTCCCCTCCCCAGGGTGATGTGGGGGGGTGGTTGCTCTCATTTGGAGCAGGTGGAGCTTGAGTCAGGCCCTGCTCCTGCCGACGGAGGGTGGAAACTGGGGAAGGGCGCTCGGTTCGGCCAAGGCCAGGGCCACAGCTGGGAGCCCGCTCCCTGGTGTGGGCGGAGGGCCCAGCCGGGCTCAGATCCTGAGGCTCTGCGAAGCCCAGGTCCCTGCAAAGGCCACACTGAGGAGTTCCCTGGGGTCTGATGAGGACCCCCTGGTGAGGGCAGCTCACCCAGGCAGGCTCTCTGCACCAACGAGGGAAGCAAGGCCAACTCAGTCCCCAGTCTTTTCCATGCACCTACTGTGTGCGTGCGCTCAGCTCTGCAGGTGCAAAAGTGATAAGAAAGATCCTGCCCTTAAGACTCTCACTTTCTAGTGGGGTGTGGGGTCTAGACATTCTCCCAGGCATTAACAGACTTACCGAGCACCTACTATGTGCCAGGCCATGCTAGGTGCCGAGGAGGATATGGAGGGGCTAGTCCCAGGGTGAGAAGCCTGGGCGTAAGTAACCGTCATCCAAAGAAGTGGATGCCAAGTGCCAGGTGGCTCTGTCTATCGTCACAGTCCCTTTGAGAGTCAGCACTCTGGGCTCCCAGAGACACGTTTTTTTGCCCTGTGCATGAGGAGGAGGAAAAGCTGCTTCTGGCCCGGGACTGGAGGGTCTGGCAACGTGCAAGTGGGACTGTTGGGGGTGGAAACAGGCGGCCAGAGGACCAGTATCCTGACGGGTGGGGTTTGCACAGCAGCCGAGGCGCCCTGCTTGCATCGAGGGTCTAGCACGCCCAGCCTCCCTCCCAGCGGCACAGACAGGGTGACTGCAGCCCATCAGCGTGGGAGGTGCCTGGGTACGGCCGAAGGCCAAGAACAAGGGTGCTCAGGTCCATCATCGAATTCTACCTCCTGCACCCCGGGACCTCGGCCTCCCTGAGCCTCAGTCTCCCCATCTGTCCAGTGGAAGGAGGAAAGCCTGGGAATGAGTCACTGGGACAAAATGGAAGGCCAGTGGGAGATGGGAAAACAGCGGGGACTTTCAGGCTAGTGCAGAGAAGCGAGGTGCTGGCCTCCTCTGCATCCCGCCTCCCTGGCTCTACTTAACCCCCCCACCCCACCCCACCCCGCTTCCTCAGTGCTTCCACCCGTTCAGTGGGTTGGCTCAGGAGCAGTGAAATCAGATGGTCACTCGCTGCTTTGGGCAGGTGTCCCTCCCCTGCTGTGGCATGGGCCTGGGCCCCGGGCCAACCAGCTGCCCCACTGCCACGGGGAAGCAGGCCAGCGCAGGGGCCCGGAAAACCGGCTTCAGAATCAGACATGCAGGAATAAAAAACCTGTGTGACTGTTGGCAGCATTCATGGCCCCTCTGAGCCTCAGTTTCCTCGTCTGTAAGGCAGCATAACACTGCCTTCGTCACGGCTTGTTGTGAGAGATGGCGTCGTGCATAGTGTCGTGCTTAGCACACTTCCTGCACGTACTCCGTGCCTGATGAACGGTAATAGCTATCTGTTAGATGCGATAATTACCACCATTATTAGTAAGTCTGTTACCATTAAAGTGACATTTCGGGTGATACAGTTTACATCTGCTTGGCATTTCCCACTATTCCAGTCACTTTAACATGTTCTCCTGTAGTCCACTGAGTCAAGATTATTATCCCAACTATGGGGGGAGCCCAGGGTCACCCAGTGCCCCGAGCTGGGTCTGGCATCCAGTTCTGACATCCTCCCACCTTTTACTGAAGACTTTCCTTGTCATTTCATCTTCTCGACAATGCTGGGAGGTAAGGACTTGTCCTCATTTTATAGATGATAAAACTGAGGCCCAATGAGTTTAATTTACTCACTGCCTAAGGCGGCACAGTTAGAGAGTGGCAGAGGCAGGATTTGAACCCAGGTTCTCTGGTGCTACAGCCTGCTTTTCTGAGCACTCTACTGCCTGAGGTGGAGACTTGGCTCCGGAAACTTCCCAGCGGCGATTGCACGCCTTCTGAGCGCTGAGCCCACGCTGTGGAATCGTCCGCTCTCACCAGCCTTTGTGCTCTCCACCATCCGCAAGTCAGAGCTGCCTTTTATTGGGCCAAGCCGGGGCCACACCCCGCTTGCTCTCCTGACCAGGGCTCAGCCAGGGACCCAGCCCCTCACTTCAGCCCCTCGGCAGCAGCTGTCAGGGGCTCTGCCGGGTGACAGCAGCTGGGTTTGCGCCCGCCAGGCTGTGAGGAGAGACATGGGAGCAGCAAGACTTGGTCCTGAGGCCGCAAACGGGGCTGGGCCTCTCTCTCGTCTCCCGAGGGGGGACAGGGCTGTCCCTGCCTTGTGAAGGAAGCACACGCAGCCTGAGGGGCCCTGCAGGGCTGGCAGGGTCCTGGCACTGGCAGAAGGTCCTGGCTGGCTGGTGGGTGAGGTCGCAGCGTGGGGCTGTCAGGCTGGGCCCGGAACCACAGGGGGAGAACGAGGCGGCGGGCGGCCGCTCCCTTCCCCCCTCCGCCCTCCTGGCCGTTCACGTGGCCCTTGTCCAGGCAGCAGGTTCCTGCGTACCTGTCCTGAGCCTGTGCCAGGTGCTAAGAATTCAAAGAGCAGAGCCGCCCAGCTTCCTGCCCCTCTCCCTGTCTCTCCCTGCTCCTTCTCACGAGGGGTGGCCGGGCCAGGGCCTCGCCTTTCTAGTGCTCCCACCTGCCACTGTTTCCCCAGCACACCTTAGGGCCGTGTTCTGGGTTATTCCTCCTCCTCTGCCCTGGGGGAGTGTATCTGGAGCTCTTGGTCCTCAGGGCGGGGCTGCGGGGCAGAGGTTGGTCGCCACACTCTCCCTGCTGATGGAGGAGAAAGAGGGAGGTGGGAATTTGAAGAGGCCCTTGCCCAGAGATGCCATTGGAGCTTCTTGTCGATTTAACAGAAAGAGGGAGGAAGTAGCTCATCTGGGAAGTCTTCTCCCCACTACCCGGACTCCCAGGAAAGGCGGAGGCTGAGCCCCGAGTAACCCCAGGCTGGGGCTGTGCCCAGGGCTGCGGCTTGGGGGCTGCTGTCCCGGTGGGCCGGGCGCCTGGTCTTGCCATGCGGGGGCAGCGGGCCGGGCTGCTCCCAGCAGCCTTCAGGCTTTGCCCCCACGGTCCCTGAACGGGGCCCTCTCCAAACTCTTCCTCCTCCCCAGGGTCCTCCAGGATCTCGAGGCCCACCAGGCGTGCGGGGAGCAAAGGGACGTTGGGTAAGTTGGGCCCAGCTCCTGGGGGCTGACTCTGGTGGGAGGGGACGTGCTTGGAACAGGGCTGCCTGCCGGAGGACCCCCCCCCCAGTCCCTGTCCCACTGTGAGGTCTGTGTGACAGATTTGCAGCATCAGGCAGGGGTCCCAGCTTGCCCTGGTCCCGGCTCTCGGTGGGGGGCTTGCCCCTCCCTGCATCTTTCCAGCCCGCTTCTGAGCCTTGTCGTCCCGCAGGCATAGATGGGCTCTGGTACCGGTGCTCTGTTCATTCATTCATTCAGCCATCATCTATGTAGCACCAGCCGCTGCTGGTGGCTGTGCAGGTACCATGAAGAACAGGACAGACGTGGCCCGTCTGGCAGACGCGGATGGTACAGCATAGGCTCATCCATGCGTGGATGGGGGAAGGACGGGCAGCCTGGATTTTAGGAAAGGGCAGTGCCTGAGCTGGTGCCAGGTTCCAGGCGGAGGGGCTGGCAGGAAAAGCCCTAAGGTGAGAGGGTGTGGCACATTTAGGGATCCCTGGGGTCACCAGAGGGACGGGGGGAGGGATGGGGCCAAGACTTAGCAGGCACCAAGCGAGTCAGGGCCTCAGAAACTATAGTGATGCTCCAAAGGTAATGGGGAGCCACAGAGGGTTTTAGACAAGGCCTGGCCTGAGCACAGTAGCCAGGGTCGTCACCAGCACTGACTCTGTGTCAGGCACTGTCTGTCACATGCATGAACCCATTTAATCCTCAACACCTCCCTGTCAGGAGGTGCTATTCTTATTCCCATTTGTATAGATGAGGAGAGGGAGGCACAGAGAGGTTGAGTCGCTTGCCTTAAGCTGCACAGCTGGAAAGTAACAGAGCTGGAATTTGAACCCAGGAAATCTAGCTCTTTTGCATGCTGAATTCAGCCTTATTTCAACCATGCAGCGAGAGTTGATGGGATAACCTTCTGTTGCCAACTGGTGTACAGGTGCCGGGCCACCCAGCCTTGGTGAACAGAGGAAAAATGGGGCAGGTGGGCCAGGTGGAGCGGGCGGCCGGGGCCTGATATCCAAGCACCACGCAGGGGATCTGTGATCATTATTCTCCTCTTGGCTGGATTTCAAATGGTTTCAAAAATTCCCCCGGACCAGATGGCCTGAGCAGCCGGCCGGGAGAGGGGAGATTAAGAGGCATTCCTCTGGCCAGGCCGTCCCTCCAGGGCCTGTGTCCTCAGGGTCTCTTCCAGTGGCCCCGGGCAGCCAGGTTCCATCCTGTTGCTGAGTCCGTGACCTCCCGCCCCAGGAAGCCGCGGGTGAGCTGCACAGCCAGCCCAGGCCCCGGCCCTGCCCCAGATGTGAGGCTCAGGCTCCCCGCCAGTCGCTGGGCTCCCCCAGCCATCCCAGCCTCCCCTTCCAGGCAGTGGCGGGAAGAATGTATCCCCTGCTTGAGGAAACCCAGGCTTCCAACCACATCAAAGTCTCCTCTCCGGGGCTGGGAGGGAAGCATCGGAAAAGGAGCCCCCCTCCCCGCTGCGTCTGGCAGGAATGCAAAACCCGCGGGATCAGAACGCTTGGTCCCCTGCCCAATAGGCCGCGCTTGGCCACCTCGCAGATGGGGTCACCGAGGTGGGGACCTAGAGAGGCACCCACTGAGCCTGTGAAGGAGCTCACTTCTGGGCAAGTGCTAATTCAGCGCCTGGCTTGCCTGTGCCATTAGGGCTCAGTTTCCCCATATGTGCCAAGAGGTCTGCAGGGCCCTGCCTGCCTTCCTGCCTGTGTGCTGCCCGTCCCGCCATGCGCCCCAGGGAGAACGAGCACTGGGGGTGTGCGGCCGGGGACAGGGAGGCCCGGCGCTCTGCTCTCGGCGGGGCTGCTGGCTCGGGCCTGCCCGCCGGCCCCGGTCAGAATAGTGGGGGCTCTGGGGTCAGGCAGGCTTAAGGCAAGTCTCAGCCGTCCCACTTACCTGCTGTGGCACTTCAAGCCTGTTTCTTAACCTCTCTGAGCCTTCTTCCCAGGCACTCAGGTGGGTGACTAGTTCCTCCTTCCAAGGGGGCGGTAAGGGTTCTGAGACTGAAGTGCTTCCGGCCAAGACTGTTCTGCGGGTTGGGGTTAGAGCTTAGCAGCCCTGGCCTCAAACCCCGGCTCTTCTTCTCGGACCTCAGGCAACTGATTTCCCCTCCCCAGGCCTCCGGTTCTTCCTCTGTAAAATGGGTGAGCAGCAGAAGCAGCCTGCTGGGCTGACTGCAGGGATTCAATCACTTAATGAGTGCCTCGAACCTGGCGCGCGCCAGCCTGGGCAGCAGCAAGACGTAGTGATAGCACGTGTCACCCCTCTCCCTCATCTGTCCCCTTGCACAAGAACTGTAGCTGGCCAGATCTCCTATCCTGGGCCGGGCTCCTCCCTGCCAAGCCTGACCCCGGGCCTGGCTGGAGGGCGGCCCCAGCTGTGACTGCAAACATCTTCCTGGGAAGCAGATACAAGAGCGGGGACATGTGGCTGTGATAGAAGCCCAGGCTGGCCTCCAACGAGGCGGGGCCGGGCAGGCCTGCCCACATTCATTGAGGAAGGAGGGGCAGGGCTGGGGACCCAAGGGAGGAGCCGCAGAGTGGCCAGAGCACGGTTGGAGTATGCATGCGGCTGCCCTCGCTCCTCCCTGCCCAGGGAGCTGGGGACAGGGAAGCGGGTGGCCTTCTTCCTCCCAAGCCAGGCCAGCTCCTCCCAGAGCTCTCTGATGCCCCATTGGGATAGCGGGTTCTCCCAGATAATAGGGAGTGTAGACACTTGTCCTCTCCAACTCCCTGTCCCAGTGTGCAGCCTCCCTGGCGGGCTCCTCTGGGCCCTGACCTGCACACCCCCTGTGACAGGGAGCTCACTCCCTGTCTGATAAGCAATGACAGGTAGTGGTGAAAAAAATGGGCAGCGGCTGACTTTCAAATTCTGCCTCCTGCTCCCCTTCCTAGGCGTGTGATTGTAGCAAGTTCACCTCCACCTGGACGGAGCCTGTGCCTTTATTTGTCAAATGAGGATAACTTTCCCTGTTGCTGCTGTTGCTATTGTTACTATTATTACTAGACCACAGAATCATTCTCCCGGGAGGCTTTGATTCCTAGCACAAACAGCGTGCTGTGTGATTCAGGCCAGGCCCCTGACTTCTCTGAGCCTCCATGCTGCTCTCAGAGCTACCCCTCTCCAGGAGTTTATGCCTCAGCTAGACACAGAGCCAGAGCCACCTCTCAGGAGGGCTCAGTTGTCCACTCATCAGCTCAGCCTCTGTCCCGGCTCCTGTGACCGGGACGCCCCACCCCAATCCGGCTCTAGGCCTGTGGCTGTGAATCGGGGGTGTTAAGTGTAACACGTGTTCTGACAGTGTCCATGTGACCCTGAGACTGAGGCCCAGAGAGGGAAAGGGACTTCCCTGGGGTCACACAGCAAATGAGCCAGGGCTCCAGGGAACAGCAGCCTGACCCCTGCTGCCAGGACTAGCCCTGTAACACCCCCTGGAGATGGCTCGTTCTGCTGGAGCCTGGCTTGTTCTTCCTCAAACCGTGTCTGGAATCTGCATAAACGCTCCGCTGGTTTTGCACCGCGTGGCGTGGGCTGCCTGTTCCGAGGAAGGGACCGTGTCCAGATCCGCCCAGCCGCTCCTCTGTGTCCCTGCCCCTGCGAGCCCGCAGGCTGCTTTGGCAGATCCCGGCAGGGACGGGGCCAGCCTTCCCCGAGCCCTTCCTGCGTGTCAGGGCTGGGCTGCCCGCCGTGCTAGCTCCTGCCTCCGGGCGGGATTTCTCGCCCTGTGTCAGAGATGAGAAACTGAGGCTCGGCGAGAGCAGTTTCTCGTCCCCACACCTGTTTCTGAGCAGCCCTGTGCCTGGCGCGGGACCCACGGTGAGCCCAGGCCTGGCGTGCTGGGAACACCCACTCCCGGCCAAGCGCTGGCCTCGGCCACGGCCTCCGAGCCGGGTGTATTTAATCAGTGGGGTCCCGCTCAGGCTGCGAGAGACACTCAAGCGCCGGGAACTCCAGGTGGCTGAGAAGTAGGATTTGCACTTTTCCTGGCTCAACTATTAATCGAGAGTTTCTGTATTTGACTTTTACATAATTTTTTTCATTTAGTTTTCTTATTCTTCATCTTCCCCGCCCCCCCACCCAGACACTCCCCAGCTCCTTCTGTCTGGGGGCGACTCGCAGGCGGGTCCCCTGGGCCCCCAGGCTGGGGTGGGATGGCCTTCCCGGGATGCTCTTCCTGGCCCCAACTCGGGCCTCTTCCAACCCCCTGCAGAACGAACCCCCCCACGGTTCTCCAGGGGCCTTTTCCAGGAGCCGCCATCCCATCCCTGTCTCTGCGGGAATCCCCATGAGGGGACACGGAGGGACCCTGGGCAAGCCACTTCCCTCCGCTGGGCCTCACTGTCCTCATCTGTGCAGTGGGAGGAGGCACTGGACTCCACCTGCCCCCGGGGCCTCCCGGCAGTCGGGGACCCGGTCTTGGGGCTCAGACCTGAGCCCAGGGCTCCAGGGAGCAGTAGCCTGACTCTGCTCCCTTGTCACACCCCTGCCCCGTTCCTGCCCCTCCTCCTGCCGGAGCTTCCTCTGTGAGCTGCCAGCTCAGCTGCACATCTGGCTCAAGAGGGGGCTGCTGTACACATCTGGCCACATGCAGACCCTCCCCAGGTCTTGCTCTGTCAGTTTCCACGAAGGTCTGTGGTCACACACGTTTCTGCCCCACATGGGCTCTGGGAAGAGCGTGTGCGGCAGCAGAGTCTGAGAGCTGGTGGTGGGGACTTGGCCATCGACCCTGGCCTTCAGTCTCCATGTCTGTGAAATGGGTTGGCTTGGTGATTCCTAAGGTCTCTTTAAACAGGGCCATTCGTGCACCAGTCCTGTTCTGGAAGGGTAGGGCTTCTAGCAGAGTCTACCTGCAGAGCCATCTCAGCAGGCACTGTGTGAGCGTGACCTCCAGCAGGTGGGAGCATGTGGGAGGTGGCAGGAGGGGAGGACCCAGGCTCACGCAGGGAAAGGCCCAGCTCTGGGCAGCCCCACCCTCCGGTTCCCAGCCCAAGGGAGACCCCTGCTGTCCACTGTGCTAGTCCCTTGTTCCTATTCCAGGGCCCCCGAGGACCGGACGGACCAGCTGGGGAGCAGGGGTCCAGGGGCCTGAAGGTACCTCCCCTGTGGCCCGCCCTCCCTCACATCTCCCACGCCGGGCCCCGAATCCGAGAACCACGGCTCACACCATCCTCAGCGCCAGGCCCCTTAGGGACTCGGGGAGCCCCGACAGGCTGCAGGGCCCATTGCCGGAGCTCAGCCCTCCACTCCTGGGCCCCACTGCAAGCCCAGAGCAAGAGAAGCAGGAAGGAGACAGTGAGAAGGAATTGCACATGTCCTGTGACCCCTTCCAGGGACCAAAGCCCCGCCAGGGCCCCTGGGAGCGGAGACTGCCTCTGCAGCATCACTAGCAGGGTCTTTGTGTCCCTCTCGGAGCCCAGCAAGCCCCTCCCCTCGCTGGGCCTTAGTTACCCGCCCGCACCATGGGCGGGGGTGGGGGTGGGGGTGGGCTCCACGGTCTCATGGGTTCCTTTGATCTCCCGTGGAGGGCCGGGTCCCTTCGTGGTGAGGGGTCCTCCCAAGCACCCCCCCCCACCTTCACGTGCTCTGCTTCCTGCAGGGCCCCCCAGGACCACAGGGCAGACCGGGCCGGCCTGGACAGCAGGTACGTCAGGCCCCGGCCGCACGGGCCCGCCGCTGGGCCCCTCCCTGCTCCCTGCTCTGTGATTTGTGCCTCTAATGACCCCACATGTGCTTCCAGGGTGTGGCTGGTGAGCGAGGCCACTTGGGCCTGCCTGGCTTTCCAGTAAGTAGCCCCAGTTCTGGAAATTCTCCACGTGGGGCTTTTGGGGGTAGGTCATAGCCAAGTTCCCGTCCTTCTATGGAAACCCCAAAGGTCCTGGCTGCCCACGCCCTGCACTGGAGCCCCCAGCATGTCCCCTCCCTGGGTCTCCTCCTTCCCATCTGTCACCTGTCACCCCGTGGAGAGGGGCAGGACCCTAATACCCTACGACAGCTTGCCCGAGGTCAGCGGACAGGAGGGTGCAGAAGGCCATGTGGGACTAAGGCCACCTTTGCCTTGTCTCTGCAGGGCATCCCGGGGCCCTCAGGCCCCCCAGGCACCAAGGGCCTCCCAGGAGAACCGGTAAGTGCCCTTTCCGCTTCCCTTGCATCTTTGGCCCTGGCACCTGCAGGAACAGGCCAGGTGCTCAGACAAGGAGAGCGGTCGGACTGCGCCCCGCTGTGGGCCGGGCCGTGGCTGGCGGGGAGAGCACGAGGCGGGGCGCTGGGTTGGAGTCTCAGCTCACTCGCCCTCCAGCTGGTTTCACAGGAAAATGGGGCGATTGTCTCCACCTTGCCATTCTGTTGTGAAGATGAAATGGGGAAATACGCGGAGAGTGCTTAGCACAGTGAAAGGGGGAGGAAGGAGGGAGGGAGGAGGGAAGGTAAGAACAAAGTAACCAGCTGACCGGCAGCTGCAGAGTCCAGCTGGCTGGAGTGGGACAGCAGGGGAGGCAGGAGGAGCCGTGGAGCGTCCGCTCTTTGTCTCGAGGGCAATGGGGAGCCATCGAAGGGCTTGAAGCAGAGGGTGGAGGTGCCCCTCGGAAGATGCCCCTGGAAGGACGGGTGCCGGGGACCGCCGGGAGGAGGCTGCAGAGCAGTGCTCCAGGAGGTGGTGGGGAGAGGACAGAGGCCCCCGTCCCCAGGGTGCTGCTGTGCGCCCACATCTTGAGGCCCAAGGAGATGCTCTTTGGAGGGATGGATTGGCCGGGCGTGGCGGTGGGGGTGGGGGTGGGGGTGGGGGTGGGTGGCGGTTGCTATTGCTAGAGGTGGATCTGAGGTGGAAGGGTATTCCAGGCAGGGGGAACAGAGTGGGCAAGGCTCGAGAGCTCGGAGGTTTCTGGGCAGGGGAGGGCCCACGGAGGCTTCAGGTAAACAGAAGAGCGTGTGCAGCTGGACCACAGGGGGTATGACAGAGGCGCATGGAGAGGGGGAGCTGCAGGCACGGGGACCCTCCATGTAGCTGGGGTGGGCTGCAGAGTCCCAGGTTCTGGGTCCTGTCCCTCCCTCACCCCTTCAGGCTGCGTTATCGAGCCTCACACCCCAAAGAGAGGCCAGGCTGGCTGCTCCCAACTGTGTGTGTGTGTCTGTCTGTCTGTCTTCCAGGGCCCCCAGGGACCCCAGGGGCCAATCGGGCCTCCCGGAGAGATGGGACCCAAGGTGAGTGTGAGGGACCCTTGCTCGGCCCCTGATGCTGCCGGGGACGCATTGGTCCCTCCCAGCCCCTCTGCCCTGTGCCGTTCCCTGTCCCCACCCAGGGAGGTGGCTGTGAACCCAGTGCTGCAGAGATGAAGGGTGGACGCCCCGGCAGGGAGGGCAGATCCATCCTGGTGGCATAGGGTGAGGCACTGGGCTCCCAGGCCAGGGTCACTCGTGGGGCGCAGGGGTGCCAGGATCCTCGTGGGGGACTGGCAGTGTCTCTTTTGGCACTGCTGAAAGCAGCAATGTTTCCTGCCCGTGACCTTGCCTGGGCTTCACCCCTGCACAAGGGTAGATCCAGCCCGCGAGCTTGGCAGGGGCCTCAGACACCCCTGCCGTATCCAGAGGGAAAAGCAGCCCCGGGTTTAAGCCCTGTGGACATTAACACCTCAGGCCCCCTCCCACCCTGGCGTCCTGGCCGCAGAGACAAGGGTAGAATCGCTTGGCCCTGAACACAGCAGCCATGGGCTTCCTCCTCCTCGTTCTGTGAATCATGAAATTTTCCCCTGCATGCTTGCCAAGGGGCTCCCGATGTGGGGAACCACACCGGTGCGGGGGAGAGGCTGGGGCGGCCTCCGGGTAGCCCCGCGGCTCAGCCAGCCTGGCCCGGCCGCCACCCAGCCCCAGCCCCAGCCCCAGCCCTGAGCAGCTGCGTCCTGCGCCCACCTCGGCCCGGCCCGTGCTGCGTGACTCCGCGCGTCCCTGGCTCTCTCCGCCCCCAGTTAGCCCCTCGCTGGCACCCAGGGACGGGCCCTTGATCTCGCAGGAGAGACCCATCGCATTTTCTTGCAGGGGCCACCTGGCGCCGTGGGAGAACCGGGCCTTCCCGGGGAAGCCGGGATGAAGGTGAGGCGGGATGAATGAAAGGGGAAAAATGGCTTGCTGACACCCGCTCCCGGCTGGCGGCCGCGTCCTGGCCATGGCAGAGAAACGGGCCTTTCTTGAGCAGGGGATAATGGGTTCTCTGTGCTCCCGGCTGGGGGGCCAGCAGGGCTCGAGCTGGCCCGGAGCCCCCGCCCGCCCCGTCCCCTGCCCCCTGCCCCCTGTCCCCTGCCCGGCACCTGCGCCTGCCTCGAGATACCATCTGCATTTCAGCACCGGGGCTCCTCATTACCTGCCCAGAAACAGGCGCCCATTGATCCCCACCTGGGCTTGGGGAGAGTCCCCTCCCTGTCCGGCGGCTGCAGAAGGCCCCTGTCCCCCACGCAGGCCCCAGAGCTGATGAGCGATGCTGGCCCGCTGGGGACGCGGGCAGGGGGCTGTGGGACTCGAGGCAGAGCACCCCTTCTGCGCCTGCCTCTCCCCGCCATTCAAGGAGGGACTGAGACCAGGCCTGGCGCGGCGGGACTTGGCTGGCCTCCTTCCAGAACCTTTTGCTGGATACCGGTGACGGAAAGCACCCATCTATAGACCTGGTGGAAGTGGGGTGCTCCAGCTGCAGCAGGGCTGGGGTTCAGGCTCTGCCGCCTCCTGGCGCCCCCAGACACCAGCAGGGAGAACAGCTTGGAAATCCTTAGATGAGAAAGACCCTTTTAGGGTCTTTAAGGGGGCGGGTGACATTTCTTCTGGCTCATTTAGGGCTTCCTCCTCCTTGTCTGGGTCTCTCTGAGTGTCTCCAGGGATAGGAGAGAAGCCGGCCAGACACATAGTGGCCAGCCCTGACGCTCCCGGAGCCAAACCAGCCGAGTTTGGATCCTGAGTCTGCCCCTTACTAGCCCCGGGAGAGCGTGGGCTGCTCGCTGCGCCCTCAGAGCCTTCGTCTGTTCGTCTCTAAAATTAAAACAGCTTCCCTTGCAGGGTCCTTGCAGAAGCCAAAGTGTTAATACTAAGACGTCCTTAGAGCAGTGCTGTGTGTCGGCGATGATGATGGCGGTGGTGGCCGGGTGGGGTGAAGGAGGTCCTGGCAGGGCAGAGGCCCAGGGCTGGGTCTTACCTGAACAGGGGCTCCGTTTGGTGTTTGACAGTTTCTCTTTGGTCCTTGGTCGCCCTCCCCCTCCCAAGTCAGAGCTGATGAAAACAGGAAGGGGTGGGGAGGGCTGGGATCGGCCCTGCCCACCCCTGAGGACTTGTGTTTGGCTTCTCCTAGGGTGACCTCGGACCCCTGGGCACCCCTGGGGAGCAGGGCCTCATTGGGCAGCGGGTAAGTTGAAGCAAACTCATTCTCCCTGAAAAGCTCCCCTCCCCGGGGTGTTTGGGTGTGGGGCAGGGGGTGAGGAGGGGAGGGCCAGAAGGGATGTACTCACTATCTCTGAGCCTCAGTTTCCTCAACTGCAAAAATAGACCATGAACCTCTACATCTAGCCTCTCTTGATAGACCAGCATTTCCACAATCTAGAGAAAAGAATTTTGTGGTCAAAAGTTTAGGGACAGGGTTCCCTCTTACACATTAGCATTTTCAAGGCTCTGAGAAGTCCTGCAATCAAGAAATTGGTGTCTTTTGCATTAATCCAGGGCCTCCAAACTTATTTGACCTCTAAGCGTTTTCATTGAAAAACACATGTTTATCATCAAAAACCATTCCACGCAAGGTTATCTTCCACTTTTCCAAAAGAAACCCACAAAGCTTGTCTTGCTCCAAGGAGCTGTACAAGCCCCTGTGTCCCCGTCTCTGTGCTATGTGGGGGTTTATCAGGTCCCTGCCTGAATGGAGCCCCTTGGGGCTCTGTAAGCAAGGCAAGTAGCCGTCCTGTGGCACCTGACAGGTGGGGGGGATGGGGCCCAGGAGGGAGAGGGAGTTAGTGTGGGTCTCAGTTCATGGGGCCACCAGGACCCCAACCCACGTCTGCTTATTTCTCATCTTGCCTTTTTTCCCAATGCCTCATACTACCTATGGCCATAGGTTACTGAGGCTGCACAAATTGAGTTAGGACCTAAAATGAAAGGAGAAGTGCACAGGGCGAGAGAGGATGAGCATGGAGCTCGAAGCCCTGAAACGGCACATCTCGTTTGTCCACAAAGATTGATCAGTAGAGTCTTCTTAGAGGACTGTGTTAAGAAGGATCCTGAGTCTCGATCGAGGCTCAGTAGGAAAGAGAATGATGAGCGCTCATCCCATGCCCATGTGTGTCAGGTGCTTTTCTCGAAGCACTGGGGACACAGCAGCAGGTCACAGGAGGCCTGTCTCTGGGGCTTATGTTCCAGCGATCGATTAGTGATGTCTGCTGTGGGTACAAGAGTAGCAGAATCTACACTAACCTGTTACATCTTTGCCATCCCTGCTTCTAATGGCCTCTGAGGCCCCCTCCAGCTCAGATTCTGAATAGCTATGAGTTCTAGAAGCAGAGAGAGAAATCCCCAAACTGAATTTGATGGCCGTTAGAGAACTGAGGAGTCCGGGGGCATCTCTAGAGCTGGAAGGACGAGCCTGGTTGAGGGTCAGACGGGGGTCGGGGTTCTCGCTGCCTTCCCAGATTTGTTGGCAAGCAAGTCTAAAGAGTGGCTTCACTTTCCTCCTCTGAGAAATGGGATTCCATCATATGGGGTTCCTTACACGCTTACTCCAGTCCCAGTAATGGCATCGCGAACGGCTACCCGTGTGTGGGGTGCTCACACTGTCCTTGCGGCAGCCCTGAAGGAAGTGGTGGCAGCCCCATTTCTCAGATGGAAAAACAGGTTCCCACGGGGCCAGGCGGTTTGCTTGTGGCCAAGCAGCCAGCGAACGGGAAACCCAGACGTGGCACTGGGATCTGCCTGAGGCCAAAGCCGTCCTTAACCGCTGGGCCACGCTGCCCCCCGGGCCAGCCACGCAAACCGGACGCGGAGTCCAGGCCAGCTCTGATGGGCACTTCCTGACCCGTGCCTTCCTGGAGCCCCCGCCCGAGTCACCCTGGGATCTGCGCCCCCTTTCTGGAGAGCTCAGGGCACCTGGACCCTCCTGCTCCTTCGTCACTTCAGCCCCTGGCGACCGTGCTCGGGCCCCACTGCGTGGAGACCGGGGGTCAGGGTCCTGCCTGGGGCAGGCCGTGCAGGAAAAGCACGCTGGGTCCCTCCCCAGTAACGTCCCTCGTCTTTCCCCGTCCCCCCCTCCAGGGAGAGCCGGGCCTAGAGGGCGACAGTGGCCCCGCGGGCCCCGACGGACTGAAGGTGAGCGCCCGTCCAGGGCAGGGTCTGGGCAGGGGGTGTTCTGGCCGGCGCTGCCCTCCCACCCGAGACCTCAGTTTCCTCCCAGAGGAAAGCTCCAGGATCAGACTTCCCACCCCCGTGGAGAGCAGGGTGGGGGAGGGTCCTCGGGGTCCGGCAGCGCCGACCCCCACCATGGGCTGCCTGCTCAGCTGGGACTGGGGGCTGTCACCTCCTTCCAGTCTTCCTTGCTGCCCTTTTCCCTTAAGACGTCAGCTTCTCTTGACTAAGCAGGTTCCTGAGCACGCGTGCTACACCAGGCCCGGAGCCAGGGCCTTTGATATCTATTATCTTCCAAACATCCTAAAGATCAGGAAAATAATAATCACCCCCAATGACCTATAGACCGGTCACACATGTACCAGGTACGGCGCTAAGCCCTTTATCCGTACCACCTTGATCAATGCTACCTGGTAAGTTCTGTCTTTAGATGAGGAAACTGAGATTCAGAGAGGTTAAGCAACTTGCTCGAGGACTCACAGCTAGTAACTGGCACATCCAGGGCCCGAGTCTGGCTCCAAAGCCTTGGCTCGCTGTGCCGCGCCATGCACCCATTCTGCAGGTGAAAAGACTGAGGCTCACAGAAAAGCAGGGATTTATCCATCCAGAGTCTATGGCAGTGAGTGGAGGATCTGAAATTTAAAGCCGTAGCTCACAAGTCCCAAAGCCTGTTAAACTAACTCAGCCCTGGTGCTTCCTGTAAGTCCTCTGTCAGCCACAGATGTGGGACCCCAAAGAGGCTCCTGGCTCACCTGAACTGGCAGCAACACCGCCCTCTGACCTACCAGCCCCCTCCAGCCCAGGCCTGCCCCTGGCCCCACAGGGGGGCTTTCCCCAGGGCTGGCCTTTGACCCCGTGCAAGTCAGTTCCCCAGGCCAGGGTCCTGAGTGCCAGTCCCAGGATCCCCTCCCTCACCCACTCCCTCTCCCTGTGATGGCAGACACAGATACGCTCCCCCTTCTCCCCCTTCTCCGGGGACGGGGGGCCTCTACCTCCCAGGGCGCCTTGGTGACAGGCCCCTGCTGCCCCTTGTGTTTTCTTGCAAGGGCGAGAGTGCCCCCTGCCTGTCACCTGCTCCCCTTCTCTTGCACCCAGCCCTGCTGCATCCTGGGATACAGCTGCGTCCTGGCCCTGGGACGTTTGACGGCCCCTCTGCCTCACTGCAACCATGCTGATGACCCTTGTGGCTAAGATGCTGTGTGCACTTGCCAAACTTGCCCCGTGCTAAGCACCTTAAGGTTCTTACATGAATTAACCCATTGAATCCTTCCCGCAACTCTCCCACGCTATTAACAGCTCCATTACCATCCCCTCTTGACAGCTGAGGAAACTGAGGCACGATGCTGTGGCCTCCTCACCCTGCTTCTGGGTAGCCACCTCCTTCCAGGAGTCCCTGCCAGGACGGGACAGCAGGGGGTCCTCCAGGCTGGGTGACTCCTGCTGACTCTCCTGCTCCACTCTTCATGCCTCCTTGGCCTGGCCTTCATCCTCTTTCGTTCCCGCCAAAGCCAGTCCTACCCTAGTCCTTGGACCAGAGTAGTCGCTCAGATGCACAGCATCTTCCCTGGTCTTCGCGTGAAGCCCGGGAGACACTGTTTTCTTTATGGAATCAACACGTGGTGAAAAGCGCCTCGTGGCTGTGTCTAGCACCGCACTTGACAGTTTGTAGAGCGCTTTTGTGCCCGTGTCTCTGTGCCGACAGCCGCTGGAGGTGGTGACAACGGATGTCAGCCTTTATCCGGCTCACGCACCAGACGCCGCGCTAAGCTCCTTATGTGGTTTATCTCTTTCAATCCTCTCGGTAATCCCTTGATCCTTATTTCACAAATGAGGAAACTTGCCCAGGGTCACACAGCTATCGAGTGTTGGTAGCAAGATTTGAACTCAGGCAGCATAAGCCCAGGGATGAGGGGGATATTGTCCCCTGAGCAGGGAACTCTGGAATTACAAGGAGCCAGAACCCCGGGTTCTCTCACCCATGCTCCGCCCCTGACTTATGAGTGGTGCTGGAGAGTCTTCGCCTCTCTCCGGGCCTCAGTTTCCCCATCTGTAAATTGAGAGGTTGAGCTAGGCAACTTGCAAGGCTTCCCTGAGCACTGGCAGGTGTCCAAGGGTTTCGGGCATCTCCAGGGACCCCCAGGGCCCATTCTGCGTGGGACCCGCAAGAACGTCCGTCCCACCGAGGTCCGGGTAGTCCCTGGAACCTGGTCCTGTGCAAGGCCCAGCCTAGGCCCCTTTGCTAGAAACCCACCCAGACCCCTGGAACAGGCCGCCTGCCCCTGAGAGTTAGGAGAGCAGGTGGCCAGCATGACGAGCCAGAAGTGGAGTCCTGGAGCCAGGGGAGTCCACGAAAGAGCCTTCTGGGCCAGGCCCCTGTCTCCGTGCCAGGCTGTGCTTGCAATCTGAGAATCTCAGCAGGAAGGGACCTCAGAGACCAACCTGTGCCCAGATCTGCCCTGCGTGGGCCCACACCTCAGCTTGGAGTCTCAGTCCCTTGTCTGTGCCATCCCTAGACCCCACTCCAGGGGAAAATGCCCCCGACCCAGCTAGAAACTGCCAGCAACACCCCGCCCCGCCCCCACACACGGCCGCCCCAGCCCGGGCCCCAGCAGGCCTGCCTGCAGGGACGTGCCCCCCAGTGGCACTGCCAAGCCTCTCCTCTCGGGCAGGCTGAGCCCAAGTTGCTGCCCCACGCCCCCTGCACCCTGCCTTCTCGCCTCTCGACGAGCACCGGTTTATCCGTGTCCCTCGTAAAGCACGGTGCCGGGACACAAAACTGGCAAAGACACTCTGCCGTTCCGAGCCTGCCCCCGCCGCCCTGCCCTGCCCACCCCACCCCTTCCTCGTACCGGGACTTCGTGCCCTGTCCCATGAGCTTCCCTGAATAGTCACGGCCAAGCCACACGCAGACTCCGCCAGGCCAGCCCGCCCTGGCGGAGATGACCTTGCAATGGACGCAGGCCCGCACGGCACCCCTCGCACCTGCTCTGCCCGCAGTGTCCCTCCCCCCAGGCACACGGGGAGGTAACAGTGATGGACGCGGCAAGCTTAGAGACATGCTGGCCGTGGGTTTTAAAGCCCCTTTGCAAAGCCAGCCCCAGAGAAACATAAAAAGCTGGTGCCTTTGGCTCACGAAGCCCATGCCAAGGGTTGCCTTTCCAAAGACATGACCTCAGGTGCCCCAAGGCCCTGAAGTCCCAAGAAAACCTTGGCCACACCTCTACAGTTAGTAAGGAGGGCATCCCCCGGGCTCCCGGGTGCCGGGAACTGACCGGGTGTCGGAGTGTCTACTCCAAATTCCAGCTCCACTGCTAGCAAGTTGTGGGACTTCGGGGCAGATGACTTAACTTAGCTCTGCCTCAGTTTCCTCATCTGTAAAATGGGACAAAAAGAGAAGCTATCTTAGAACACTTTCAGGAGGATGAAGTCAGCTAATGCAAGTCAAGGACCCAGGCTGTGGTCCAGACGTGGTGGGTGCTGTGTCAGTGTTAGTCTGCCCCCCACGCGGCAGAGAGGGTGTTCTGCAGCCAGTGGAAATGGTAACCACGTGGCGCAGCGAGCAACGGGAGGACACGTTCACAACGGAGCGAACATTGACAACAAGAGGGTGGGGACCCACAGCCCAGCTGGATTCTGCCTTGAAAGTTTAGTTTGCCACCAAGTACCTCGATTGCCTTTTAATAGTTGCTTCACTGCCTGGAGCCTGGTACCTGGCAATCAGAACTGTTACCTACTATTTATTATTATTATTATTATTATTGTATTATCGTACACAGTTTTTGTGTCAGCCAGGGTTGAAAATGCAACTCAGAAAAATGGAAAGAGTTGGTTCTGAGAAGTAGCATTGGGTGAATCGTTTTGGTCTTGATAAAAATTTCTTCGAGCTCATGAAGACTCTCGTCCTGCCAGTGTGTCCACGTCGGGGAGAAGTTGCCTTTGTCGCCCAAACCCCACCCCTCCCTGTGGAGTCCGTGGTGGGTGGGTGTGGTCCGGGCCTGGCTCTGCCCGCCCTGGCCGGCCGGCCGGGACACGTGGAAGGGACACGGCAGGGACACGTGGAAGCCATGTGTCCGCAGTGTTCCTGCACCGGCCCGGCCGCGCCCGCCCGGTGCTCTGGCAGCTCGGGGGGCTGCCGGGATCCAGGCCCGGGCGGCTGCGGACACGCAAGTGGAGCCCTGCGCCGGGGCTCTGACGGGCTTGGGACTAACGATTCTCTCTCTCTCCTCCTCATGCCCTCCCACCCCAGGGGGACAGGGGTGACCCGGGGCCTGACGGCGAGCACGGCGAGAAAGGCCAGGAAGGACTGCCGGGTGAGGATGGGCCCCCCGGGCCGCCCGGCGTCACCGGTGTCCGGGTGAGTGTGCGGGCTGCGTGCCAGCACCGGGGGTTCTGGGGTACACGGGACGTTCTTGCCTGTGCAGGTGGCTGGGCGGAAGGTTCTTTTGGCAGCAGCCGCCGAAGGGGCCTTCTGCTCTGGGCCTTCCTCCACCTGGGAGGTTGCCAGAGAACCCATCTGAACACGCCCCTTGCTGCTTAACCCTCACGACTCCTCCTCGGAATGACGTCTCTTCCCCACTGGCCTCACTGCCCTGCCCTGCACAGACCTGGCCCCTGCCCACCTCATCCCGTCCAAGCCCCACGTCCAGCCGTACTGAACGTTCTTCAGTTCCTTGGACACACTGTGGCTCGAACCCCCGGGCCTTTGCACGTGCTCTGTTGCAGGCATGCTCCCTTCCTCACTCCCCGGCCACTGCTTAACTCCTGTTTGGCCTTCAGCCATCCTCGTAGACATCACCTATTCCACAAAGCCGACCCCGATGGCTGGGCCGTGAGCCTCCAGGGCCACGCATGGCCCCCCGTGTATATCTTGGCCCCACGAAGGCCAAGACCTTGTCTGGTTTACATTTATGTCTTTAACGTCCAGCCCAGGGCCTGGCAGACAGGACCTGACCAAACTCTGTTGGTCAGCTGAAAAGACAGTCAGAGAAGCTCCGCTCTTCCACCCTAGCAGAAATTTGTTTAGTCCGCAAATGCTCATGAGCATCTTCCCTGGGCCCGGTCCCCTGAGATCAAAGAGATGAATCACAAAGTATCCCTGCCCTTGAGGGACATAAAACCAGGTAGAGAATGGAAGAGAAATGTCTTGTTTCAATGTGTATAGAGAACTTGCCCAGGGCTTTCCAGAAGGGTCCCTCTTTGACACTGGTAGCAACCCCTGAGGACTTAGAAAATCAGAGAGGTAAAGGAACTTACCTAGGCTCACACAGTAAGTAGTGGCAGAGCTGGGATTTGAACTCGGCCTGCTTGCCTGTACACACACTGCTTGCAATCTGCTTGAATATAGGGCTGAGAGCGTGAGGCTGGGAGGCAGGTAGGAACCTGATTTAGACCGATGACTTTGAACTTGACTCTGGAGGTCGGCTCGCACAGCGAGCAGGGTGTGTGTGTCCCGGGGGTGCCGGGTCAGTCCAGTTGAACCGCCTGGGACCGGTGAAGATAGGTGGCCTTGCCGACAAGCCGCCCAGATGTGCAGCCTGCTGCCACCCCACCAGGTGGCACAGGGACCTGTGCGTCCGGCGCCAGCCCGTCTCCCCGGGCTGCCATCGCAGTCCTCATGCCCCAGGCAGAGCGGCCCACGCTGCCACCTGGGCGCAGCCACCCAGTTTCATTCCGGCCTGTCCTTGACATGTGTTTCCTCCCCCAAGCATTTATATGACTAACCTCGGACACATCCAAATCAGTCTTCTACAAACTATGGCTGTGGGAAAATAGCTGTTTCCTAAAAATAGCGCTGAAGTGCTAATCCCCTTGCAGCTGCGGCAGAAGCGGCTCGCAGACGGTCCCCCGTGCCGCGCCAGGAGGCTTCCCCGGCCCTGACGCAGCCGAGGGGCGCAGGCGGGGGTCCCGCACGCGGGGCGCAGGCCTCGTTCTCCCCCCGTCACTTGCCCCGTGACCCTTCGCTCGCCCTTCGCCCCTCGCCCCCTCTGCTTGTGCCTTGGGATGGCGCAGGGTTTGGGAGGAGCGTTTGCTCGGGTCGCTCTGAGGTCCCGTGTCCCGGGGACCCTCCCCGAGTGAGCTGTGAACACCCCAGCTGTGGAACGAGCAGCAACGTGCGGCAGGAACGGCCTTGGCACCGGAGCGGAAGGGTTGACCCCGAGTTTCTGGCTTGAGCGAGCAGTCCACTCTCTGTGTGACTTCGGGCAAGTCGCTGCCCGTCTCCCAGCCGTGGCTTCTCATCTAGAGTGCAAGTGAAACTTTGGATAGGGAGACACGTTGTCAAATGCACCAGAAATATGAAAGGTTGCCTTTATAAATTTGGAGGGAAAAGTGACTAGGAGGCGGTAGTGGCGGTGATAATTATGGTGGTGATGATGGTGTTGGTGGTGACAGTGGTGACAGTGACGCTGGTGGTGATAACGGTGGCGCTGGTGGCGGTACCAGTGGTTGTGGCAGTGGCCATGGTGACAGTGGTGGTGGTGGCAGCGTTAACGTCAGTATTTTGCTGTCAGTCCCAACTGTGCTATGCGGGGACTGGAAGGATAGTCAGTATTTTGCCGCCAGTCCCAACTGTGCTATGCGGGGACTGGAAGGAGAGTCAGTATTTTGCCGCCAGTCCCAACTGTGCTATGCGGGGACTGGAAGGAGAGTCAGTATTTTGCCGCCAGTCCCAACTGTGCTATGCGGGGACTGGAAGGAGAGTCAGTATTTTGCCGCCAGTCCCAACTGTGCTATGCGGGGACTGGAAAGAGTCAGTATTTTGCCGCCAGTCCCAACTGTCCTATGCGGGGACTGGAAGGAGAGTCAGTATTTTGCCGCCAGTCCCAACTGTGCTATGCGGGGACTGGAAGGAGAGTCAGGGGCCGGGGTGAGTGCCTGTCGGGGTCACGAGGCAGTGCAGGGCCTGTGTCTGAGCCCCTTTGGCATCAGGGCTGCAGAACAAATACCTCCCACTCTGTGGCCTGGAAGCAGTTGAATATTTAAAAATAGAATTTTACGAGCCGTCGGGGCCTTTCTCGAAAGGCATCTGTGCACGTGGGGCCCAGCGGAGTCTCCATTCCGACCCCACAGCCTGTCCCGCTGGCCGGATGCTCCGGCCCTTGCTCCGGGCTGGCCCCTGCGGGGCACGTGCTCGGCTGCAGAGGGCCCTGTCCCGGCGGGGGACCTGTCCCCGTCTCCTCGACCCGCACCAGATGCTCCGGGGCCGACTCGCGTCCCGTGACAGGGGCTCGGCCAGCCGTTGCAGCCACCTCTGCGCTGGCGGACCCCTAGCTGCTGTCACACGAGTTCACCGCTGCACGACCAGGACCGGCCAGGGCCCAGGGGCGCCCCGGACACCAGGGGGGTCACGATGGCTCACCTCTGACCTCTGACCGGGCTGGGGGCCCGCAGGCAGCACTTCCTCTCCCTGAGCCTCAGCGTCTTTAGCTGTAAAATGGGATGAGTAACCCCTCCTCCCCACGCAGGTGGGGACTGAATGAAAACTGGGTCTGCGACCCAATGCCTGGCTGGCGGAGGCTGGCAGGGCGGTTAGTAGCACTGCACCCCTAGAGGAGCAAGGGACCCCGACACTGCCCAGCGCTGTCCAGTAAACACAGAGCACAAACCACAGAGAGCACTTCAGATTTTTAGCAGGCACATTTTAAAAACGTAAATAGAAATAGGAGAAATTGGTTTTAATAATACAGTTTGTTTAGCCCAACCTATCCAAAATATTACCATTTCAACATGGAATCAATATAAAAAAATCACTTATGAGATATTTTGCATTTTCTCTTTTGCAGTAAATCTTTAAAACCTGCAGTGTAGTTGATGTTCACAGCATGTCTCAATTCAGATGCAAATTTTCATTGAAAATATTTCATCTGTGTTTAGATTTCAGAAGATTCGCTGTTGAATAGGTAGATCCACATACCCAAGTTGTTCCAAACATACTTGAACATTTTTCAGTAACTGAATCAGGTATCAGGTTTTCAATTTAATTTTGAAGTAATTAAGGTTAAATTAGATAAAATTAAGAATTCAGTTCCTCAGTCACAGTAGCCATATGTGGCTGGAGACTATACTCCAAGCCAGTGTCCTCATGATTTCCATACACCGGCCACCCATGGCTGTCCTGCAGAACAGCTGCAGAAATCTGCAGACAGGAATCCAGTCCGTCCGGGTTGGTCCAGGTGATTCCTTGTTCCTCTAGGACTCCTCTTCCTGCTCCTCTTTCAACACAATTAGTCAGTGCATCCTCTTAAAATGCAACACCTATTCCAAGATGGGACCATCACTTCCCTCATTCTATGGCTTACGCCTCTGTTAATGCAGCCAGAGGGATTGCATCACTATAGTTCTTTAGTGTTTGCCAAGAGCATAGACGTTCTTTCCAGCTTCCTTGAGGCCCGCAGTTAGGAAGTCCCCTCCATGCTGGAAGGACTGCCGGCCCTGCCCCCTACATTCTGACCCAGTGTGGCCCAGGGCTCGCACTCTGTCTTCTGTCTCTTGGCTCACACATGTGCGCTCACACCTAGTCACTCACCCCCGCTGAGCAGTGTCCCCGACAACTGTGGAGACAAAGCAGGATCGGCCCCGCCAGGGGCAGGGTGGGCGAGGGCAGCATCTGGGGATGCCCCGTCGGGAGGGGGCAGAGTGGCCTGCTGGGGCAATGGCCTGGAGACCCCAGGGAGGGCGGCTGACCTCCCAGCAACGCCCCACTAGGGGAGGCCGCCCCGGTGCTGACCCTGAGAGAGGAGGGCGTGGCAGCGGGGCTGGCGCTGGGATTGCACGCAAGCGATGTGCCTCATCTCAGAGACGGGGGACTGGAAAACCTGTCCTGCCACCTTGGGCCATCCCTGGGGACTCCGGCAGGGGTGGCAGGAGGCGCCAAGGGCCCCCGGGCACGGAACCAGATGGAGCCGGGATTGAATCAGGGCCCTGCCAGGGAGCAGCGGGGACCCTGGGCAAGTCACTTCACCCTTGGGAACTTGGCTGCCCCAGTCTGTGGACAGGGGTCGGGGGCTAACGCTCAGGGTCGTGGGGAGGGTGCACAGTGCGAGGCGCTAGAGAGAGGTCAGTGCAGAGAGCTGCTCCGCTAGGATGCACCTGGATGCCTGGCAGTAACCATGACAACAGCGACGCCAGCAGTAGATGCCTGCAGTTACAGAAGCCACGTGTGACATAAACCCGGGCACTTCCAGTGGGCCGGGCACCATTGCCAGCACGCTCCCGTGTCGCCAGGCTGAAACCTAAGCTCTGGGAGGCAAAGGACACCGTCCCCACTACACACAGAGGCCGCTGACACAGCAGGTTGGGCCAGGCCCAAGTCACACAGGTACCAGGGTCAGTTGTGAACCAGGCCGTCCGCCTCCCAGATCCGCACTTGCCATCTTGCTCTTGCTCTTCCCTCCTCTCCCTGCAGGGGCCGGAGGGCAAGTCGGGGAAGCAAGGCGAGAAGGGCCGGACTGGAGCCAAGGTAGGTCGGTCCCCTCCCTCCCCACGGCCACGTCCCCCTCCCCCCCACCCCCAGGGGCTGCTGCGGGGCTGCCGACTGCCCGTCTCTCTCCTGCTGCAGGGCGCCAAGGGCTACCAAGGACAGCTGGGTGAGATGGGCGTCCCCGGAGACCCTGGACCCCCCGGCACCCCAGGCCCCAAAGGGTCCCGGGGCAGCCTGGGACCGACGGTGAGGACTCTCTGGCTGGGGCGGGGGGAGGGGGGGTCAGGCGTGGAATAGAGGGGACCGAGGGCAGAAAAGGAGGCACCGGGTCTCTCTGCCCTGGTGTCACCCACCCCCACGACTGGCTGGACACCCGGGTGTTCGTTGTCCCAGCCACTTCTTTTGACTCTCAGATCCCTTTAGGAACCCGCAGGAAGCTGCAGCTCCGCCCACCCCAAAAAGTCATACAACACGAAATACTTCTTGCAGTTTGAAGGGGCGTGTGGGTTTCCTGAAGGCCCCTGTGGACCCAGATTAATCAGTCCTACCGTGGTGGGGCGGGGACAGGGGACCAGACTCTGGGGGTGTTCCCACTGGAAACAGATTCCCCAGGATCAGGGTACGTGGATGACCCCGAGGGTCTCCCAGGGCGCTGCGGGGCCGCGCTGGAGGCAGGAGCCCCAAGGGGTCTGACACCCGGGGGGAGGTGAGGACCCCAAGGCAGGGGTCTTCAAACCTTTTAAACAGGGGGGCCAGTTCACTGTCCCTCAGACCGTTGGAGAGTGGGGTGCACAGTCCACACATGTGCACTGTGGGCCCGGGACGAGTCGGCTGCTAAGCAGGACGGGCAGCGGCGGCAAAGACACCCGCGGGCCGGATAAGTGTCCTTGGCGGGCCGCATGTGGCCCGGGGGCCACAGTTTTAGGACGCCTGCCCCAAGGGGAAGCAAGGGAGGGGGCAGAGGAGGGTGACATGGCCCCTCCGAGCTGGCCGTATGTGGCAACGGGCACCGTGCTAGCTGGTGACATTTGCCACCTCCGTGGCCGACACCAAGCTGCCCATGCGGCGTCACCGTTGGTGGAGCTGGGGAGCCGCTCGGTGGCACTCCACTACATGGCGCTCCCGCCAGGCGGGGTCAGGACACGCAAATGACTGCGGAGCATAGGTAGTAGGAGAGTGACTCAGGGGAGAGAGGTTTTGCACGCTGTCCTTGTGTTTAATAGAGTCGATGTAACTAAGTCCGTAAAATTTAATTTTTAATAACGGCTCTGTTCAACTGGCTTGCAAAAGTCCTGAAAATTTAGCAGTCAGTTGTGCTGAAGCTCTGGAGCCCGGCGGGGCGGGGACGGTTGGAGACTCGAGGTGACGCCACCTGCCTTCCACCCTGGCTCTGCGCAGTATGGGCGTGCCAGGCTGGAGCCCGCGGGGCAGACTGCCTGCGTCCCCCGCGCCAGCCGCGCTCCATGCCAACTAGGGTCTCCTCCTCCTGCAGGGTGCTCCAGGACGGATGGGGGCCCAAGGCGACCCGGGCCTGGCTGGTTACGACGTAAGCGGACACCACCTCGAAGCCATCATGCCTCCCCTTCCCCCAGCTCTGTCCTGCAGGCCTGGGCCCAGGCCCACCTCCCAGCTGAGGGCCTCTGAAGATGCAGGGTCTCCCTGCCCCAGGGCGCCCCTGGGCCCGTAGTGGGGTGGACGGGGCGCCCAGAGCGGATCAGCCACCCCGGCCCTCCTGAGCACTCCTGCAGGCCGGGGCCCATGGTGCTCTGTGTGCCAGGGGGTCGCCGCAGCTCATTCCTGCGTCAACCTGGCACCTCCTTAGAGGTGGCTGGGCCAAACCCCAGTCACACCTCTGGGGAGGCCAGGGCTCAGAGAGGGACTGGATTACTTAGAAAGGGAAACTGAGGCTCGGGAGGCCTGCCAGCTTGTTAAGTCTGGAGGCCGGTTCCTGGCCCTGGTCTTTGTGGTTCTAGATCCAGCGTCTGAAGGAGACGCAGTGGCGAGGGAGGCCGGGGAAGGAAGATGGAACGGGGCGGATAAGACGGGCCTGGACAGTGGGGCTCGTTGGGGGGGGGGCATGGGAGGTGTCATACCTGCAGTCTGGGCGGCAGCCTGGGGCGGTCAGTCGGGGCAGGCATTTGCCCTGCTCCTGTCCCTGCCCAGGAGGACAAAGCTGGCTCTCTCCAGCTCTCCTCCACGTCTGCTCCAGGGTGGGGCTGTCAGAGTGGTCAGGGCCCCCATCATCCAAACCACAACACCTCTGAGCGGCCCAGAGAGGCACAGGACTTGCTCAGCACCACACAGCGAGTCGGGCAGCGCTGTCTATCTAGGGTCCCCATCTCTGAGTCCCTGTCCTTCATCCCTCTTGAGTCCTCACTCCCTCACCTCTCTGTGTCTTGTGTTCCCGCAGGGACACAAAGGCATTGTGGGACCCCTTGGACCCCCTGGACCAAAAGGCGAAAAGGTGGGTGTTTGGTTTGGGGGAGCAGCTGGGCCCAGGATCCTGGGCTGGGGTCAGCTCCAGGGCCAGCGGGCACGAGCCCACAAGGTCCCCGTGGCTGGGGAAGCCATGGCTCCCCCCCTGCTCACTCCGTGGCCAGCCGGGGGCAGCCCCCCAGGCCGGGGTCGCCGCTGCCGTGCCCAGCAGGCAGGAGCCATTGGCTCCACGTCCAGCACTACATATGGGCTGCTGTCCCCGCCCCACACCGGAACGGTGCAGTCCCTGTCCCCGTGGGCTTACAGTCAAGAAGGGGCAATGGACGCCAGTCACGCAGTGACCAGCGTGTGATCCCACCATCTGCGTGCACACGGAACGAGGTCCCCAGCGAGGGCAAGGAGAGAAAGCTGGGCAGGGCGAGGGCTTGGTGAGGACGGAGAGCAAGGAGCCCCAAAGGTCAGGGCCAAGGAAGTCACCACCGGCACAGAGGGGCAGGCATGTCCCTTCCCCGCCTCCCCATGGCTCCAGATTCCGTAGCGGCGGGGACTTGCTGGAAGGAGCCTCAGTGACATTGGACCCTGCCCCACCGTGCAGGTGGGGACAGGGAGGGCCAGAAGTTCCAAGGCGCCGGCCCTGGGTCCCATCCCAAGGCAGTGCCAAGCTGGCCCCAGAACCCAAGTGTCTGAGTCCTCCAAGTCCCCCCCTTACCCCCCTCCTCCCCTCCCCCACTGCTCAGCGGGAGCCTCGGAGCAGGCAGGCGGCCACCCCACCGCTGCTGCCTCTTGGCTGCCCACCCCCCGCGCCCCCCAGCCCTTGTCTCTTCTGCTGAGTCAACTTCCCCCTCCCTAAACCGCGCAGTCAGTGAATCACGCCGCCTGGCTTGCTGTCCGGCCGGGCCTTCCTCCTGCCTGGAGGAGTGGCCGCAGGCTCCAGCACATTCCACAGGAAGCTGCAGACGGTGCCACTGGGTACCCCGAGCCCCTCCTGGGCCCTCGTGGTCTGCCAGGGCTGGCGCAGGAGGGGACCACCTAGGGCACTAGCGGCAGGCCCTGTGGCTGCCCAGAGAGCGAGCCCTGACCCCAAATCCGCCCTGAGTCCTGGGGGCCTCGGTGGATCCCCAGGGTTCCCTGAGCCTCCGTCACCTCATCGTTAAGTGGCGGGGACCTTAGCGAGGCTGCGGGGGATGCCACCCACACGCCAGCCAGGTGCACCTCTGACTTAGGGGTGTCGCTACACGGGCTCGTTCTCGGCTCTCCGGGTGTTTATGGCGGGCGCCGTGCACTCGGGCCGAGCTGGGGGCGGGATGATGCTCAAAGGGCTCGAATAGAGTCTCACAAGCGCACAGCCGAGCACGCCGAATGGGAAGAGAGAGCAGGGTCCCGGGAGGACCTCCTGGAGCACACGGCCCTGGGCAATGCTCCCCAATAATCCTCCAGGTGGGGAAACTGAGTCTCCACCATGCTCAGTGAAGCTCAGGGTCAGGAGGCGGAGGTGGCAGGGCCAGGTTCCTTCCGTTTGACGCCGGGCCCGGCTCCCCCAACCAAACGCAGAGCCGAGAGGAGGCACCGCCACGCTGTGGGACTGAACCCCGCCTGGGGAGCGTGCCTACAGAGCAGGGCGGCCAGAGGGGCGGGGCGGGACTCTGGGAGTAGGGCGGGTGGGGAGAGCGTTCCAGCTTTCTGGTACTAAAAATGCACCCCTAAACTCCACAGTGTGGGGACCAATACAGCTGGCTGTTGGCCCAGACCGCCCCTTGATTGCTGAGCGGCCTTGGCTGAGACCTTCCCTTCCCCAGGCCTCAGTTTCCCCATCTTTATAGTGTGGACAGCACTCCGCAGCGTGGGGCTGCTGTGTGGATTCCGTGAAACAAAGCCCGGGTGTGCCTGGCAGAGCACGCTGGGGGACACGGGCTCCTCCGTGGGGCCTGGGCGCCGGGTCAGAGACCCGCAGAGAGGGGGCGGGGAAGACAGGGAATCCCGCTCCCTGGGCCGCCTCCTGGCATGTCTGGTTCTAGGCCTCAGGCCAGGCCCCGCCTGCCTCAGCCTCCGCCTGGGGGCCTCGGGCCAAGGCGTCACAGCCACAGCCCTCAGCGCTGCTGGCCAGGGATGGCCGGTGCTCTGACCCCAGGAGCAGAACCCTCTCTCCTGCCTCTTGGGGCTCCCCTTCCGGCCCTGTGCACAACAGGGGGCTCAGGAGTGCCCTGGCTCGAGCCCCCTGCCCAGAAGGGGCCCCAGCGGAGGGGACACCAGTGTTCCCGGCTGGAGTCTCCCGAGCCCTGTGGTTCTGTCATTTGCTGTTCAGCTAACACTGTCCCTGTAGTTGGCAGGTGGCATCTGTCCAGCCATCTGATGGCCACCTCCTGGCCCCCTGGTCCTGCGGGTGGGCCTGGGCCTCAGGTGGCCATGGCATCAGGATGGCAGCCGGAAACTCTGCTCTCCCCCATCTGTCTCTGGCCAGCTGGCTGTGACACACCCATGCCGCTGTCACTGTCACCGGCTACAGCCATTTTAGCGGCCACCTACTGAGCCCTACTGTGCGCAGCATCGAGCCGTGCGCTCAACAGGCCTTTCCTCACAGAGTCCCCAGCACAGCCGGGAGGGCGCCCAGCCTCACCCTGCACGCAGGAAGCCCCCCAAGCTGGCTGGCTACCGAGTGCCACCGGGGGCTTCTACGGGGGGGGGGGGAGGTTCGTCCCAAATCTGGCTCTTTGGCCACTTCCTCCCAGCAAGGACCAGAGAGACGCTCTGATTGAGGGTGAATAACGCTGGGCACGTCACGTCGCCCCTCTGTGCCTCAGTGTCCACATCTGTGAAACGGGTCGATGCGGTGAGGATGCCCACGTGTGCAGCTGTTGGCGTTACTGGTGCTCCCTGCCACCCCCTGCGGCCACCCCGCCCGGCCCCCCAACCCCAGCTGAGGAAAGGCGCTCGGAGGCAGGAAGGGGGGAGGTGTAAGGATCAGCAGCTGGTCCCGTGCAAAGCGGGCGAGTGCGCCAGGCCCCGGCTGCCCGGCCCTGCGCAGGCTCCCAGCTCCGGGGGCAGCCGGGGGTCCAGCCGGGTGGAGGGCACCGAGCTCCTCCTGTGTTCCGCAGTCCTGGCTCCACCCCACACCTGGGTCTGGCTCAGACACACCTACCTTTCCCTCTCCGGCCTCAGTTTCCCCGTCTATAACCCCAAGTAGGCTGGACTCTGTCTCTGATGAAGCCCTTTCCACCTGGAATCCCCCAGGGTCCCCGGGAGCAGGTGGTTTGTCCTAAAACTGGTTCTGTGCCCACAGGGGGAGCAGGGCGAGGACGGCAAGGCCGAGGGCCCCCCCGGGCCGCCTGGAGATCGGGTAAGTGCCCGGCCCTGGACTGCGCGGGGCGGGCGGGGCCGGCGTCCTCTGCACCTGGTGGCCCAGCCTCTGCTCTGTCCTTGTCATTCAGGGCCCTGTGGGTGACCGAGGAGACCGCGGGGAGCCGGGGGACCCCGGATACTCTGTAAGTGTCAGCGTTCCTCCCTGCTGGCGGGATCAGGAGCGTCAGGGACAGGGACACTCGGCTGGAAAGAACCAGAACGTCCCGGCTCCTGCCATGCCCTTCCTCTCCCAGGCGGGCCCTCTCACCTGTCTCTCTTTGCTTCCAGGGACAGGAGGGCGTGCCAGGCCTCCGTGGAAAGCCGGGCCAGCAGGGCCAACCCGTGAGTGGCACTTTCTGTCCATCCCCTGTCCCTTCCTGAGGGGGGTGGGGCAGCTGGAATTCAAGAACTGGGCACTTTAAAGCTTAAAGGGACCCTCCCTGCAGGAGGGCCTGGGGCAGCCATTCTGGTTTCTCCTGCCCTGACCCTGGGGGCACCTCCAGAGCCTGCACCCCCAAACCCCTCCCCACCTCCCCCTCCAGGCGGAGACTGGCCACCCTCCCCGGGAGAGAGTCCTGGGGCTGCCTTGCGTCATCTCACCTTGGTTTGCAGGGACATCCGGGACCCCGGGGCCGGCCGGGACCCAAGGGATCGAAAGGTGCAGAGGTAAGAGGGTGGACGTTCACCCGAGAAACTGAGTCCCAGGGAGGGGAGGCGCCTGGCCCAAGGTCACAGGGCTAGTGGGAGGCAGGGCAGGGGGCGGCCCACCGTGAGCCCTGCAGGTGCCTCTGGCCAGGACCCCACGTCCCTTCCAGCAGCCTGAGGGAGGAGGGACAATGGGCCCGTTCTCTGGGGCCACAGGAGAGGAGCCGCCGTGTGAGGTCAGCTGGTGGACTTGAACCCAGGGCAGGCAGGAGCCGGGCCTCTCTGCCAGGGCACACTGGAGAAGGGAGCGGTGCGAGAAGGGAAGGGGGGTCTGGAGAGAGACAGGGTGCTCGTGGAGGAGGAGCTTCCGGCCTTGGACCCAGGCCCTGCACCTCCCTCGGCCAAGGTCGGGCCAGTGCTGTTAATGCCCCTCCCCCTCCACCCCCATCACCTATGGCCTCGAGGATCAGATGGAGCCCTGGGCTGGGGCTCCGACCAGGAGATGGTCAAGGCCAGGGCCTCTGCGTGTAGGAGCCAGTGAGGGACCCCAGTACCCGGAGCAGCCTCAGTGACAGCACTGGCAGGTCCCCAGGCCGACCCCAGCCCTGGCCCTGGGCCGCCAAGCCAGCATGCTTGGGCCCTGTCGTGGAGCTGGATGCTCACACAGCGCCGAGTCCTCTCAGTGCCTCCTTCCAGAGCCCCTAGGGTCCTGCACCTCCCCCCGCAGCCTCCATCATGTGGCCTTTGACTTTTCAGGGGCCAAAGGGAAAGCAAGGCAAGGCCGGGGCACCAGGCCGGAGGGGCGTCCAGGTGAGTGACCGCAGCTGCCGCTTTCCCGCCAGCCTGCCTGCCCTCCCCGGACACCCTCACCAGCTTCCTGTGTACCCCCAGGGCCTGCAGGGGCTGCCCGGCCCCCGCGGCGTGGTGGGGAGGCAGGGCCCCGAGGGCGTCGCTGGACCAGACGGGCTTCCCGGCAGGGACGGGCGAGCAGGACAGCAGGTGAGCAGGGCTTGGCGTCAGCAGAGGGCGTCTCCAGGTGGGAGGAGGCGTGGGGGACTTCCACGGGCCATGGGCCAGAGGAGCTGCTTTCAAAACCTGGGAGGGGCAGAACAGCGTGTCTAGGAGTTTCCTGGGGTGCACTGGGGTGGGCAGTCATGGCACCCCTCAGGACCGGGGGAGTGGGCTTCTGACTGTCACTCCTGCATGCCCGGCCCCTCCCCACCCACAGATCCAGCTCCTCCCGTCCCCTGGCCCCGCCGCCTCACCGGGCAGCCTGCCCTCCGTCCTGGGGCGTGACCCCCTCCCTGCTGCTGCACCCAGAGCCCTCCCGGGCTTTGGGCCACCTGTCCCCCTGGCCGGCTGTGTCCTGACACCCCAGAGACCTTCCTTTGCTTACTTTCTGTCCAGGGGGAGCAGGGAGACGACGGGGACCCTGGCCCCATGGGCCCTGCTGGGAAGAGAGGAAATCCAGGTGTGGCCGGCTTGCCTGGAGCACAGGGACCCCCAGGATTCAAGGTCAGACACTCCTCCATGCCCTTACCTGCCCAGCTCCACCCTTCTTGTTGCCTTGGTGACCACGGCAGTGACACTGACTATGATGGTACTGACGCTTCGGCACCCAAGTCCCAGGGCCTGTGGGAAAATGCAATCCACATTGTTGACCTTTCTCGGGGTTCCCTGCCCCAAGCTCAAACCAGACTTAGGATAATTTATCCAGGAAGCTGTAATTCAGCCCCCCTGGCCAGGCCCAGCAAACCTTACCCTAATTGTTGCATTGTCCATGGGCGCCCTCTTGTGGCCCTTTGTGGAACAACATGTTGCCTGTGGCTGGGGCCCTCCAAGGCGTGTTCAGGCTTCCTTGAGTGACGTCAGTGGGGGAGGCCACTGTGAACCAGCCTGAGCCGGGGCTGGACACTGAAGGGAAGGTGCAGATGGATGACCCAGACATGGTTCTGGCCCTGCCCGAGCCCGAGGTGTAGCTGGGAACCCTCCGGGAGGAGGCAGGCAGAGGGGAGTGGCCCTGACCAGGGAGGATGTGAGCGAGAGGGGAGAAGCGGGCTGGGCAGGAGGAGCAGAGTGAGGAGAGGCCTGGAGGCGGGAACTGCGAGCTGTAGGGCAGAAGCAGGAAAGAGGAGAGGCCCGTGGGCAGGGGAGGGGAAGGTGGGACCCTGAGTGGCAGAGTGGGGAAAGAGCCCTTCCTCTTCAGGAGGCTGAAGTTTTGCCCACCCCTCCACGCCTCCACCAGGCCTCCGTCTGTTGCCCCAGCAACCTGAGATCTCAGGGGACCCTGTGGAATCGCGGTTCTGCCTCTCCTGCCCTCTGCCCCCAGCCATTCCCCCCTTTAACTGATCATTTCTGTGTGTTTCTTTAAGGGTGAAAGTGGGTTACCAGGACAGCTGGGTCCCCCTGGCGAGCGAGGGACAGAGGGCGGAACAGGGCTTCCTGGGAGCCAGGGGGAGCCTGGATCCAAAGGCCAGCCGGTGAGTGAGTCCCAAGGAAGCTACCTGCCCACACACTGACATGTGTACACATGCATGTGCACACACACATCACACATTCATGTGCATACACACATGCACACATTGATGTATACACACGCACACACATCACATACACACATGCACACATTGATGTATACACATGCACTCACATGTGCATATATAAACACACAGACCCAGAAGCCACCTCTGTGCTCTGTGACAAGGGCTGAACAACATACTCTCTGGTATGTTGGTATCTGAGTTAGGTGATCAGGGAAGTCTAAAAATGATCTGAGTGATCCCTTCAAAATGAGGAAGCTGGGCTAGGCTGGCTCCTTGTCCAGAGCTCTTTCTGTACCGCACTGCCTTCAGCCCCCTCTGTCCCAGGGCTAAACTCAATTTGCCTCTACCTGGAAGAAGAAAGAAGAATGAACAAAGAACAGATAGGATAAATAGAAAACAAATAGCAAATGTTCTCAGTACCCTAATTAACAACATAGATTGTCAGATTGGATGAACAAGCAAGACCCAACTATATTCTGCTACAAGAAACTGACTGTAAATATAACACAAAAATAGATTAAAGTAGAGGTGTGGGAAAAGATATACTATGCTAACATTCATGCAAAGAAAGCTGGAGTAGCTACTTTAATATCGAACAAAATGGATTTCAGAGTAAAAACTGTTAGTAATAAAAAGGTTATTTAATAATAATAAAGAGAACAATTTATTAAGATGGTATAGGAATCCTAAATGTTTATGCACCTAAAAATCTCCAAAATAATTAAGCAAAAACTGATAAAACTCTAAGGAGAAACAGATAAATCCATAATGATAGTTTGGACTCTATAAATTCACAATTCCAATCAATGTCTCATTAATCTTAGTGTAGAAATTGACAAGCCAATTCTAAAGTTCATGTGGAAATATAACCTAAAACAACTGAAATCACTTTGAAAAAGAAGAGCAAAGTAGGAGGACTAAGACTATGTTATTTATTTTATTTTATTTTTTTTTACTTTCAAAATATTAAAGTGGCACAAATGCTTTAGGTTACATGGGTTGCTTTTGTAATGCTTGAGTCCCAGCTATAGGTGTGGCCATGCCCCAAATAGCATTCATTGTACCCATTAGGTAGGTTTTTGCCCCTTCCCTCTTTCCTCCTCCCTTCTGGTTGATTTCCACTGAGTTTTACTTCCTTCTGTGCACATATGTGCTCATCAGTTAGTTACAGTTTAATAATGAGTACATGTGCTATTTGTTTTTCCATCCTTGAGATCCTTTACTTAGGAGAATGGTCTCCACTTCCATCCAGATTGTTGCAAAAGGTATTCATTCATCTTTTTTGAATAGTACTACCCATGAGTAGTACTTCATGGTATGCATATACCACATTTTATTAATCACCTCATGAATGGATTAATAGCACTTGGATTGATTTCACATCATTGCAGTTGTGAATTATGCTACAATGAACATTTGAGTGCAGGTGTCTTTTTGATGAAAAGTCTTCTTTTCCTTTTGGTAGATACACAATAGTGGGATTATAGGTCTCCTTTTAGTTCTTTGAGGAATCTCCACGCTGTTTTCCATAAGAGTTATACTAATTTGCAGTCCCACCAACAGTGTATAAGCATTTCTTTCTCTCTGTATTCATATCAGCATCTATTGTTTTTTTGACTTTTTAATAAAAGTCATTCTAACTGGGGTAAAGTGATAGCTCATTATGGTTTTAATTTATATATCCCTGATGATTAGTGACATTGAGCATTTTTCCATATCTTTATTGGCCATTTGTCTTTCTTCCTTTGAGAAGCATCTGTTCATGTCTTTTGCCCACTTTTTAATAAGGTTGTTTTTTTCTTGATGATTTGCTTGAGTTCTTTATAAAGTTTGGATATTAGCCCTTTATCAGTTGTGTAGCTTGCAAATATTTTCTCCTATTCTGTAGGTTGTCTACTTGTTCTGTTGATTGTTTCCTTAGCTATACAGAAGCTTTTCAGTTTAGTCAAATCCCATTTATTAATTTTTGTTGTTGCCATGATTGCCATTCGGATCCCTGTCATAATTCTTTGCCTAAACTGATATCTAGAACAGTTTTCCCTACATTTTCCTCTAGAATTCTTATTGTTTCATGCCTTAGATTTAAGTCTTTTACCCATCTTGAATTAATTTTTGTGAGTGGTGAGAGGTAGAGGTCCTGTTTCATTCTTCTACATGTGGTTATTTAATTTTCCCAACAGTATTTATTGAATAGGGCTTCTTTTCCCCAGTGTATATTATTGTCTGCTTTGTCAAAGATCAGTTGATTGTAGGTAGATGGTTTTATATCTGGTTTCTCTGTACTGTTCCATTGGTCTATGTCTCTATTTTTGTACCAATACCATGATGTTTTGGTTACTATAGCCTTGTAGTATAGCTTGAAGTCAGGTAATGTGATGTGATTTCAAGACTTATAAACCTACAGTGATCAAGAAAGTGTGGCATTGCCATAATATGCTAATAGATCAAAGGAACGGAATAGAAGCTCTATAAATATACCCATACATATATAGACAACTTATTTTTAAGAAAGATGCAGAGAATTCAGTGAATACTAAATAGTCTTTTCAAACATATAGTGCCAGAGAGTTGCTACCTCATAAATGTACAAAAAATTAACTCATACCCTAAATATAAAACCTAAAATTATAACACTTCTAAAACAAAGCATGGAAGAAAATCTTTGAGACCTTGGACTAAACAAAGATTTCTTAAATATGACACCAAAAACATGATCCATAGAAAAAAACTTGATAAATTAGACTTAATCAACATTTAAAACCTTTGCTCTTCAAAAGACACTGTTACAAGAATGAAAAGACAAGTCACATACTAGGAGAAAATATTTCTAAATCATATATCAGATAAAGGATTTATATCTGGAATATGTAAATAAAGAGCTCTCAAAACTCAATAAGAAAATAAGCAGCCCAATTTAAAAAACGGGCAAAAGATTTAAATAGACACTTCAAAGAAGATATGCAGATGGCAAACAAGTACATGAAAATAAGACTAATACCATTAGCCAAAAATGCTCATTTAAACCACAATAAGATGCTACTGCACACCTATTACAATGGTGAAACACTTAAAAAGACTGACCATACCAAGTATTGGCAAGGATGGAACAACTGGAACTTTCACACTGTGATAACAGGAATGTAAAATGGGACGTTCCTGTTTCCACTTTGGAAACAGTTGGGCAGTTTCTTTAAAAGTTAAGCATATCTTTACCATTTACCTAACATAAAAAAGGACATTTGTCCACATGAAAGACTATACTTGAAGGCTATGGCAGCTTTATATATAACAGCCCCAAACTGGAAAAACTCAAGTGTACATCAGCAGGTGAACAGATAAAGAAATTGGGGTGTATATCCACACAGTGAGATGCTATTCGGCAATAGAAGAATAAAAATATTGATACATGCAACAACATGGATGATTCTACAAATAATTAGGCTTAGTGAAAGAAATCATATAACAAACATCATATACTGTGTGATTCCATTTTTACAAAATTACAGAAACTGCAAACTCTTCTACCTCGGGAGAAAGATCAGTAGTTCCTGGAAACGGGAGGGTAGGGAGAAGGAAAGATTACAAAGGGGCATGAGGAAACATTTTGGGGTGATGGATCTGTTATTATTTTAATTGTGCTGATTACACAGGGAGATTTTATGTATGTGTATGTATGTGTGTGTGTGTGTCAAAACTTACCAGATTGTACAATTTAAATGTGGACAGTTAGTGTTCATCTTCAGTTTTTGGAAAAATTACTCCTTCTTTGCACCTGGTGGGCATATTGGAGATAGCAATCAGAGTGCAAAAATGAACAAACGGGTAGAACATCTCACAACCAGTATTATCCTGACACCCAAACCAGACAAAGATATCACCAGGAAAGAAACCTACAGACTAATATCCCTTATGAATATAGGCACAAAAATCCTTACTAAAATATTAGCAAACCAACTCTAGCAACATACATAGAGGATTACACACCATGACAAAGTGAGATTTCTTCTAGACATGCAAGGCTGATTCAACATGTGAAAATCAATCAATATAATACACCATATGTGGTCATCTCAATAGATGGAGAAAAACCATTTAACAAAATCAACATCCTTTTCATGATTAAAAACACAACAAACTAGGAATAGAAGGGGATATCCTCCGCCTGGTAAGGAACATCTATGAAAATCCCTCAGCTATCTTCATATTTAATGGGGAAGGATGCAAAGCTTGCCCCCTGAAGTTAGGAACAAGCCAAAGATGCCCATTTTTACTGCTCCTGTTTAACACTGTACTAAAACAGATTGGAAAGGAAGAAGTAACACTCTCCCTGTTTGCAGACGAAGTGATCTTATATATAGGAAATCATGAGGAATCCACGCAAAATTATTAGAACTAATAAACCAAGGTTGCAGGATCAATATACAAAAATATTATTTGTACATACAATATACAAAAATCAATCGTATTTCTGTACACTAACAATGAACAATCCAAAAATGAAATTAAGAAAACAATTCCATTTACAATAGTATCAAAAAGAATAAAATAGGAAGAAATTTGACAAAAAAAATATACAAGATATGTACACTGAAAACTTTAAAACATGGTTGAAAGAAAGTAAAGAAAACCTAAATAAATGGAAAGACATCCCATTTTAATGGTTGCAAAGACTTAGTATTGTTGAGATGGCAATACTCCCCACAAACTGATATACAGATTCAATGCATTCCCTATCAAAATCCTAGCTGGATTTTTAAATCAGGAACTGACAAGTTGATCCTAAAATTCATATGGAAATACAAGTGACCCAGAATAACCAAAATAGTTTTGAAAAAGATCAAAGTTGCAGGACTCACACTTCCCAACTTCAAAACTTATTAGGAAACTATAGTAATCAAGACAGGGTGGCATTTGCATAGCGTGGATGTAGCAGTCAATGGAATAGAATTCAGAATTTAGAAATAAATATTTACATTTATTTCAATTGATTAACCAGGATGCTAGGACAATTGAATGGGAAAAAAATGCATTGTTTTTTTTTTCAATAAATGGTGCTAAGACAATTGCATATTCACATGCCAAAGAATGAAGTTGAACTCTTATAACAGGCAAAAATTAACTAAAAATGAATCATGGACCTAAATGTAAGGGATAAAACTGTAAAACTCTTAGAAGAAAAACATAAGAATAAATTTTTATAACTTCTCATTAAACGATAGTTTCTTTAAAACTAAAAAAAAGCACGAGCAACAAAAGAAAAGGTAGATAAATTGGACTTCATCAAAATCAAAATCTTTTATACTTCAAAGGACTCCATCAAAAAAGTGAAAAAAAATCACAGAATGGGAGGAAATATTTGCAAATCATACATCTGATAAGGAACTTGTATCTGGAACATGTAAAGAACACTTACACCTCAAGAATAAAGACCACCCGATTTTAAAATGGGCAAAATATTTGAATAGACATTTCTCCAAAGAAGATATCCTAATGGCCGATAAACACATGAAAGACAAGTCAAAACCGCAGTGAGATGCCACTTCACCCCCTCCAGGATGGCTACTATTTAGAAAGGCAGACAATAACAAGTGTTGAAAGATGTGCACACGGAAAATGGAACCCACGTGGGGATGTGAAATGGTGCGACCACTCTGGGGAACCGTTCCGCGGTTCCTCAGTTAGACGAGGTGACCTTACGACACAGCAGTTCCACCCCTAGATATGCACCCAAGAAAACCGTAAACACATCCACACGAGAACCCAGGTTGGCAGGTTCATGTCAGCGTTATTCATGATAGATAAAAATCAGAAACCATTCAAATGTTCACCAGCTGATAAATGTGTAAATAACGTGCATGTCCATACAGTGGAACATTATTTGGCAGTAAAACCGAGTGAAGTACTGACAGGTGCTTGACCCTTGAAGGCATCATGCTAAATGCGATAGGCTGGACACAGAAGGCCGCATACTGCATGATTCCTTTAACACGGAACGTTCAGAATAGGCAAATCCATACAGACATAGAGAATAAATTAGTGGTTGCCAAGGGCTGGGGAAAAAGGGAAAGGAGGGTGACTGTTAATGGGTACAGGGTTTCTTTCTGGACTGATGAAAATGTTCTGAAATTAGTGGTGATCTATGCACAACTTTGCGACGATATTAAAAGCCACTAAATTATACACTTTAAAAAGATGAATTTTATAGCGTATGAATTGTAGCTCAATAAAGCTATTGTTTTTTTTTTAAAAAATGAATAGGTGGGATTTAGATGACATGGGACCCTCCCATAGCCTGACCCCTCAGCTTCACCAGTGCCAGGTCCTGACCTGCATGGTCTCATCACATTCTTCCAGCCCCTCCAGGAGGGAGATGGCTTATTATCCTCTTTTACAGATGGGGAAACTGAGGCTCAGTAAAGGGAAGTGACTTGTCCCAGGTCTCACAATATAAGACTAGGAGAGTCTAACCCATGGCTTTCTGGCTCATGAGCGTGAAGGCCAAGTCCCAAGAATATGCCAACAACAACAGACGTCCAGGTCCCATGGGTGCCAGCCCTCCCTCCTCGGCCCAGGCCCTCACCCGCTTCCCTTGTTAATTGCTCGCTTGCCCCTCTGGAGATTAGGAGCAGGAGTCAGGAGAGGAAGCCAAAGGTGTCTGGAATTGTTCACACCTAGACTGAATCTAGCACGTTCCACGACAAGGTGTCTGTGTGACTTTGAGCAAGTTCCTGCCCTCTCTGGGCCTCGGTTTCCCCATCTGTGAACAGGGGATAGGGTGTGTCCCTGGGCTGATGCGGGAGTGCGCGTGCACGGTGAAGCGTGCACGCACCTGGCCCAGTGAACGGGGTTACTCTTAGGGGATCCTTCCTGAACAGGGGCTTTCAGACAGGTGGAGGAGTCTGCAGGTCCTTCGTTCTCTCCCTGAGACCTGGGACAGGAGCCCCTGAGTGTCGTGGAGCCTTCCCGTGGCATCGCTGGGCTGGGTTCCCCTTCCTCACGTGACAGAGGACACAGGCTGCTGCCCCTCGGAGCCCAGGCTGACGGGTGTCTAGTCTGTGAGCTGTTCACGCTCGGCTGGTCGCCTCTCGGTGGAGTCACCGATGTCCCTGGAGAGGCCGGGAGGCAGCAGGCAGGTCCGGGGTCCTGGGCGACTGGCTGGCACCCTGCTCCTGGCCCCACGTGCCCCTCTTTTCCTGTTCTCCCCGCAGGGCGACTCTGGTGAGATGGGCTTCCCAGGAATGGCTGGTCTCTTCGGACCCAAGGTACAGACTCCCAGTCCCTACTCTTCCTGTGGGGTCCCATCCCTCACCCACTCGTTCATTTATTCATTCAACAAACATTTACCGGGCACTTACCATGCGGGCTGGAGCACAGCTGGACTTGGCAGTGAACGTCCTGGGCCCCGGTACTGCCGAGGACCTGGCTTCCAAGCCCGGCTCCACAAGTTACCTGTTCTGTGCCTCGGGCAAGTCACTTGGTCCCTCTAAGCCTTGGTTTCCTCATCTGTAAAGTGACAATAATGACTGGAGGATTGCTGCAAATATTAAGGCCAGAGGCGCGCAGCACTGCTGGCACCTGCTAAAATAACCGTGGCTAATTCCTCCCCCTGGGGCCTCTCGGGTCAGGCCTCTCTTGGCAGGGGGTGAGGGTGGCCAGCCCCCGGGGGCGAGCGAGCTGCCAGGACCCCAGCCCGGCGCTGCCCACACAGCCCTCCCCCTGCCTCCCGCAGGGCCCCCCTGGCAACATTGGCTTCAAGGGCATCCAGGGCCCTCGGGGGCCTCCCGGCCTGATGGTGAGTCCCCTCCCTGCGGAGACATCGGCTGGACACATGTCCTCATGTCCTCTTCTTGCTGCTCCACTCTTGAGCGCCCTCTGCCCACTGTCCTCATCCCCCCCCCGCCCCCGCACACCATTGCTCATCTGTCCCCGCTGCTGGGCGCTGTCCCCCCCCCCCCGCTCCTGTTCACTTCCCCCCACTCTTGAAGGAGGCTCAGAGATGCATGGCCTGGCCCCTGCATGCGGCGGTCTCCCCTGCACCCCGCGGGACGCTCGGGCTGCCATCCGCCCTGCTGCCTCTGTGACTCTGTTCCCGGGCCCTGGAACAAGGACACATGAGCCTTTCTGTCTCCTTTAGGGAAAAGAAGGCATCATCGGGCCCCTCGGAATCCTGGGACCCTCTGGACTCCCGGTATGTGCGGGGGGCTGGGCAGGAAGACTGCTGGGTCCCCTGGCCTTCTCCCCGGCTCCACATTGTCTCTGTGATGCAAGGCCAGTCTGAGCCTCGGTTTCCCCATCTGGGAAATGGGGCTTCCCCTGTCTCACTGGGCTGTGGTCTGTTGCAGGGTCCGAAAGGTGACAAAGGCAGCCGCGGGGACTGGGTGAGTGGATGGCCAGGGGCAGCGCTGCAGGGGTGCGGAAGGGGTGGCTGTTGGGGTGGGCATGGCTCAGCCAGTCCCCTAACTCTCTCTCCCCACTTCTGTCTCCCTCCAGGGATTGCAAGGTCCGAGGGTGAGTGGGCTGGGCTGGGGGGTGGGGTGCGGGCACTCCTGGCTCTCCTCCCCATGACTGGTGACGTCCCCAGGCATGTCCTTCCCCACTGGACCTCCATCCTCCCATCTGTCCCCGTCTGTGCCAGGGGAGCCATTGTCCCTGGGTCTCCGGTCTGCCTGGGGAAGGCTGGGGTGTGGGTGGTGGAAGGCCTGTGGACCAGGGCCTCACTCTTCTTCTCCTCTTCCTCCAGGGACCTCCCGGCCCGAGAGGACGGCCCGGCCCCCCGGTGGGTAACTGAGTGCTGGGTGGACCTCGGGCTCCCAGGGCAGGTGGGGGTCCTTTAGGATGAGCCCCAAGGCTTCAAAGGCAGACTAAGCCTTAACCCTGACTCTCACGGGACTCGCACGAGTCTTGTAGCCCACAGACTCCTGGGAGAGTGTAGACCGGCCCCAGGGTTCCCTCCAGGCCTTCAGGGGAGCAGAGACCAGCTTGGCAGGTCCTGCGTGCTTTGACAGCCTCTCCCATCGCCTGGCAGGCTCTGGGCCCCCAGCACACGGTCCCTGTAAACACTGACCCCCGTCTTCTTTTGCAGGGTCCTCCAGGGGGTCCTATCCACTTTGTAAGTTGGAGAACATTCTCTTTTGCCTACTTGGGGTAAGGCCTAGAGGGCGGGAGGTGGGGAGAGGCAGCCGGCCCTCTCTGGCCCCGGTGGCTGGAACCCTAAGCCAGAGAGGGCACCTGGGGATGCCCATGTCCTTTTGTCACTTCGTACTGGAGCCCTGGACCCTAAAGCAACAGAAAGAGCCCTGGGCCAGGAGGCGGGAAATCCAGGCCGTGCCCCAGAGCATGAACCCGAGAAGCTGCTCTGGCCACTGGGTCCCCGGTCCTGTCCGTGTCCCCTACACAGATGGGCTGATGGTTGAGGTCCCTCTGGCTCAGACTCAGAACAAGGAGGGTTGGGCGAGGGAGCGGATTGGGGCCCCTGCCTTCCTCCCTGGTGGGGACCACAGCCCCACCTGAGAGTGGGGCCCCTCCCCAGCCCTGTGATGAGTCTGTCCCCATTCTGCCACGGCACTGGGTGCTGGTTGACTGTGGGAATGAGGCCCAGCTGCGCCCCAGGGCATGGCCACAGCGAGAGACTGAGCAGGGCAGGAGCCCTTGGGCCACACGTCACTCAGAGTCATCACTCTTCTCGTTTCGCTGTCACCGTCCCTCTCTCTGCACCGTCCTCAAAGATGGAGGGACAGTCCTGGCCTCTTCCTCTGCAGCCTTCCCTTGTCCTTCTCATCCATAAGAAAGATGGCTAGGGGAAAGAGCAGAAATCCAGGAGACATGGAAAATTAGAAGATTTTGAATTCTTTGAATAACAGCTACTGTCGAGATTGAGTGCTTGTTATACGCCAGACCCCACGAGAAGTGTGTTTCCTGTATTAACTCACGTTTTCCCTTCAACAGCTCCGTGAGAGGGTTTTATTACCAGGCCCATTTTCAAGATGAGGGAACCGAGGCAAAGAGAGGTTTAGCGCCATGCCCCAGACTGTGCAGTTAATAAGTGACAGAGCTGGGCCTTGACCCCGAGGGGCTCCCCCAGAGTCTGGACCCTAAGCCCGGGGTTCCGTTGCATTCATGGCAAGACTGCAGCGACAATTCTGCCAGGCCCGGTGTCATGATTGGGGGTGCAAGTGTATGTTAGGCCATTACAGTGCAGGACAAAGGATGAACACAGGGTCCGGGGACAGAGAGACGGGTTCTCTCTCAGCCTGGGGACCCGGACCTCGGGAGAGGCTTTCCCACTGCAGCCGACATCTTTAGGGTGGGTAGAGGCCGGGCTTCTCAAGCTGTTAGTATAATTGTTTGCTGCAAGTGACTGTCCCGTGCATGTTAGGATATTTAGGGACATCCCTGGCCTCTGACCATCAGATGCAAGTAGTGCCCCTCCCCCAGCTGGAACAACCAGGAATATCTCCAGATATTCCCAGATGTCCCCTAGGGGGCATCGTTGCCCCAAGTTGGAAACTGCTGGTACAGGAGGTGGTCAGATGGCCACGTGCATGGGAGGGAGAGAAGAGTCCCAGGCAATGGGAGCGGCAGGAGCTCAGGCCCCATGCTAGCTGGAGCATGGCATTTAGGAACCTAGAAGTACTGTGGCATGTCTGGTGCTACGGCACACATGGGGGACAGGAAAGACCAGGCTCCAGAGTGCAGCACTCACACTGGGTCTTGAAACCGCGTTGAGGAGTTTGCCCTGAGGGCAGTGGGGAGCTATGGACGTGTCTGGCGGAAGGGAGTGGCAGGGTCAGCTTTGACTCTGTCTGCAAGGGGGGGAAGGACAGAGAGTTCTGCAGGGGACATGTGACTTGGCCGAGATCCTTCCAGGGAAGGTGGGGTGGGATAGGGGTGGTCGGGCCCTGGGGCTCCCCCTTGGCGGGTCTGAGGGACCTGAGGGGACAGGATATACACCCCGCCTTCTTCCTGCACAGCAGCAAGACGACCTCGGGGCAGCTTTCCGGACGTGGATGGACACCAGTGCAGCACTGAGGCCAGAGGTACCTCCAGGAGCCTGGCCCACATGGGGTGGCCTTCTGGGAGAAACACAAACTGCAGTCCACACGGGGTCAATGCCCTCCACGTGGCCTGTGCTGAGCGTGTCAGACCCTGGTCTGCACGGCGGCTCGCAGCCACAGCTGGGGCCTGTCACCAAAGCTCAGCGTGGGCAGCAGCGCCCAAGGTGCCACAGCCAGCGCATGCAGAGCAGGGCCAGCGCGAGGCCAGCCGCGGGCCCTGCGCCCTCGAGCCTTCTCCAAGGCCTCCCCGGTCTCCGAGCGCTCGCTGGCCGGAGTCGGGGACAGGCGTTCGCCCGGGCCCAGGGCCCGCAGCAGCTTCCCGCCATTCGCCCGCTGCTCCTGAGGAGCAAGAAGCCCACAGTCAGCCCAGGGGGACCCTGCTAAGACCCTGGCCTGGGGTCGACTCAGCTCCAAGACTCCAGGCTGCGAAGCCCCTCGTGTGTCCTCCAGTCCAGCCCCTGTGGCCAGCCCCCTTCGCAGCCTTGCCTCCTTCCTGTGATGGGGAGCTCACCGCCCCCAGCTCAGACCTCCTGCAGACATTTCTGCCCGTTCCCTGTGCTGGACACTGGCACAGGCAGATGCAGGGTGACAGGCCTGACTTTCTGAGGCCACAGTCTAGGGGGAAGAGAGCAGGGACAAGTCCCTTGCCCTCCATCCACGGAGGCCAGTGGCACGACGGGGACACCCAAGACGCAGGGCGGGTGGAGAAGGGGAGCGTTTCCTCCCGCATCTCGAGGTCGGTTATGCCCCATCCAAAGCGGGCGCCACCTGCCACACCCTTGACATTGTTAGGGAAAGGACATCCAGGTGTGCACCTCCTACCCACCCGTGCCGGCCATGGAGCGGAGTCCAAGTCTACCTCTTGTGTGCGTAAAGCTAGTCGGCTTGTTAAGGAGAGAGCTCGGCTGCCCACCAGGGGCTCTGCCCTCTTCCTCTCCCACCCGTGGCCCCAAGGTCACCCACGCCAGGGGAAGAGAACATGGAGGATCATGCCGGCGGGTTTTGGTGCCGGGCCATTATGGGGCTTGTGTTGCTCTGCTCCCATCCCGTTGGCTGGAACGCAGCTGGAGGGGGCCGGGGGTGTCGTCCATGGGTCCGGGCAGGAGAAGAAACAGGCGGGGTGAGCAGCTGCCAGTCTGCGACATGCACACGCACATGCCACCTCCGCGGGCCTCTGCCAGAGGGAGGTTTATTTAGCTCTGATCCGTAGCGCTGGAAGCTGAGGCTCCAAGTCATGCAGGAGGGATCCACCTGGTCGGGGAGACCGTGAAGGCCCAGATCCTTAGCACTCTGAGAACCTCTTCCCGCTAGGGGAGACCTGCTCCTTCTCCGAGCTGAAATTGTCCCCGCCAGCCCCAGCTCCATCTCCCGGAGAACATGGGCTGGCAGCCTGCCTTCTTCTCAAGCCTCTGGGCCATTGTGGCAGCCCCACCTCCCACATCTCGTCCCTGGCCCCCCGTTTCTTATTTGTACCCAGCCATGACCCGGGGGCCTCGGTGATATCTCCCAAGCAGAGAGAGCCTGGGGCTGTGGCGGCTGGGACCCCAGGCGGGCCAGGAGCTCACGCCAGCGGCCACCCTCTCTCCTCGTGGCAGGGCTACAGCTATCCGGACCGGCTGGTGCTGGACCAGGGAGGGGAGATCTTTAAAACCTTACACTACCTCAGCAACCTCATCCAGAGCATTAAAACGCCGCTGGGCACCAAAGAGAACCCCGCCCGAGTCTGCAGGGACCTGATGGACTGTGAGCGGAAGATGGCGGACGGTGAGGGGCTCCTGCCCAGCGGGGGGAGGGGGCTGGCCCGGGGGCTCCAGGAGGAGCTGGGCAAGGAGGAGTTCTCGATGCTCTCCTGTCTCTCTTGGCCAGGGTTTTGTCTCTAGGGAGACGGACACATGGGTAGTCGTTCATTCATTCAACACACGTTCGCTGAGCCCACACTGTGCCCGGCCTTGTGCTTCCTGGGGTGGGGGTATCGTGGGGACCACAAGAGGAGTGGCCCCACCCTTCCAGAGTCCCCAGACCCGCAAGCCGGGGTGACCATATCAGTGCAGTGAGATAAGAGCTCGGGCAGAAAGAGCCCCCAGGGCCCCAAGCGTCCCAGCCCCCAGGCCACCACGGCAGGGCTCCCCGCCTGCCCTCCTTCACTCACCGTGCTCATCTGTGAGCGGCGTGGCGCTGTGAGGAAGGCCGTGCAGGCGGACAGACCCGAGCCTGCAAGCGCGGCCCACCCCGAGCCGCCCTGCGCAGGTGGCTGGGCTAGGTGGCTGGTCGTCCCGCCCTCCAGCTGCGGGGTCTCCAGCTGCGGGGTCTCCGGCTCCCTGGGAAGCCCACCGGGGAAGCCAGGTGTGAGCGGCGGTGCCTGGCTGAGCCCTGACCCCACCTGCCCCTGGCAGGCCCTAGGAGGAGCCTGAGGCCTTGGAGAATCTTCCTGGCTAGGTGACCCCTCAGTCCCTGGGGCAAGTGCTCAGCCTCTGTCAACCTCAGTTGTCTCCTCTGTAAAATGGGCGCATCCCAGTAGCAACCTAGACAAGTGCTAAGCTGTGTGACCCCCTCCAGGGGCTCTGCCAGCTGTGAGCTCTGCCCAGAGGTTTCCTTCCGTCTCTGGGCTGGAGGGACCCCTTTTCGACCCACCCACCCCGACGTCATGCCCAGCTGGGGCTCAGCGGGTCATAGGGTGCAGGGCCCACTGCAGAACCAAGGCCTGGGCTCGCCCGGAGATGCATCCCCACCTCCCCCCTGCCTGCAGGAACCTACTGGGTGGATCCCAACCTGGGCTGCACCTCCGACACCATCGAAGTCTCCTGCAACTTCACGCATGGCGGACAGACGTGCCTCAAACCCATCTCGGCCTCCAAGGTACCCATCTGCTCCTCACCGCCCAGCCGGCTGACCCTCTCTGCCCCCGCCCCACTCTGGGCCACAGCCAACCCAGGTCCTGCTCCGAGCCCTGCCTGTCTTACCGCACGGCCTTGGCAACGTCACCCCTTTTTCCAAGACTCGGTTTCCTTACCTATAAATTGGGGATGAGTAAGACTCCTCTGTGGTTTCGAAACTCTTTCGAGTTGCATGATGTTGAATAGTCTTTCTTGAAATAGAGTCTTCTACTATCTAGAGCAGAGTAGTTGGCTGAGCTGGCCTGGCTTGGAGAACCCTGAATCATCACAGAGCCACGCTGCCCGGAGTCGTGTGTGCAGATGTTTGACTCGTGCTCCATACCTGCTCCCCACGTGCCCGTCCCTGGCTGGGCATTTTAGGCGGCGCAGGGCAACTCAACCGCAAACCAAGGTGGTGGTGGCAGTGGGCATGATGGCTCCACTGTCCTGGGACCCCTCGGTGGATTGTGGGTCCCCTAAGCCCTGCACATCTGGGGGCAGTTCGTGCCATGATGAGAAGCTGCTCTGGCTGCAGGAGAGCGGGGGACACAGAGCCCCTTGCACCCCAGTCCACCAGCCACACTCACCCCGGGGAGGCTCCACGAGGCGCCTTGTGCTGACCGTGTCGGCCCCAGGCTCGAGGATCTCCAGGCGAGGCAGTCTATCAGCCAGCCAGTCGACAGGTCTTTGTGGGGTCACTACCACGCGCCAGGCCCCGAGCCAGGTCCAGGGAGGTCAGGTTCACCGCCGCACCTGCAGCGAGAGCCCACGCCCAGCAGGGACTCAGTCACCTCTGCAGACCCTCGTCCCCCATGACTTGAAGGTTTGGGGGTCACATGGCAACCCGCTGGGCAGAGGGGTGAGGCCGGAGCTGGTGCCTGGGTTGGCAGCACGAGTGCCGTCTGGGTCACCGTCCGCGTCAGGCACGGTGCTGGCTCTGTGTGGGGAAGCGCCGGCCCGTGGATCTGCCCTGTTTGTTCTCAGGTCTGCCATTTCCGGCAGCACTGCCCGCCTCTCGGGGATGTTGGGACTTAGGAAGGCGCAGAAAACCCTCTCATCTCTTCTGCACTTTAAGAGCCTCTCGATCTTGGGCAAGATCCCTCTTCCGCTCTGGGCCTCTGGATCCCAGCTCTGCCCCAAAGGCAGCCCATGCAGCAATGGGGAGGGGGCCCGATTACACCAGGACCCCCGATGTAAGCTCTGGAGTCAGGCAGGGCCTTCCTTGTTTCTGTGGGACCCACTCACAGACCTCAGTTTCCCTGCCTCGAGAGTGGGCGCACGCCTGCGAGCACAGTGGGAAATGCTGACCAGGGAGGGAATTCCGACAGCTGCAGGCAGCCCAGCCTGAGCCCCGCGCCGCTCTCATCCCCCCACAGGTCGAGTTTGCCGTCAGCCGGGTCCAGATGAATTTTCTGCACCTGCTCAGCTCCGAGGTGACGCAGCAAATCACCATCCACTGCCTGAACATGACCGTGTGGCAGGAGGGCACGGGGCAGACGCCAGCCAAGCAGCCTGTGCGCTTCCGGGCCTGGAACGGGCAGATTTTTGAAGCTGGGGGTCAGTTCAGGCCCGAGGTGTCCCTGGATGGCTGCAAGGTGACTTCTAGAGCCCCTCAAGGCCCTTCACATGGACGAGAGGGAAAACTTGTCTGGAAAAACTTCTTTTTATTAGAAGATCATAGCTAACAATTTTATACGTGATATATTTTTTATCTTTGTGTAATAATTTTATTAGAACAGTTTTATAAAGTTCTTTTTATTCACTCTCTTCTCTGGGAAACTTCCAAGAGAAGGTCTGCGCAGGTAAAAATTCACAGGCTGGAAGATACTGTGCTTACTTGCAAGGCTGCTTAAAAGAGGATCTATGTCTTTCCTCTGCCCCTCCCTAGTCAGGCTAATTTCTTCTCTTAATATTCGTGGTCATTTTCAAATGCCCTGCATAGGGTGGATTTTCAGGGGAGGATTTTCGACAACTTTCAAAGTTGTCGAAAGGCAAAATACCAGTCTCACAAGACTAAACAAAACTGATAATGCACAGTGTTAGTGAGGATGTGGAGAAACCAACACTCTCACATGAAGCTGCAGCAAAAAATAAATTGGTAGAAGCTTCCTGGACAGCAGTTTATATCCAACATCTCTCCCAAACCTTAGACATGTACCTATTCTCTGAAACAGCAATTCTACTTCTAGCATTTCTTCTAGGGAAATAATTAAGAACTGTGCACAAAGGTTCAGCTGCAGTGATGTTCATTTACAGCATTTACTTAAGAGAAATCAACACTTGGAAGTAATCCGATACGCTAACATAGGTCATCACTACAGCAAAATACCACGTGGCCACTAAAACTTGTGAGGGAACGATGGGGAAAACGCGCAGGATGGGTGGCGAGAACCACACTGGACATGCGTGTGCCCTTTTCCCCCTGCCGCAGGTCCAGGATGGCCGCTGGCACCGGACGCTCTTCACCTTCCGGACCCAAGACCCCCAGCAGCTGCCGATCGTCAGCGTGGACAACCTTCCCCCTGCCTCATCAGGGAAGCAGTACCGCCTCGAAGTTGGACCTGCGTGCTTCCTCTGACCTCTGACCTTCCGGCTCCTCTAGGCCTCCTGGGGAGGGGAGAGGAGGGGAGGCGGGGGTGGGGAGGGGGTACCGAGGGGCCAGTGGCTCCGGGAGAGGCAGCTCCCCTGCCCCAGGATCCTTGGCAGCCCCCCGCCGTTGTCTGCCCAGTCGAAGTGGGCGGGGGCGGCAGGGCACAGGGTGTCCTTGGGAACCACGGGTCCAGCTCAGCCCAAAGACCAACCAAAGAGCCAGCCAGAGCGAGCTGGGCCTGCGACCCGCCGGAGCCCCGCGGCCTGTCTGCCAGCTCCGCGGCCACCCCTGCCCTCCCCAGCTTCCTGCCCAGAGAGCCCCACATTCCAGCCAGCTGGAGGGGAGGGGGCGTCTCGCCAGCCAGTCCCTGCCTGGGAGCTTTTGATGTGCAATATTAGCAAGGAGACATGAAAAAAGGAGAGAAGGAAAGACAGAAGTTTATATATATTATTTAAACGGGGAGAAGGTGTGCTACCTGTCTCACCTGGGGAAGGGGTGCGAGGATGAGAAGGAGCAGCAGGGGTGGGGAGCGGCGAGATCCTCGGGGCTGGGGGTGCCCCCCTTTGCTACCTCCCACTGTGAAATCGCTGGTGCTCACAAGTGTCTCGTAGTGTATGTGATGTTTTTAAGGAAAAAAAAAAAAACAAAAAACCCTTATTTAAGATTCTGAAGGTGCTACCGTTTTTGCCACAGACTTTGAAGAAACTGTTCGATGTCAGACACCATCCACGTCTTGCTCTCTCGCCTCCAAATGACAAACGTTTGGGGAATTTTCGAATTTTCCTAGCATCACCCTTGTGCTTATCAGGTAATCTGCTAAGGAAGAAAAAGGAAAAAGAAAAAAGAAAAATGCAAAAAAAAAAAAAAAAGGAAAAAATAAAAAAACAACAAAAAAAACAACCTGCCAGAAACCAGAAGTAGAGAGATTTACCTTTTAATTTATGGACTTTGAAGTGTCTGTCCTTTTAAGGCAGCGGGGAGGCCTGGGCGTGAATCGTTTTGCTTGGCCTTTGGTGGCCCTGGAGGGAGGTTGGGCTTGCCCTGGAAGCCACACTCTGGACAGGTCCTGGGGGAGGCCTTGACCTTGAAGAAACCAACCACGAGCGCAGCGCTGGGTCGCGGAGTTGGAGTGTAAATGTCAGACCATCTCACGAAGCCACGTGGCGTGTCCCGCTTCCAGGATGCCACCTCCCAAGATGCAGTCATCGTTCTTGCTTTCTCAGTGTCATTAGGTTCTGTAGAAACCCACTGTCGCTAGCTCCAAGCATCCATTTGGGCCAAAGGAGAAAGAATAATTATGGGAATCTCAGAGTTCAACGCGTCAGTGACATTCAGTGTCACCTGAATTGTACGAGGTCAGCCGTACGCGTCTGCGCCCCAATTGGAGTTTGAGGTTATTTTTAACGATGAAGTTATTTTTATAGAAGGGGAAAATTTATGTGAAAAATCTCTATTTGTGTATTTCTCTCCTAAAGTCGTGTCTGTTGGGGAGTTGGATTTGATCTGCATTATTTAATACCTCACTCTGGCCCACCCTCCCGCCCGGTCACCTCCTGTCTTCCCCACCCGCCGCCCAGCCGGGCGCTCCGGGGGAAAGTGCATGTGCGGCCCTCAGTCCCCCCCTGCCACCTGTCTCCACCGGCCTCTGTCTCATTTTTGGGTTTTCTGCTGTCCTCGTGTATGTCTCTGTCCACATGTCAGTGTGTTAAAACCCCGGTGGGTTCCATTTCTCCTTTTCCCTTCCGGACTTTAAATAAATATTTAAAAGCGAGGCAATGGAATGCCGTGTCCGTGTCTGCGTGCTTCCTCGCCAAGCTCCGGCGGCATCTGGGGGGGATGGGGGCAGGATGGTCACGGGGTGCCCTCCTGGTGCTATAACAGATGCCACAGACCCAGTGGCTTAAAACAACAGAAATGTTTTCTCTCGCAAGTCTGGAAGTCAGAAGGCCAAGGTCAAAGTGTTGCCAGGGCCGTGCTCCCTCCAGAGCCTCCGGGGGAGGGTCTCCTCTTGCCTGCCTTGGCCTGCAGCTGGGGCCCTTCAGTCTCTGCTTCTGGTCCCTCCCCGAGTCTCTGTGTCCCCATCTTTGTGTGTGGGTGCCCGCCAGACTAGATCAGGGCCCACACTCGCCTTAACCAGCCCCAGACAAGATCCCATTCATAGGTGCTGGGGGATAAGGACTTCAATGTGTCTTTTTTTTGAGGGGGACACAGTTCAACCCGTAACACTTAGGGAGGCGGTACGTGGAGGTTAACACAGGCGATCTGTTTTTATTATTGTGGTATTAATAAAATACACACACGTAACACAAAACTTCCCATTAATGACATTCGGTGCATTCACGGGGGTGTGCAGTGTCCCCACTCTCTCTCTCCACATCGGTTTCATCCCCCCCGACAGGAAACTCACACCCAGGTAGCGTGGCTCCCCATTTCCCCTCCCCCAACCGCTGGGAAATCTCCAGTCTCCTCGCTCTCTCTGTGGCTTGGCCTTCTCTGGGTATTTTGCACAAACAGAATCACACAACATGTGACACTAGCTGCTTTCACACGGCAGGATGTCGAGGTTCACTCATGTTGAGGCCTGTACACGCGTGTCCTCGGTACTGCGTTCCTGTGTGTGGCTATGTGGCGTTCCACTGTCCAGACAGGCCGCAGTCCTGTCGCCTCTCCACAGGTTGGTGCACGTTTGGGCTGCTTTCCGCCTTTTGGCTATTGTGGATAATGCTTCAAAATGAGGGCTTTCTGCCCGTCGGATTCTTGAGAGAGGTCACAGTAGTGCCCGCCTTGGAACAGGTGAGGGAGGGAGAGTCCGGGAGACAGGGTTGCCAGATTGAGCAAATAAATATAAAGGATGCCCAGACAAATTTTAACTTCAGATAAACAATAAATAATTTTTTTAGTATAAGCATGCTCCATGCAATTTTGGGGATACTTATCTTTAAAATATTTGTTTGTTATTTATCTGAAATATAAATTTATCTGGGTATTCCAGCCTAGAACCCACGTTTCCCGACCCTTGTTTCAGATCTCTTTCTTCCTCGCTTATTCCTCCTCCCCTGGGACGTTGGATGAATGGGAACTTTTCTTCCCTACTCACCGAGGAGGAAGAACAACTAACAAGCAGTTGCGTTCACAAGACCCAGGATTTTGTGCTTTAAAAACTTGCACCGAGTTTCCAGGTTATCCATCCACATACAGCTAGCTCGGGCTTCTCTGCGCAGTCAGTAATGAAACTGAGGCAGAATGGCCCATTTCCTGATGTCTGCCCCAAATACTGTCACCCCGAAGAGTTTGCACGGCTGTTTGAGGATGCTCCCCGTTTTATAGATGAGAAGGTTAAGTCGCGTCAGTGTTTTCCCCGTAGAAAGCCCCACAGGACAGAGGACACATCTTGTCCTCTGCTGTGGCCACAGAGTGCTCAAAGCCCTCAAACCGGTTAGATGGCTGCTCACAGGAACTCTCGCCTTCATCTGCACGACGTGTGTGCCCACGTCGTGTGTGGGCACTCGAGTCACAGGGACAGATCTGACAGTGTGTCCGAGGGGCTCTGGGTCTGGTGGCTGCAGCTGGAGGGGTCGAGTCTTGTGGGGTTAAGGGATTTAGAGAGGGGAAAGGGTCACAGTCAATACAATCTCAGCAGGGGGAGGACAGTTAGGAGGTGACCCCCTATATTGGTCAGGGCTTTCCAGAGCAGCAGACCCACTAGGATAAATTAAGGGATTTACTATACGGAGTCAGCTCCTGCAAGTATGAACGCTAAGTCCCAGGATCTGCTGTCGGCAAGCAGCAGGGGACTCCCAGGGGAGTCAGTGGTGTGGTTCCCATCCAAGGCTTGGCAGGCTCAAGACCCAGGAAGAGCCAATGTTTTAGTTCAAGTCCAAGGGCAGGAAAAAAAAAATCCATATCTCAGCTCAAAGGAACTGAGGTAGAAGGAATTCACTCCTACTCACCCTTTTTGTACTATTTGGGCCTTCATCTGGTTGGACGAGGCCCGCGACATCAGGGAGGACCATCTGCTCTACTCAGACCACCCTCCCAAATGTTCATCTCCTCCAGAGCTGCCCTCACAGACACTCCCAAAATAATGCTTGGCCAGATATCTGGGCACCCTGTGGCTCAGTCAAGTTGACACATAAAATTAACTGCCACCCTCCCCACACTGAAGTTGAGAGAGAATAAGTAGAAGTTAGCCAGATGGGGAAGAGCATCAGGGAGAGGGAACAGCCCCTGCCAAGGCCCAGAGGCGAAGTGGCACTCTGCACTCGGGAGCAGCAAGTGGTTCAGCGTGGCACTGCAGGGTGTGGTGTGGAGGGCGGGGGCGCTGAGCTGGGAACGGGACAAGCCACAGGTTTGCACAGACGAGCAGGGCTTTGGGTTGGCACATTGGGTTTGAACTGCGATGGGTCCCTGGGGCAGAGCCACCAGGAGGCAGCTGGCTGAGCTGGGAGGACAGGGGAGTGGTCTGCGCTGTAGTCAGAGCTCGGGAGACATCAGCAGCATCTCCGTGGCTTTGAAGACGTGGGAGGGAAGGAGAAAGGCAGCAAGAAGGGCCGGAGGGGAAGACGAGAGGAGCCATGTCAGAACGGTGACACTCACAACTCTTGGCCTGCTCTCCAATCCCAGGTGGGCCTTTGGGACCTGGACAGTGAGGATACTGAGCCGGGCCGGCCCATTCCCAGCAGGGGCAGGCAGGAAATTGTTGGGGACAGAAGGCAGCTCTCCTTGAACCAGAAGTGCCTGCAGTTCCCAATGTCCCATTGCACAACTGTCAGGAAATGGCCAGGGCGGACTCCCCGGGCTCCCGATGCCAGGGGAGAGCCCAGGCTGGCCTGCGTTTGCTCTGTCCACAATGGTCAAGCCCCAGCCGTGGACAGGCACAGCCCGCAGTGACCAGCAGCCCCATGTTGGGAAAGTGAGGGACAGAGGAACGAGAAGGGGAGAGGCTGGTACGGTGCAGGTTCCAGTTCCTGACCAGGACATGGGCCCGGGGAAGGCGGGCTGGACATTCTTTCCCTCTGGGCCTCAGTTTCCCCTCTGCAAAATGGGAGTGGTAGGCCCTGCCCTGCTTTCTAGCCACAGAGAGGGCTACTGTTCAATAATAATAGAGTGACTGTATGCAATGGAATGATTCCCAACTGCTATTGGACCCATAACATCCAAAAGTTCCACGTGGCCGACTCAATAATAGCCCCATCCACAATGATAACGCCTACGATTTCTCGCACGCTGACCCGGAACCAGGTACCATGCCAAGCGCGACACATTTTCACCCCAGGCACAACCCAGTGAGAAATGGATCGTAATCCCTGCCTTTCAGATGAGGCAACGGAAGTCCAGAGAGGTTACGCAAGTTGCCCCAGATCACAAAACAGGATTCGAACTTGAGCAAATAATCTTCTTTCTGGGTCTTTCGTCAGCCCACACACAAAGTTCCCAACTAGGAGGACCGTTTGCGCCGTCAGTGTATTCTTTGTGGCTGCGCACGAGGAAGGAGGTTACATGTTCGTCCTCAGAGCTCGGGCCGGCCTTGATGAAGAAAGGCGAGCAAGTCCCAAGCCGAGCCGGTGCTCCCGCCGGGCTGTGCCGCCCGGGGGGCTTCTCCGTCTCTCTGTTCCTGCGACACTTCCGCTGACATCGCGCCAGGGCCAGGTGCAGGGCCAGGCTGGGGAGGGCTGCGCAGAGCCCCCATCCACAGAGGCACCCGAGCACCCCTGAGCTCTAAGGAGGCGGAGAAACCTGTGCTCTGCCAGGGTGGGGGGTGCTGGGTGCACTTGGAGGCATTCCTTGGATAGGCTCTTGGGTGAAGAGTGAGGCCCCAGGGGGCAGCCTGGGCGACAGTGAGGACGGTGAGGACCACTTACTCCTTCCCGGGAGACCGCTCCGCTCACTCCGAGACTTGGCTTCGCAGGGCCCGGCTCGCCCTGCTCACCCTCCTGCACGCAGCCCAGCCCCGGATCCGCATGTGGACAGATCGTTGGCCTAGGTACCTAAACGTTACACATCGAAAGTATTTAAAGAAAGCTGATCTAAGGATACCCTAATCACATGGCTGAAAAAAAAAAAAAGAAAAAACAAGTGTGAAATAATCTTTTAAAAATAAATAAATAAATAAAGCTGACTTTTTAATCTAAGTTTGGGAAATTCAATTAATTAATCTTGTCCCAAAGTTTTTACAACTAAAAATCATTCACAAGGCCAGCATTCAGTCTCTAGTTGCCAATGTCAAGCATCAGATGCACGCTGCGTGTGTGCATGCGTGTGTGTGTGCATGTGTGTGTCATGTGCGTGCACGCGTGCGTGCTTCATCTACCTTTACACACATTTAGGAATAATATGATCTAGCCTTGCAGGATGTATCTCAGCGGGCCGTGCATAACTGTTGCAAATACTGCTTATTTCTAACTCCAAGCACACATTGCAAGGAAATGGACTTTTAGGGGGACTGGGGAAATAAAACTTGAAAATACAAGAATGCATTGCGTTTGTATTGAGAGAGAAGACTTAGATCGTCAATTCAGTTTTCTTTTCTCTTGCCCCTGAGTTCACTCAAATCCTCCCTGAACCCAGTAGGAGCATCCTGCCACCCGCAAAGCACCAGGACACTTGGAGATGGTGTTTCGAGGAGGGAGCCAGGCGGAGACAACTGTTTCCGCAGGGCCTGAGTAGTGTCGGCTCTGAAAGAAAGTTTAGGGCTGTGGACCGCTGTGCCAGTACCGGGCACCAGATCCCGAGGGACAGAGGTGCTCATATGTTATTCAATAAACTGTGTGTGTGTCAGAGA